GGAGTGCTTTCCGACCATGAGCCCTGGAAAGAACGGCCGTAAACGGGGACTAAGGCTCATCTTGGATTGGTCCATACGCTGTTTTGTCCTTTCTCTCTCTCGCAATCATCACTCAGATTCGGCACGTCAAAGGAGCACACTCGGCTGTGACAAGCCGCCGTTTTATCGTCTATCTCTCTCCCACTCATTGATCAGATGCGGCAACCCGCGGCTCGTCAAAGGGACACACACACTCGCAATAATACAGGCTGGGCCTCGTAATTTGGTCCGCGGTGGTAGTGGCGAGCCCGAATCCGCGTGCCCCGAAAAAACACCGGAGTGCTTTCCGACCATGAGCCCTGGAAAGAACGACCGTATACGGGGACTAAGGCTCAACTTGCATTGGTCCGTAAGCTGTTTTGTCCTTTCTCTCTCTCGCACTCATTGCTCATATGCGGCACGTCAAAGGAGCACACTCGGCTTTGACAAGCCGCCGTTTTATTGTGTCTTCGCTGTCTCCTGTGTCACCGAAAGACGCTTTTCTTGTTTGTAATTTTTTTCTGAAACCGATTTATTTATATCTATATTTTAAAAAAATGCAAAATTTGCCTACATGGGCCGCGGCCCATGTGGCCACCCCCTTAATACGGCTCTGCCCATGACAGTTCACCGCTGCGGCACATCTCGACTCCAGGAGTTTCATTCACGATTCTGCTCGTGCTTGCGTGACTTCTTTTCTGTTAACTCCATTGAAGTACAAAATACCTACGCATTTAACTTTGGAGAAGATGTGATTTGTTGGAAAGAGACAAAAAATGTAAGACCCCTCGCGGTTTTTGGCCGCGCAGGGGCTCCTCTAGGTTTTTTCTCCAAAATTTTCAATTTTCTAGCCAATAAAATTATATACTTCCACTCTCATCACAAGTATATCGCGACGAATGTTTCACCTCTGTTGCACAGAAAAAGCAAACGTGGATTCCCTCTCAGTGAAATCGCAGTGCCACAGCTTGGCGCCCAACGATATGCAACTTGGATACCACTATCGTTGATTGTAGGACGTTGTGCCTACCTCGCCGAATGAAGGAGAAACATGTTTCACGATACACTGGGCGTTTGGTATTCCTTGGTAGGCATTCGATTTCCCTCATTAGCGATGGGTTTCCTCTTAGAAACGAAACAAGAAGAAAATTCCAACGCGAATGTTGAATATGTTGGAAAAGCGTCGTGTCGATTAACTAAAATGTTGGACACACACTAATTTCATGTCATTGCTATTTGTACCCGTCGTTACTTTTTGCCAAATTTGGGAGAAAATGTTGATTCATGAACGTTGAATGCAAATTGATTTTAAAGATTCTATCCGATTATCTTGATTTTAAGTTGATATGAGGCATTCGCGCACGACCGCGATTTGTGGCGAACTGCCGTGAATCAACTAAAAATCCAGATAAATGGACGGAATTTCAGTGCGTTGTCATCATCATTAGATGGATTTTTCAACGGTAAAGATATTCCAGTTTGGAAACTAGGGGTCATGAAGGAGGGATAAAGGGTGCCTTATGTTCCTACCCTCAAAATGAACGGGTTGCCGGCCTCTCGTCGGCGAGCAAAAGAGGTGCCGGGAAAAAAGATCGGGTCATCGTGTGAAAGACTGATGCGTTGCCAGTTTAGGGATTTTAATGCCGAATAAAAAGTCTAAGGTTTCGCGAAATGGACTATAGTATACTTGACAGCAGCTCAAGACGACCATTGGCTAAAAGTTGCAGCGAGAAAGAAGCTTCTAGATTTGAGTCGTTCTAGCGTAAAAAAGCTTACTTAAGTATTTGAGGCTTCTGTCAAATGAATTAATACGGTTTTGACGGGAAAATGTTCTCAGGAGTTTCTCCTGGCAAGCTCATTAGGTTGCTTGATGAATGATCATTAGGGCTTGACAGTATAGCGGCGCAAAGAAATAAAAACGGGTCCGACGAAAAAATATTTGGACCGCCCGTTGAATAGCGTGGGTTGATCGGTGTGCTGTACCTACTACATCATACATCCGAGTGCTTAAAATCACTTTAGAAACACTTTTTAAAAAAAGCGAGCCCTACTGGCACGCTTGAAAAAGTGTTTTGCACGATCACTATAATATAGGTATCCACTTTTTTCCCATAATCTCTCTGTCGAAATCATTATGCGAGATAATTTTTTTTTTTTTTTTTTTTTTTTTTTTTTTCTGCATTACCTAGTCTCTTACCAGAGAAATTGGCACTCACTGAAGAAAAATAATTTTTGAGACGTTATTTTGACTAGAAGCGTCGTTTCTTGTCGACAAAATTCGGTTCTATTTTGTGAGGGTTACGTTTGTTAAACATATGCCATAATGTGTACAAAAATGCGTACATCATGGCATATGTCTGCATCCGAAAGTCTGTAAAACGCCTTCAACATACATGATAGGCGAGTTATGTTACAGTTGTGTTCATACTGTTAGTACAAATCATCCATAATTATAATTATACTAACACATAGTCAATATAAATCATTCACAGAATCATTCAAAATGGTATTAACACAACTGTAATATAACTTGCCTATCAACAATTTTGAAGGCGTTTACCGACTTTGCCAGGTAAGGAGAATTAATTGACAGAGCGTCCCCATTTTAATCTATTTTATTCAGTCTGTGTATGCTTCCATGAACAATCCACATGGGGGGGGGGGGAGAGAAAAATTGGATAAACAAATTAAATGAATCTTCGAAAAAAAATAATAAAAAAGAAGTTAATTTCCAAGTTAAAAAGGAAATTTCTCACTTGGAGCTTAAGCTTGGATTTTCAAATTGTGACAAACAAGCTACCACTTGTGTTTCCACCTTCATCCCAGTCCCAGTTCTTCTACACGAAATCCGAAAATTTTCGAATCAATTTTAGACTTCATTTCTTCACATCTGAACTGATAAAATTAGACCTAGCTAAGTTTTTCTGGTGAGATAAAAGTCTCTAGAAAAAAAAGAAACTAGTTTGAATACTCATTAAAATTTTGCAAGCATGGCAAAGACATCATCAAAACTATCGAACTAAACAAAAATCGGTGCATTTATCATATTGGAGTTTATTATTAAGCCCTCCACTTGTCTGGTAAAAATATGCTCAAATTTACATCCCTGTAAGTATTGTTATATGCATGGACCAAAAAAATTTACAAGTATGCTCACTATACTTATAAACAGTTGCGGATGCACACATTTGATGGAAACTTGTGAATTTTGATAAGGAGAGAGAATGAGAAAGTCATAAATGGAAAAATAACAAAATTTATTAATTAAAGAATCACAAATGATGAAATGAATGAAGAGAACATAATAGAAAAATAGAGGGAGAAATAATTTCAAGACGTTCCACATTTGAAACACTCCCCACGCTGCGCATACAAAACTGCTTGTCTTCGTACTAAAAGTTTTGGAAAAGTACAACTTTTCAAAAAACTTCTAAAAAAAATAGAACTATTTGCCTTGACTTAGACTACAAAAAAGAACTAGTTTAACGAATTATATTTCCTAAAGGGCTGTCTCCATAGAACTGAGTAACTTTTCAAGCTAATGACAGCTGTAATCTAGAAAATGCAATTTGGCCATAAGCCCTAGTTGATTAATTCACTCAATGAAATCTTTTAAATTTTACAAGATGCTTCAGGAAAATATTTTAACAAAAAATAACTGAAATTGTTTAGGTTGGTAAGTTAAATTTTGGTGCATGGAAGAGGATATTTTAACACAAATTGGGGGTACATGAAAAAGCGGAATTTTACAGAGGTGATAAAAAATCCATTTAAATGTGGTGTCATGCTTTTGGCATCCAAAGTCCTTTCTTTAAAAAGAAAATAGTATGGCTAGGCAAAGTTCATAGAAAAACTTCCTTCTCAGTTAGATCAAATGACACAAATGTAGCAGTACAAACTAAAAAATTGTGTTGAAAAAGTATTTAAAGTTTGAGGAACAGTTTGAAAATCATTTAATTTTCCACAAAATTCTAAAATACAGCTGAGATGGGATCCTTAAGCAGCTATTGAATGATTGTTTTAGAAAGCCATAGATAAGATCGTTTGTTTACATTTGACAAATTCCACTTTTTGATGAAAGTTTCTGGTTTCTTTACATATAAAATACACATAGAAAAACCCTCAGAATCTGAGGTAGCCTAGATTTTTAGAGGACCAGAGGAAATGGGAACACATGTTGGCGCAGGTCACAAAATCGATTGGGTGCTTCAAGCACATAACTGAAATCAAGACAAGGTTGCCACAGAATATAGAAAATGAAATTCCTTGACATTTTTCTAATTTACTTACATGACAAAATTTTGGTAAAATTTCCTGACATTCGAAGACTTGTAGGATAGTTGAAAAGATACAATTTAAAATAGTTTTTGAGAGAATGTCTGTTCGAAATGTCTTTCCCATTTAAAAAAGAAAATAAGGGAAATTTAGTACAATTTTCCTGCCATTTTCAACATTTTCCATGAAAGTTCCTGCCTTTCACTGAATTTTTAAATTCTCCGATACTCCTTGGCTCACTTGACTTGTCTCCCAGACCGTGGCAATCCTGTCAAGAGGGCAAATAAAAAAGGTGCCAAGGCACTTTAGAAAAGTTAAGTGCTTAATTTCCTTGATTTGAAATTCAACAAATATTTTTCACCACAGTGGCAAAGCTTTCACCATATAAAAGCAAAACGGATTGACTTGGAAAATCATTTAAAGAAATGACAAAGAGAGAAGTGAGAAGAGTTGACAGAAGTTAGAAGAGAAAATATAAGGAGTCTAAAGGGATGTCGATTGATACATACTTAGACCTAACAAAACAAGAAATCTGTACAATAGTTGGGTGATGTAAAGGAGAGGTTCATCACACTGAAAGGTTTGTTTTGATCACAGCAAATCTCATACAAAAGGCTACCTATTCGTAAAAACTAATTCTAGCATCCTTTGTGGACATACATATTGATACAAATCTGAAGAAACAAGTCAGTTTTGAGTATTTTCATCCAGGAAAATATTGAATAAATACTTTTTGGACATTACTTGAGGCATGGCATAGATGTAAAACTATCAAGCACTTAGGAGAGATTTGGATGAGACAGTTCAGCCTCAGATTCCGTGATCCTTTCCCTCCAATGAGCTGAAACAGTGTGAGAGATTTGTGAGAATACAAGTTGATAGAGATTTCTTGCAATAATTCCAGCACTTTTGTTCTTTATAATGGATTAGAGACACCTTTTTTAAAATTCGTTTTCTTAAAATACTGAATGATTTCCCGAAACGAAAAAACAGGGAAAATCGATTATGAAATCGAAAAAAATTTAGACCCATTTGAAACGATATTTTTGGCGGTCTTTTATAAAATTGACTGGCAACAGAGTTAGAATTTGCTGATTGGCTGAAAAACAACCGCAGGCATGGCCTAGTTATGTCAACATGACTATAGGCCTTTGATTGTTTAAAGTTTGATCAGCTTATTCTCCCATTAGAGGTGCTTTTTTAAACTTTTTGATGATTTTTATGTGTTTTCTTCAAATTTTACATTAGAGCCAATCGTCATATACTCTGAAAAAATGTTACGTCACTAACCCATTGAATAAGTTGAAACAGCGTATATTAAAGATTACAATATTCTGAAAATATTGATTATGTATAAGATGGGAATTCAATCAACTCTGGTGATGAATCATGTAAATGTATGGAGCAGAAGAAAACAGTAAAATGAAATTCTCCATCATTTCCTTCTGTACAGTTGTCTAAGAGGTGAATGGTCACCCAAATAATGTAGATTATAATATTTAAAAATACCAAGTTGACAATTTACTCTGGAATTTCTTCTTTTAGAATGACCTTTGAATTTATATAAAAAAGAAGCTTTTGGGTGCATGTGTATGATTTTGATTATTCCATACCTCAGTGTCACTTTCGACCGGAGGCTTTTGCTCTGCCAGGAACAGGTAGACAATTAGAGGCTTTTGCACGATATGAGGTGCTGGAAAATAAAAAAAAAAAAAAAAGATTAATCAATGGAAATACAATGACTTGTAAAAAAGACACTTTATTTGTTTTCTGAGCTTGAAATGAAAAAATCAAATGCTTGAGTTCAAAAAAAGGAAACTACATATTAGTACATCCGACTATTTTCCACCAACATTTTAAATTTCTTACTGATTAAAACTACCTCATAGATTTTTTTAAATTAATCTCCAACCTCTAAAGATTGATTATGATACAAAAATAAATACAGTGATGATTGGGACATTTTTTAAACCAATACGATGTATAGCTCTGCAAAGCTGCTCAGACATAGCAGTTGAATATGTATTAAATTTGTAACAAACAAAACAAGCACACATACTAATAGTCAGAGGCGGACTGGCTCCTCGAAGCGGCCCGGGAAATCGCCAACAGACCGGCCCATCGCGGTGCCACAGTGGACTCCCCCTTCCATAATTGTTCGATATTAGCCACAGGCGTACCTGGGTCATTTTGTAAAAATTTCCGAAGTTAGGTTAGATTGCCAGAGTTCTGTTCTGTGCGAATGTATTACCAATAATGTATCTCCCTAGAAATTTTGCCACACTTGTGATGAAAAAAAATGTCCACATTCTCTCCCTGGAAGTTAGCTAAGTTTGACGTTTTCCAGACGATAGAACTTAGCAGCATTCCAACTTTAAAAATTTCCACTCGTAAATTATATTTTCACTGGAAAACATACAAGATTATAAAATCTCCACAAGCCTGTGATCCTATGATTACAATCTCGCTGTGTGCACTGGAGTAGGTTCGACACCATGAAGATAAGACTTTTCGACGACTTGAGCGCGCACCGTGGTATACGCGAAATGCATGAAGTATCCTGCAGACATGTAAGGCGCTTACTGTGCATCGCGCGCACCGTGCCATACGCGCAATGCATGAAGTATCCTGCGGTCTTGTAAGGCGCTACTATGCGTTATGCGCCGTGCGCGCCAGTCCTGCGCCGGCGCTAACCGTGCTGTGGTGTCAGCGGTTTTTAACTTATGATTTTGAAGTTTTCGTATAGTTTGTGGAATTATTGTCATTTCAAATGATAAACCATTCCATAAAACCCAACTAGTTTTCTCCTCATTATTTGCATGATTTCATAAATAGTTCTGAACAGAAGCATGCAAGTGGACTAACTTTAACATGTAGGCTCCCTCATTGCTCAGCAATATAATGGCGTGATCATTTGGACTACATTTTGCTATTCAGAACTACAATTTCTGGCCCATCTGCAAAAACACTTGTGTGCATAAGGAAACTAATGGTACATACGTTGTTCCTAAACAAAGCCAGAAATTTTGGTTCCTAATTGCAAAATGCAGTGCATTTGATCAATGAACGCTTTCGAAGCATAAGGTATGGATTCGATCGTAAAGTAAAAACGAGAATTGATTAACATGATTTGGTCGACACCAATTCTATCCATTTTGAGGCTTCCGAGATTTCCGATCGACTTCTGCGGAAAAATATCGCTGTTCACTTGCTTCCAGCACAAAATACTTTCAAATTATGCATTCAACAAATCCGGAAATGTTTCATTTATCATGATTTAACAATGTCGGTTGCAGTCATGTTTTAAAGGCCGCAAACCTCACTTCATTTTAGAATTTTTATTGGGAAATTTTTGGCAGAGGGGACTTCTCACAGAGTGTCTAGCAAAATTTTTGTTCCCTTCTGCCAGAGTTTCCAGATTTTTTTCTGACTCTTGACTTCCTAATCTTTTTTTCCAAACCAAAATAAATGTAAAAACAAACACGGCTCCGTGTGCCAGTACAGATCCGTAGGGACTCCATGCTTCCGATTGAATAATTCACCACAGACCAGGAGAGAGCTCTGCCGGGCTCGGTATCAAAGTACAGTGAAGTTATGCAAAAAATTACGATCTTGCACAGGAGTTCATGATTCTCCCGCCTACGCACTTCTCTCTCTAACTTTTCTGGTGTTCCTGGTTGCTAGACATCCTGCTCTATTTAAATGGAATTATCAAGAACAACCTTCAGTCCACTTTTGGTCAACACTTCTTTAGCATACACGCATTTCTTCATTACTCTCTACATGTATATTCTCCTTCTGCTTAATGAGGCTTAGTTTGATGGTATTTTCTTCATTCTATAGGTTTTCAATATTTCTACCAATACAATGCTTTGTGACTTCTCAATTTCGTAATTTTCTTCATACCCCCGTCTATTCACCTTCTTTGACCCACTGACATTTGGAATGTGTTTGAAAATAAAGAGATTTCTTTATATTCCGATGAAAACAAAAAAATTTAATGAAAAGCAATCTCCTATTCAAGAAAAAACAGAGACAGGAATGGCGAGAAACAGAAAAATTATTATAAATATTACTGCTAATAAACTGCTTTTGATCAAAAATATTTTGTTAATCATCAGAGAATAGGCAATGTTTTTACCCCTTTTATCCTCTTCCTGCATAATCTTCAGTTAACAAGCTGACAATCTTCCGTAGTTTGGTGATATAAAATTAAAAGTATCTTACCCTGTGGTTGATGCAGTTGCTGCTTTGCCTTTGGGAGCCTTTTTCCACTTCTTCTTGGGCTTAGGATATCTTTTCTTGTTCTTGCCGGAGTACTTGGTAATAAACGCTGGCCGATTACCTTGATTAAAATACGCTGACGATCTTGAGTTGGACGAAGCTGTTGATGAGTATTCCTCTTCAATTGCATCTTGCTCAGCAGCTCTGGCCCGTTCTTCAGCTTCCAGCTCCAGTGCTGCCACAACACCTGGATAAATAAACAAAACTTTCATTTCAAAATGGAAACTGGATTAAGATAAAATATTTCTTTTTCAGCCATGTTAGTAGTTAATTGTCGCAACTTTATGCCCTCTATTTGTCATTTCCCAGGTGAAGGAACGTAACTCCATTCCCAGGTTGCAAAATTGACTCAAACAATTTGATTATTTATAAGAATGTATTTATTAATGCAATGTTTGACCAAAAGTATTCTGATTTTTGCAATAGATCAGAAAGAAATTCAGTGAGATTTTCAATGAGAAATGTCCAAGTTTCTCGTTGAAAAAGTTCAGTGGAGGAAATTTGGCAACATTTAAATAAAGCTACGTAAGGAAAACAATGTATTGACTAAAAAATTAATTAAATTGCTCAAAACTTATTTTTTACGGACACTAGAGATTTCTTCCAAATCTAAAACCCGTTTTCTGACCAAACCTAACTGAAATTACTCTACTACAAATTTGTCCTCAGTGAGCTAAGGTTCTTTTTCCTACAGAGGTCATGTACATTCTTTAATGGACTTGCATGATGGATGTATAAAAATAGTTTACCTTCTTTCTCCTCAGCATACATTTTAGTGATCTCAAGAAACTGTGGACCATACTTCTGGTAGTTAGCCTGTGTCACTCCAACCACCTTTAACATTTCTTCTCTGGTTGAAGGCAAAAGTTCTGACATCATCTTCAGAGACTGCAAAAGAAAATTAAAAATGAATTATGTACTCCATTTGCTTTTAAATTATCTTTCATTCTCCTTAATTTCTTCTGCTGCCCCATAGGCATTCTCGAAAGCTGTCCCAAAAGCCTTTTTGAAGGCTGCCCCAAGGAGATGGACAGTAGTTGAAGATATTAACATAATATAGGAGGTTTTCCTGATAACTTATAGATTAGCTTTTAAAAACAAGAAGAAAAAAAAAAAAAAACCTTTTAAGCTCATTTCGTCAAAAACTTCATTTTTCCTATAACTCACCGACAAGAAAAGAAAGCCCTTCAGAATTTTGGAGTGATTTCTAAATACCCTGCATTCAGCTCAGAGATAAAAGCACAGCAAATTAAGTTGATTTCCTTGAAGATGTCAAGTGGCGCTCTTTAAAAAGGGTTGTCATGACAACTAACAAGAATTTTCCAGTTAAAAGTCCGGTGCATCTTGCAAAAACCATTTGAAGGCTCGTCCGAATTTCCAAAAAGATGTCAAAAATAACTTGTTGATCTTGAATACAAATATAACCTATACACTACCTCTAAATTGTGTTTTTACCTTTCACATAGGTAAATGATTTTCATGATAAGCAACTGTCATTTCTTTAGAATCTTCATAAGCAAAAAACAAGAGGATATTCAATTGCAAATAATGCATCATTTCCTTTGCATGAATTTCGCGCAGGCAAACTAAACTCGCTGCAAAAAAACACGAATCCAGCAGCAGCCAACATTTTTAGGCCCTGACAGCGCTTTGTTGCAAAACAAAAAAACGAGAAGAAAATTAGAATACTCTCTTACCTGGGCATTCCAGATGGTGTGCGATGGAACACGCATTTCAGTTGCAATTCCTTGACAAACATCGTTGAGACAGTTGTAGCAGCGCTCTTGAATTTCCTTGATATGTGGATGGACTGTTGGCATCTCCTCTACCTTGTTTGATTTGACCACACTCGACTGCATCTTCTCTTTGCCTCGCGATAATGATACCTAAAATGAAAAGCAAAAAACAATTGAAGAACTAAATAAGCTAGAGGAAATTTGCACTACAAGAGTCAGTATAGTATAGAAAAACATTTTCAAAGACGTAAAAGTTGATACAATTGATTACTTACTTACTACTTTGATTGATAACTTTTACTCGTTACTTTTTTAAGTCACGACAGCATTGATGACGTATTGTAAATCACGAGTTTTCGACAAATATGCCCAAACAATCAGCAAAAATTTAATTAAAAGACTGAATGATCGACTATATATGGTTGAGACTGTTCCCACCAAAAAAGAACCTCTTCTGTATAGCCAAATAGGGAAAAAATATTATTACTTCGATCTGATCTACTAAGTTTTTACACCTTTTTGACATACATTGTTTCATTATATTGTGCAAATTTAAGCATGAGCTTAAATTAGGCAACTATGAAGTTGCCTTGTTCGGTGAATTTATTTAAAATCCTCCATTATATTTTATTTTATTTTTGTTTGTTTAAGGCTGTTTCAGTATTTATTAATGTTAAGAGTAACTTGACGAAGGCCGGAAAGAAATTGAATGCATGAACATACCTTAACTATTCCTGAAAGTAGTCTGGTTGCTTCCCGTTCCTTAACCTTCAAATAGGAACTAACCATGTCCATATAACTCTGTTGTAACACTTCATACAAGAATCCATCAACAACCAGCTTGCTGAGCAGTCGTTCGATTTCCGTTAATGACCATTTCTCCAGCTTTCCATAAGCAGGAAGTTGATCGTGACGCAAGTCTTTGATTTTTTTCAGCTTTGAGCCCTTAAGTACTGCTGCTGCATGAGAGAGCGTCACGTTTCCATTGCCACGCTGGGTCAGTGTTTGGATCAGTCGGACTGCTATCTGTGCCTCGCCTGTGACATCGTGCAGATGCCAGGACCCCTAAAATTATAAAAACTCGAAGTAGAGATGAGCAGACAAGAATTTTTTATTTTTTACTGCGAAATTTGACCCCAAAAGTGCTATCATCGAAAGTGATAATGAAGACCAGGTAGGAAAATATTTAAAAGAATTGGAGTACTTGAAAGGTGCACTTGAGAAAATATGTAAGATCAATTGGCTACAAAAGTAAAAAAAATAAACATTTTAAAGAGATAAAAATTTTCCCTCTCTATTTATAAAACTTGGGCTAAATCTAAGGCTGGAATTTTATGATGCTCCTTGAAACCCTTCAGACACACAGTGCCTTTGAGACTGCCTTCAGTATCTGGGAAATTTAATATATTGAATATATTAGAAACTTTTGAGAAGATTTTAAGTCAAGAACGTCTGAAGACGCATTTAAAATTTTGGCCAAAGATAGCAGAAAAATAAGTAAAAGAAATCTAAGGAAAACATAATGTCTTGACACTTGAGGAAATAATTCTTTCCCAAAAGATACCTATCATAGGATGAGCTGTGGATACATTAGGTCCAGCCTGAAAATAGAGAAACGCCAAAATTATTTTATGTCAGGTCTGCCCGACACATACCAGGAGCTTTCCAAGGTCCATTGTTGAGTAGCAACCAACTGTTTATATATAAGCTACTATCTTCAGAGTGAATTGAGAACCGCATAAAAACTCATTCTCTGGGTCTCTAATCATTTTGAAGTAACCTCGACCGTAAAAAAAACAACTGACTCAAAAATGAAATGAAAAGATATTATGAATGACAAGGCAAAGACCTTCTGATTGAATCTAACACACATTAGAAGAAAAGACACGATGATCAATTGAAAAGGATTTTGCATGAATCCATTACCTCATTCTGACAATTATCACAAGCTGTGCGCGGGTTTCGTTTGCAGAAATCTCGGCTGAATTTCTCGCCAAAGTACTCGACTTGAATGACTCGGCGGCAATCGATATGATTCTCTGCATAGGATATCATTCTCTTCAAATTCTCTTCATGTACCCTCAAAACTTCTGGACTGCAGTCTGCGAAACAAAGAGGCACAACTGATTAAACCAACAGTAGAATTTACGACTTTCCAGGAACCGTTAATTTGATTTCTTGCTTTAACTTCTGACCAAATATTTGAACATAAGAGGTACTTTCATATTGGGTTGATGATTTTACATCCTTTACCTTTATTTATTTTAGTTATTCTTCTAACATACCAAGAAGCAAAACATAATAATGACAATAAATTTGTTACCTTGCATCATTTTCCTAATACGAACACTATCAGAGAAGGAATAGAACAGAATACAGTGGGCAACCCCACCATCACGGCCCGCTCGACCAGACTCCTGGTAGTAGCCTTCAATAGATTTTGGCAAGCTGTGGTGGATCACAAACCGTACATCTGGCTTGTCAATCCCCATTCCAAAGGCGATAGTTGCGCAAACCACCTAAAAGATAAATAACATGATTCGTCAATTTCACTTGATCTGAAAGTTAATGGGTCTTTCAAAATATTACGATATTTATTTAGGAAATTCAAGTCTTCCCTGAATTTCTCTTCAAATAAGCCAAACGCCATCACCAAAGAGAAAATTAACCGTTCTTTCAAAATCAATGAAACAATTAAATCAGATCCAACAGTAATTGATTACAGCTTCACTGTTCATTGACTTGCAATCTATAACTTTCCTTTCACTGGTGGATTTGACCACAGAGATAGCAAAAAAAAAAAAAAACAGAAACAGTAAGAGGGTAGATAAAAATTGATTATCATATTGACAGAAGATGGAACGTTAGTATCAAATCTTTTTTGAGACAAATTTTTGTCAAGCGAGATGGAAAAATTTATATTGGAGTTTTCTATGTAAAATTGTGCCAGTTTGAACAATACTTTTCCTAAAAGAGGTAACCATGGCAGATAGATTTCTATTGGGTAATTATATCTAATTATCTTTAGTATCCCAAATAACAAGTTGTGAGCAGTTCATTTCAATTTTACGCCAGTATTAAAAACTGAAAATTCTGAACCCTTGGTATGCTAGTGTTTAAAGTAGAAATGACAAATATTACATTCGACATTATTTGGCATTTTCTGAGCTTAACTGTTCTATTTAACTCCTCTTATAGAAAAGTATCCACAAAAAGACATAACTTAATTTTAGGTTTTACAGCACTCATGACTTTTTTACCAAAGACGTTTGCAAACTTCTTACAAGGTGACAAACTACAGAAATCACATCTTCTGTCTTAAAGGCATTACCTTGACTTGATTGCGAAGCCAGGACAGTTGAGACTTCTGCCGCTCATTGTCAGACATGCCAGCATGATAGCTGATGGCTCGGACACCTGATTTCTGAAGGGCACTCTTCATATCATCACAGTCTTTTCGCGAAAGGCAATAAATGATACCGGACTGGTTCTTGAACTGCCCTCTAAGCAGGGTCAAGATAGATGTTAGCACATTTCCATCCTTTGAACCTTTCTTGGCACGTACTTCATACTTCAAATTTGGCCGGTTGAAACTCGAGTAGAACCTAAAGAAAATTAGAATTCATGGATAGAACTATTGTTCACAAAGTTTAATGAAGTAGAGGCTGAGTCGGTTAAACTTTTTCAAAAACGAAAAGCCGCTCGAGTCAAGATTTCAATCGTTTCCTCAACATTCATATCCTGAACAAAGAAGGAACCACATCTGAGGACAATTTGCAATTATTTCAACTAAAAAAACTGTTTAAGTTAAAGAAAAATGCATGACGAAAAACACGATCAAAAATTTTACAAACTATGCCTTTAGAGAGTAGGTGGGCAGAAATGGGTCATTCACTGTTATTTTTGAAAACTTTCATATTTGATAACTGCTTCTTTGGTTGAATTTAAAATTTTGAACCCAGGGGGCAAAACAATTAAGGCAAAAAGTTGCTCTTATTGAATTTTTTTTTTTGGCTCTCTTTGTTATCTACCTGAGCGAGTTTTTACAATCCTGAAAATGGATACTTTTTTCACAAAAGCAAATAGATTGATCTATTCCAACTCACAAATGAACAAAATTGGTAGGGGAGGAATATTACAAGAAAAGATTAACAAAGGGGAGCTTTGTAGGAACAATATTTGTGGAATGATGAATGAAGAATTTTGTGATCTGCAGGATATTATTAATAGAAAACTTAGGAGATTCAGAGGCAATACAGAATATTATGTGAAATAAATCTTACCACTTGCAGGTTTTGATTCCTAGCTGACAAAGGATATCATTGCGGACTCGGGGTGTTGCAGTGGCCGTTAATGCCATAAACTTCACATTTGGGTATTTCATCCTTAATCTTTTCAACTCTTTGTAGTCTGGCCTAGAAACAAATCAATAATACATTAAAAAAAGGTATTGAGCATTTACCTCTATCAGTTATCAAAGCTAAATGTTAAAATTTCATGCTACGGATTAGCAGACTTCTAAAGATTTGCCTCTTCTAAAATCCTGCTCTGACTCATTCGGACTCAAAAAAGCAAGCGCAGAACTTTAATTTCTAAGTCAAGGCGGAGGTAAAAATTAGCAGCCTCAGATAGATGTGCAAGAAATTATTTCCATGGATTACTGATCAATTTCAGAAAAGTATGGGTGCAAGACTTGCTGCTGTGTATTTTTTTTTGGACCTAAGTTACCATTTTTTTCTCAAGCACTACAATTATTGCTCAAGATGAAATTGTGTTTACACTAAAGTGAAAAAATGTTCATGCGTTTAAATATTAAGTAGCAGAAAAAATGAGAGAAATTCCCAAAACGTACCTCACCGAAAATAGTGTTATGAAACTTCGTTTTTAATAGTATTGTAATAAATGATACTGAGAGGAGAGATTTAGTTCGGTAATATCTTTAGTAGCAAATTTTAGCAGATTCTTTTATCTGAACACTGCTCGGCGATTTTTATTTTATTCAGTATTTGTAAAATTTACACTTGTGGGTGTGTACTACATAATCTAAATTAAGGTTACAGTAAAGATTGCAAACCTATCTTCAACAAATACCTAACTTTAATCTCTTAATCTTTAAGACTCTAAGATTATCAAAAGATTCCAATTAATACAGTAAAATCCTGCTAATTGCTTCTCTTCACCCTACATACTAGATCAAACCCAGGACCTCAATGCTGGCCGAAGACTACCTTGACTCCTACATCACCAGGGCTGGTTTGATGCTACTTTTTATTTTACAACACTAAATTGGTTGGTTCTTTTGTTAAAGAGGACTTCTCCTTATAGGCGCTTTACTAAACTACAAATCATAGTATTTCAGCTAAAACTTTAAATCTTACTTACAAAGCTATAGGTAAAGATAACAAACCTGAAATCATGGCCCCACTGAGAGACACAATGTGCTTCATCGATCACAAAGCGTGTGAGTTTGTTAAGCCGATACAGGCGCGCAAAAATTGACTCCAGCATTCTACTTGCTGCAATTTTTTCTGGGGTGACATACAGCAATTTATACGCTAAGGGTGAAAAAAAAGTACAAACATTAAAGATACATTTTCAATGGCGAGAAAAAATAAAACGTTTGACTGTAACCAAAGCAAGACATACAACACATTTATTTGCAGAATGAGAATTATGATGTATCCAGACCATTAATTGGCTTTAAAAATTATTGTAATTCTGTTTTACAGACAAATGAAAGGCTATATCAAAATAACCTTTTCATTACCAGGCTAGATTCACCGTGCGCATGCCCCACGACAGAAATTGGTTGTCATGCAAATAAGCCTAAGTGCACTGTCGGAAAATGTCTAAAGTTGTAGTTCAGGTCCTCTTTAACAGTTAGACTACAAAAAAGAATACTTCTGAGTGATGGTTGCTGATTAATGGCTGAAATTCTGCAGGAAGGATACAATTTTGCTGAACGTAGATGCTGCAGTTGAGGTACTGAAAAGAATAAAGTTGAAATTTACTCATATCAGAATCTGGATTACGAAGTTTGCTCTTAATATCTTCTACCCTATCAATTTGTGCATTTTCCAGAACATTTTTTAAAATCTAAAGACTGCCTTAGTCTCCCCCCCCAAAAAAATCTTCATTTCTTTCTAATTATTGGTTCTCAGAATCAATCTACATCAAGCATTTATTCTAATCTCTGTCACAAAAACCTTATACATACCAGGATTTACTGAGTCCAAATTTCGAATAACTTCTTGGGACTCGGCTTGTGACATTTCTCCAGTTAAACAAGCAACAGGAACCTAAAATGGATTAAATAAGATCAACTCAACAAAACTAACAGAGAAATGAAATCAACACAATTAATTAGCTTCTTTGTTCATTTACTTTTTCTGACTCTCATTTTTGTTAGAATAGAAAGTTCAGCTACCACAACTAGTGACCATGAATATTAATATAAAAAAGTCACACTTTATGATAACATCTTTAACTTTACAAGATTTTTTGGTTTTACAGACGTCTCCAAAGCCTGGAGAATGGAAATTTTTTTTTTTACTACGATTAACAGATCTGAATCTTAACTGCAATGAGCCTGTTGCAAACTTTTACTACAGCAAAAATAAGAGTTGTTTCAATCAGTAAATGTCTCAAAACTCACGATGAAAGCATTGGCAAAGTTTGAGATGCACTCCTAACTTCATAATCTGCATAAAAAATTTTCGTTTTTTTTTAGCTTCCCGCTTCAAAAACGATACCATGGCACAGGTAAACATTTTATTAGAGGTGTCACTCTATCCAACCCCTGTGCACTAGAATACTACACAATATTCAACATGGCCGACACCAATCCGCCAAAACACATGTACCTGGACAAGATTCTGACCAGTTGTTAACAATCCAACGTGTTTACATTCACAATTTCTTTGCACTGAAAAAGATCAGCTTTGGTTGATCTTGTGCTCCTGATCGCGAGTTGCGCACAAAAGCGTCAGCTATGTTCGGTATTGCTGTTGCGAAAGGGTTCAATGGAACGTCTCCTCTAACGCAATGTTCATCTCTGCCATAGTATTATTTTTGAAGCGGGAAGCTCAAAAAAACGCAAATTTCTCATGCAGATTGTGAAGTTAGGAATGCATTTCAAACTTTGCTCATGTGTTCATCGTGATTTTTGAGACATACTCTGACAGAGACAACTGTTTTTTTTGCTCTAGCAATAGTTTGGGACAGATCCATTCATGAACAAAGTAAATCCATGGCGATTTTGATGGAGCCTATATTTTTTTCTTTTTCTTCATCTTTTTCTAAAGTTTCTTAATTAGACAATACAATTTACAAACTTGCGTGATCTAAAAATCCGAAAATCTATCTAAAAAATAGGGATGTCACCTCTCAGTATACTCCTGTACTGTGTTATTTTTTAAATCACCCCCCCCCCCCCAAAAAAAAAAACCTACTTGGCTGATGGTTGATATACAAATTTAAAATATAAAATAAAGCTGTCTTACAAATACAAGATACAGGTTTTAACCCAAGATATGAGTTTAAAAATATCAAGAATGAATGTTAGCCTCAATATTACTGACAGAGATTATTCTCTTTGGTGAAAACATTTAAAATAGAAGTTAAAAATAATACACATGAGAAAAAGTAATGACGAACCTCAAACGGTGCCATTTTTTTATTCAAAAGTTATTGCCTTGTATGGGATTTTAATAACTTAGAACAGAGCATTCAAATTGCAGACATTTGAGGTAGATGATAAAAGATGGAACTCCATACACTAGAATATATTCTAGAAGAATTTAGAAATTAAACGTACGTCGAGAGATTTAAGCTTCAGCGTCTGGTCGGTGATAAGCGATAAAAGTGGAGAAATGACAATGGTGACACCTTCAGACAAAACTGCTGGTAGTTGATAACAAAGAGACTTTCCTCCACCAGTCGGCATGAGAATGAAACAGTCGTGATCCAATAATGCTGCGTTGATTGCTTCCTCCTGCACAGGCCTGAATTTATGCAGCCCAAACACCTCTTTGAATTTCTGCCAAACACAAACATCAATTCATTTTAAACACTTTTGTACTCCTTTTAAAAAAATTTAATCTTCGCTAGGAATACAATCGCACATCCTAGTGATATTATTCTCTAGTTTATAATTATTTCTTACTCGCATATTCCTGATGTTTATGGAAGTAAAACAGAAAAGTCAACTTTTTTTTCACTTTTCTATGTACCAAATAAGCAGCATACAATGAAAAGGAACTTAACATACAAGCACATTCATAAAAATAATTTTTGTGGTGTTAACAAATCTCCGCTACCATTATATTTTTTCGAAGGAGGACGAATCAATATCATTCTTTGATGTTTTAACTTCACAGTTTTCTCCGCATCAAGAGGAAAAATCACAGAAGTTTTCAAGAATTGATGTGGGGTAGTTTTCCATTTAAAAAATAAAAATGACAGAAAGTCTGCAATGTCACAAAGTGAAGTGTGTGGTCTAGTGGTTTAACCGTCGATATGCTGTTGGTTTTGAATCAGATAAAAAGTTGGTATCGTCTTGACACATACTGTCAAAATTTATCCTATGTCAAGTAAAGTTAAACAAACAAGCATTAGAGAAAAATGCGATTTCTTCTGTTCATTTTAAAAAAGACCTTGAGATACTTACTTGTCTTTCTGTATGTTATAAGTTTCCAAAATCATTCTTCTACGAATGAAGAAAACTCATTAAATGATGAAAAAAAATTGAACAAAGTGAAGAAAGAATTTCAATTGTTTTCATAAAATTCTTTGATAATCCTTAGTTTTCTGTTACAATTCTCCCAAACTTTATTTTATGTGGTAGCTCTGTGAAGGTTTCCAACGTAAAGCATAAGGAATCAAAACACCTGCCACAGAGCAAGAGCTTGAAAGCAGCGTCACAGTCTATTGATTATTACTAAAAATTAGAGAAAAGAATTTCGATAAATAAAAATCAGGATTTCTATTCTTTGCAACTAATTAAAATAAAAATGAAAAAAACTAAGAGGTACTCTACATACTGGCCACCATAAATGATTGAATTTCCTTTGAACATTACTGTGAGATGACTTATTTCTCACCTTCATCATGGTGGGTGTGTGAGGGTATGGACCACGAAACTCTCGTTGATGGTTTGGCGTGTCAGAGGCGTATGTTGCTCCTGTATCTGCTGGTTCATATTGCTTACTCTCCTCTCCGTTTCGGCCATTGTCATTAGAACTATAACTTGTAGTCTGAGGCCAATTTTCTGTTGCGAATGAGGTTGGATATTTCGGAGTAGAGTTGTAAGCATTACTTGTACTGTTCCACGCTGAATCTTAAACAGAATAAAAAAGCTTAAAAAATGGAAAATTGACAAAATTACGCAACAAAACTGCTTCAGTTGAAAATTGGAAAAATCAGAATTAGTCAATTTATTCTCTTCATTCTACAAAAATATTGTCTTCAACAATATACCCCAAATCATCTTAACTCATTTTTGGTTGGATTTCGACTGTGAATCTTAAAAATTAGCTGGAAGTGTCCTAGAGGAAATAGTGAGGGTATTTTTTGTAACTTCTAGACCTTCTACTATAAAAAAATGCCAAAGTTATGAAAATTAAGGGTGGGGCATTGAAGGCACAAAGAGCATTGAGTTAATATCTTGAAATCAACTCAGCCTAAAGAAACATCATATGCTTTCATAAAAATTTGAGTCACATTTACAGTCTGGAAATGCTTACCTTCATTACTATGAAAATCATATTCTGCACCTGACTCTCCAAAATTCCTCTTCATCGTAGAGCCGACTGATCCATACAAGGGCGTCACTGGTGATGGAATAGGAGGATTCAATGGACAATTTACAGCTGTGCTCGGTGAGGGCATAGGTTTGTCTGCTGTTTGGGCGATTGTGTTGTGGCAAAGTCTCTTTTTAAATTTGAATGGACCTGGTTTAGGGTTGGCAAACTCGCCAGCATTCACAGGAGACACACTGGAACCGGTACTTGAATTTAACGATTCATTGGGCTGTGCGCTTATTTCGTCAAGATTCATGGCACTTGTAGAAAATGTATTACTCTTCCTAGATTCTGTAAAGCCTGCATAACTACTAGCTGTACTTAAATTATTACTAACAGGAAAACTAGTTCTTGAGTTGGTGGAAAATTCAGTTGAATTACAGTTATTAACAATATCTGGTTGATATGAGGAAACATTAGTAGCACAGTCATTGCTTGCCGGAAAACTAGGTTTGCTTGTAGCAGAGGAATTTGAAAACACACTAGTTTTGGGTTTGAATTTACTCGTCGAACCCACAGAATTTGTAGTTGACTGATTAATGTCCGCAAAGTTTGAATTACTGGCGGTGTTCGTTGAGAAATTCCTATCGAAAGACATAAAGTTACTTGGATTTGTACTAGAATTGCAAGAAGTTGTAAGATTACTACTTCCTTGCCTTAAATTATTAGAACTACTTGCAGAATTGACATTTGGAGAATAATTACTGGTGCCATGACTTGCATTACTTAAACTATCAGGTACTTTCCAACTTTGTGGATGGCCAAGTTTACTGTTCAAATTGGAACTGATGTTCTTGAGGTTACTACTTAGGCTACTTAACTTAGACGAATCAAAATTTGCATAATTCTTTTTGTTTGGACTAGATTCATCGGCGCCGTAACGATTATATGCATCCTCGAATGCATCATCAAATACATCTCCATCGTTATCATCCATTATATTTTCATCATCGTTCAGTTCTTGAGAACTCAGGGCGTTCTCATCCCGATTGTCCGTCAAACTTGCTCCAGGGTTCTGTTTTTGTGGAGTTGGAGCCTTCAAACAAGTACTATTGGCTTTTTTCGGCGTATTTGACAGCTTGGGACGTTTTTTAACAGGAGATTGCTGAACTGACTTGGAGAAGATGTCATCATCTGAGTCATCGTCAACAGATGAGGGCTTTGACTGTTTCCATTTTGCGAGGAAAGCTTGAGCACGCTCAGCATCTACACTATCTCGTTTGGGGGCAACATGCCCATTCTTCCGAATTACTGTGGTTGGTTTCGCAAAGGATTGCTGTGGTTCAGTTTCATCATCAGTTTCTGCAGCCATTTCTGCTCGAGCTGTCATCAGCAAATCTTTGACTGAATTTTTTGGGTTGGCATTTGAGGAAGATCGTGAGGGCTCACCATTGATTTGAGCCATTCCTTGACGTTTCTTTTTGAGCAGTGACTCAGCTTGACGGATTTTTGCTTTGTTACGCTGGCGGAACATTTTGACTTTGGTCAAAATGGTTGGATCTGACCCAACGAAGGAAAGCTGCCGTGCTATATTATTGGGGATTGCAGTAAACCATGAGAAGACTTGATCTAAGATTTTTTCTTCAGTTTCACGGAAGGATTGGAGACTTGCAGTTAGTTCTGACTCTGATGCCTGAAAAAAAATTAGATTAATATCAGATAAAAAAGATAAAAAAATACGCAAAAAAACTTATATTGAGGAATGCAATTGGTTGAAAGGATATGAATGCAATCATGCATGAAAACGTTTAAGCTACGGCAAAAACTATTCCTTCAGATACGCGAGGAGCCAAGTCTTAAATTTGCACAGAATGGGTTCAAATCAAACTTTTTTCAATCAGACTTTTTCAAAAATGAAAACATGACAGAAGACACAGAAAAGTCAGAGAAATTTTCATAGTGTCATATATGACAATTTTTGAAAATTCTTGAGTTGAAATATTTTTTTCTCATCTACACCTTTAAAAGGATAAGACTACTTCTAGGGAGATTAAAGTTAAGGTACAACAATTTTAGACCAGCAAATATTGAATTGAAATTAACCTGACAGCCTCATAAAATTTTTGATGATTATATCGAATATAAATAGATAAATGGCTTTACCTGTGGAGATACTTGTTTAGATGTACTGCTGAGTTTTGCATACCAGTTTGGTAGTTCGGCATCATTAGCATTTGACTTTGAGTCTGTGAATAAAAAACACACGTAATTAGAAAAATACAAAAAAGCTGGCTCACAATAGAGAGCTTGAACTGAACTTTACAGGAATCGACAATGCGAGACATTTTTTTAAGATCAGTTTAAATTCTTAGTTATGGTATGGAGCTCAGGAAATATTTAAAATCAATAAAGGAATTATTATCAACTAAAAAGAAAAACAGGGGGTAAAATTAATCAGGGTATTTCCTATTTCTTTTGATGCAATGTAAAAATTTCTATAAAAGTAGATGGTATTTTTCAGGCATACTAAAAAGTAGATACCACACTTGGAGAAAATATGAAAGTGTCTCGTTTTAATGATAAAGCCTTCAATATCTACTCTTAATTTAAAAAGCGTAAATTCTATCTTTTTGCATTCCTATTAGAAACATATTACATTCAGATTATTAGTGTTGGTTGAAAAGTAAATGTATACTTCATTCATTCCTGTCTTTCATACAGAAAGAAAAGAACAAGGAAGAATGCTAAAGTGTATCTCCTTCCAAGATTACACTAAAAGGTGCTCACCAGCTTTACTAGAGGATTGAGCATCTGTTCCAGCAGAATATAACACTGATGTTCCCTTGGTTGAATTTTCTTTAAAACTACTCTCCCCAATGTCTTGCTTTTGGTGTGACTCAGCTTTGGAATTACTATCTTCACATATGTCAGAGAAACGCTCAAAGCCTCCTGGAATTAAATTATGATCAAGTTTTAAATAGTTAAAGGTAGATCTTCAGCAATTTGGAACGCAAAAAACACAAAAGATCATCTCATAAGGTTGTCACAATTAATGCAAAAATATCATTTTGTGGAAAAGTTATGAAGACATGTAGGTGTAATTAGAGTCTGATTATGAAGTTTTTGGAGAATACTTTACAGAAATTTGATGGTAAAATAGCAGATGATAGACATTTAAAAATAAGATAAAAGAGTGACAGGATCCATTTAAGTTTCAACACGAATATTTATGAAAAACGTCAGAAAAAAAAACCATCAACAGAACAATGCCTATGATAGACTGCCCCTCCTCCAATACTGTATCACTACAGGTAGGCATAGAATCATTTTTATTACAAGATAAGTAAGAGCCCTCAGTGACTCATTCCAATGTATAGAAAAATAAAAAAATAATAGCATACCTTTCTTCCCTGCAAGATTTTTTGATAGAGAAACACGTTGCGCAGTTGATTGAGCAGCAAACGAGAAGTGATTAGTCCCCAGTAGGTTGGCACCTGGCCCACTGTCCAGCTTGGGAGCATCTAAATTGGTTCCAGACACTCGTTTACGTAGCTTAAAGCCCTTATCTTTGCTTTGGGCAAGGAAGGAACTCGAAAGGTTTTCACTGATGACAGGTACTTGATCAGAAATGAGGTTAGGAGCCTCAGGCTGTTTGGGGGCTATATCATCATATTTGAAGTCAAAACGAGGTGGACTTGAAACACGGCTGCAATCAACATTGAACTTGTTTCAGCAAAGAGTTTCCGGGAAGAAAATGATTTGTTAAGAAAAGGTAAAGAAATACAAGATTAAGATTGCTGGACAAAAACCGAACAAACTCTCTTTAAGATATAGTGAAAAACTAAAAAAAAAAAAAAAAAAAAAAAAAAAAAAAAAAAAAAAAAAAAAAAAAAATACTTGGCAAGGTCAAGCATTTTTTGCGTGTTTCTGGGGTAAAAAAATAAGAACAAGGAGTCCTGAAGATTGAGGACTTTGAGAAAACTTTTTCTCAAAACCATTGTAGTTGTTGAGCCACGAGGTTTGAACCATCATTACACTGGTTATTTTGTTTGGTATTTTTCAATATTTCTTATACAAAATTGTTCATCAATCACTCCTTCTCGTAATGATAATATCTAATAACTCAATATTGAATTTGAAGATAGTAGGGTATTTTTTGTTAACGACCACAATCATTTGGATGCATTACTTCAACATTACAAATTAAAAGAGATATAGCCTATTAAAAACCATCGTAGATGGCATGGTCCGAACATAAATTAAACATTTTGACTCATTGATTTAGTAAAGTGAGGCATTCAAAGATTTTTTTGAATCAAAAATTCAAAAATAATTGATACATGACTTCATGATAATAGTGTAATAATAATGTATAATACTGACAATGTGATGATAGCGTAAGTATTACCTGTCTTATCAAAAGAAAATTGGCTAAAAAAAGTAAAAAAAAATACCTGGATGTAGGATCCCTACTAACAGTGTTCATTACTGCTTCATTTTGGGTCTCTCCAAGGCCAACCATTCGCTCCACATCAAACGAGTCATCAGAGGACTCATCTTTAGGTAGAGGGGATGTTCTTCGAACATTGTTGGACTGAGATGCATTTACCGGCCGTCTGGGAAGGAACACGTCAGAGTCATTTGTGTCCCCAGATTCTGCCTGCTCGATGTTCTTTGATGCAGCATTTTCTTCAAATGAGGTAACTGACAGATTTTTCTTGACTGTGCTCTTATTGGCTGCATTTGCCTACAAAATATTGAGAGAAGTTTAAGATATCAAAAAAATTTTCAAAATAGTTAATCACGGTTAATTGAACGAGACGTGTTCTGTAAATCCTATCTAAGTTGGAAGGGTCATTGTTGCTATTCAGAAAATATATATAATATCAAATCTAATGAGAATCATTAAACAAGGGCATACTTCCAGGAGGTGAAATTTTAGGCTTGAAAAATGGATTCACATTGAATTTGGGAAGATGTAGAATTTTGCATTTTTAAAGTTGTGCAAAGAATTTTTATCAAAATTTATTAAATTGTGTAATCCTTAAATTGAGTACTTTCCCATCCTTCTTCAAAAGAAGAACAATATATGCTCAATAAATTTCAACAAGTAGCAATACTTCCCTTTGGATATTTTTTTTTTCATTTCTGTGGAATACACTTATATTTTGTACTATATTACATTGTTTAGCTACTTTGTACAAGATTATTCTCAGCTGTTATAATAATTTAAATTATATCAATGGTGAAACTACCAGACCACGTATCTCAGTTTGCGACACTGCAGACTTCATGCCATATTTTCTCTTTTAAATGGAAAACTACTCAGTCAATTCTTGAAAACTTCTGCGATTTTTCTTCCCTCTGCAAAGAAAACTCTGAAGAAACTTCAAGGAATGATATTGATATGTTCTCCTCCAAAAAAATAACATGGGAGTGGGGATTTTTAAACACTGCAAACAAGATACGTGGTCTGGCAGTTTCACCGTCAATATTCAATATTTAATTATAAAAAATTACATCATTTTTTCAAAGAATGACCTTACAAGACAAGAGAAACAGCAAAAGAAGATTTACCTCTGAATTTTTAGCTGCAAATACATCTGGTGAGTTTTCGATAATGTCCTCACTTTCAGTTGGTGAGCGAGATCCATCACTGAATATGGCTGGAACAAAATAAATTTAAGAAGTGATAGCATTGAAAATTTTACAAAAATTCAATTAGCTTGTAAGTAATAATTTACTTAGTAACACTCGGGCTAATAAAAAATAGTTTATATTCTACATCCTTTTCAAAATGTCAGTGGTGACAAAATATTCGTTCTATTTCATTTCTTTAAGTGGAATTCTTGCAGAAATTCGATGATACAGGTTTCGTATCTACACGATGTTTCCATACTTTAAAGTTAACTTTTTAACTCTTTTCTTAAATTGTAAGTTTGTCTGCAAGCAATTTGATAGCTGATAATTTTGTTTTTTTTTTCTTTTTTAAAAAAAATTTAAAGCAATCTCCTAGTGGGTGGTGTAGATTCAAAGAGCAAAATGAAAATAATTTCCTAGAAAAAATTAAATAATTTCTGACAAACAGATTGTGAAAAGAGGTTTTATTACAGTTGAGCAAAATCAGTTTTACATGATTAAAAACTGACTTTTGCTAAAAGCAGACTGAAAACAGGCACTAAACAAAAATATATTAAATCAATAACTCACTACACGGTCTTGCTATTGAAATATCAGAGCATGGAAATCAACACAATTATCAGTCATGCTCCTGATTTAAATGTTACCATATTCTACCCAGGGGCTTCAAAACTTGTTGGACAAAGTATTTTGCCTCAGGGGATAAAACCTCCGACAATGCAATATCGAGAAGTATATTTACTTCAACTTTATGAAAGGCTCACTATTTACCATGGAACATGGGTTCTGTCTTTTAAATTTGCAAAGGAAATGTAACCGCTCACATTGAAAAAGTGGCAAAATGTGCAAGAACATAACAAAACAGCAGTTTTTTGCGATGTTTACTTTGATAGAGTTTCCCTGTAGACTTCCCAGTAGACTTTAAATAAAAGAGAGGGAGGGGGAGAGAGAGAGAGAGAGAGAAAACTTTTAGAGTAAAAACACTCACTTTCATCATCGCTGGCATCATTTGGCTCTATAACTATGGTGTCTATGATCTCTGCATCGCTGGGTATTTTGGAAGTTCTTTGAGGCCTGAGGAAAATAATGAAAAATGAAAAAAAATTACATCAACCAAGTAGTGTTTGACATGATCATTTTACAAAAAGGACTACACACAGAATACAAAGTTATTTGGCACTAGCTGAATTTTGATAATATTCATTTGTTGTTCTCTACGGTCTCCTCCTGAGCTTGATAGGCTTTTAAAATCTAACTTATTAGGTGCCAGTGTCAAGAAAAGCAGGGCTGAAAAGGAAATTTTTGACCTAATTACATGTAAATGTGTGAGGCCACTCTGCAAGAAGCTTTGTCACTTGGAGGAATTTTATTCTTTTGCCTGTCTTAACTTCCCCGCCTACTAGGAAACAAAAACTCTCCTCGATCACCAACCTTATTTTGTAACATCTCTGCTATCTAAAATTCTTATGTTTGATTTTACCCAAATAATTCAGGCGCTGTATCCTTTTCTGCAGTGTAACGACTGTGTAAACCAAGAGAGCTTTTTCAGAAGTGTGACAAATGATTTGCTATCTCCAATGGAGGATTGAAAGTAAATTCAAGGAAAAAGCAGATCTTCTGTCTAGCCTCAGAAGATGGTAAATTTATTTGGCGAGGAATCTACTTCCAATTGATTGGCCAGATCCACCCAGCACCAATCTGTTGGAGTCCCGATACTTTGAAAATGGGGGAATATCATTCAGTGAAGCGTTGTGTAGTTTACAGTTAATTGGACGGATTTCAATCAAACAGAACTATGTGCAGGGGAAAGATGGGGTGTGCTCGTCAGTGCTCCGGCCTTAAGAAAGAATGGAAAATATAAAGCTTCAGTGACCACGCCGCCGCCGAGCTTCTCCTGCAGCCAATTAATTCATGAGCCCTGTGCACAACGCTTTAGATACATACCTACCCACAGCTCATGGGTGCCGCACTTAGTTGGCTCACAGTTCCGTTTGCTGAATTGGAGAAGCGGGATTTCACGTTCCGTTAAACGGAACTGTGTGCACAGTGTATGAGGCGTAAACCTTGCAGACAGGACTCATGAGTTAAATACCACCTTCCCGATCGTCGTTGCCGCTGGTGTCACTGGCGCTTTATATTTCCCGTTCATTCTCATGGCCCGAGCACCAACGAGCAAACCCAATAATGGATGTTGCGACATTCGTCCGAAAAACCACTGCCTGAGATTGCTGAATCAACAGACAGAGTAGGTAAGTGAGCGCTTCGTGTGGCAGGAGCTTAGTATGCCTGTATCAGTGGCCACCGCACCCAGACATCCAATAATTACAAATTCTGGAGCGATATGTACCTATTCTCTAAGTTAGAGAGTCCCAAATAGCCGTCAAATGCTTAGAAGAACTAGAAACAGTTATGAAAAACTGCAAGTCAAAGATTGGTAGATAGATACTGACCTTTTCACCGGTGAAATTTTGGCTGTGAGGGTTGATGCCACAGGTTTCTTCTCGAAGTAAGTGGAGATTGAGCTCTGGTTCTTGGTTGCTGACAAACCTTTGATTTTCCGGTCATTAGGAGCACTGACACTCATTTTTACGGAAAATATCGAGCATCGTAGGGTTGATTTTCTTACCCCTGATACTGGAACAAGGACTGGGATGTTTTCAAACTGTCACGATCGAGAAAGTGAATACTTTAAGATACCTGAAGCATGACAGAACTCCTTGTATCTGAAATTAACGCATAAATTTAGAGAATTTAGAGGCTGAAACACTTAAAATTTTGAGCGTGAACACACGAACACACCAAAAAAATTTGAATGACCGCGAATCTCAAAATGTAAATATTGGGAACGGTTTAGTGATGGCGGTCGGTGCTGTCAACATTGAAAGCCGACCCGCGCGATTTCAAATTTTCGGAACTTCCAAGTCGCACGGTTACCTTTACCGACTGATAAGTATCAGACATGGCATTAGAATGATTATTAGGATTCGGTGCCGGAATTTTATTATAAAAATGGATACTTAACTTTCAAAAATTTCAGTTCGATATTTTTTTGGTCTAGAATTATTTTTAGATGAGAATTGCCTGTTTCTTCTTACTGGTACCTACATTTTATTTCCTGCTCTGGGATAGTGTTTCATTTATGCGTCTGCTTTATCAACTTAAGCAGTAAGTACTCAGATAAACTGAAGTTAGCAAAGAGCATGGGCAGTAGAAAAAATAAAAACGATATTAAAAAAAATGCATGGAGATTCAAGTTTACAACTTTGACTTCGCAGATTTTAAAGATGGCATGTGATGTGTTCATTGCTGACTAAGTACTCAGGCACGACTCTCATAGGATGACCGAGTAACATGATGAGAATGAAACATCACTCTCCTGTAAAACTGTTCTAACACCCTCAAATAGAGGTGTTTCAAATAAGTTAATCAATGCCATTTCCAGCCCTTTTATTAATCAAAGACACAAGCTTGATTATAACCACGTCTAGAACCCATTTTCGTCAAGGTGAAGGTAGCTTTACATCCCATATTCCGAATTCGCTTCGACATCCATGAGGCCGAAGTTTTAGCAAAAAATTTTATTTTGTGTGATTGCAGGCCCCAATATGAGATTCTGCCTCCACTGGTTTTTTGTGTAGGTATTTATTTGTCTATTGATTTTGCAATAATTCTTTGCACCATGTTGAACAACGCACAAAGTCTAAAAGCAAAAAAACAAGAAAAGGGTCATCATTAATGGAATCTGTTGCCTTGCTTCCATGAATTGCTGCCGAAGACTGTTGCCTACACAGCTGTCTCAAGATTCAGCCCTGTATAATTGTGACGAGAGGACTGACAATAATTTCCCATTTCATAAAGAGAAAACAGAAGATAGATTTTAGAACTATAGCTTCCAATGAAAAAGTCAGTCGGTGGATTTTCCCACTGTTCAGAATGGAACAGTCATTCTTCAAGAAAATAATGTGGAGGATTATACAGGAAAGAAAAACATTTATTTAAAACAAAAATATTTCTTTATGGCAATATTTTTAAAAGTGCAATACAAGTCAGTTTCACAAACCAATAAACAACAGAGACTGTAACCTTTAATTTTAAAACATTCAAGACAATTTAACAATTCAATAAAAAACAATGTTCAGGCTTAAAATTGGAACTTGAGAATATCGCACTGGAGTGCATCAATCACAAACACATAAATGCATAAAAGTAGGTATGCTTGAACACTTTGAGAAAGGATGTTGAGAAAATGAAGAATAAGCTAAAATTTAAGATAGGTATTTAAAAATTAAAAACAAGAGAATAATGAAAACTTGATCTCGACCGTCTTTAACAGAAATGCAACAAGTCGAGTTTTTGAAGAAAAAAAGACAAAAAAAAAAAAAAATGTTCAAAATAGTTTTGAATTCAACTAGGCATCAATATTCTTGTATCAAAAATTCAAAGACAAGAGTTTTGTTTCCTTTTCCTGAACTAATTTTTAACTTCTCATAAAACTATAATTACTAACTACACCTGAAAAAGCCTCCTCAGCTGTAATACACGCAATACAGTCCTGTATGCCACTTGGCTTCTTTTTGGTGGGGAAAAAATGAAACAATAAGAGGGACAAATTTAATCAAAGGATCAAGTAAAAATTGTGACAGGAATTGAGAAGATGAGCTCAGGAGGAAATATGCAGCTAAATATAAAGAGCAAAACATTCTTTCCAGTTCAACTAAAAAACTAGGAGTTTATGCATTCATGAGCTTGTCATGCACTCCCTTCAACAGACGCACGCACAAACACCCATGCACATACGTACAATCTCACACAAATAAACAATGATAAAAATGCTACCTGAGCTGGTGAACCGTTCGGAGCACCTGAAATCGAAGTAAAACAAGAGAGGGTTGACTACTACCCTTCATAAAAAACCAAGTTCGTTAAGTACACAAGTTTCGTAAGTTCATTATAGGGTGAAGAAGTATGATGCCTGTAAAGTTTAGGAATCAGTATCTTGTTAAAAGTGGTATCTACAAATTAAAAACTGTTTCTAAGTTTAAAAGCATCGAAAGATAGAAGAATAATCGTTTGAAAGTGGAGCACATGAAATTATTATCACATACATTAATTATGACATGATCAGTAATAAGAGGAGAGGGATCGTTCCTTGATTTACTCATTCTCTTGGTTGGTGTATTTGCCTGCGGCAGTTTTGAAACCTGTTCATTTTACAGAATCCAGCCCTCAACCCTCTAGAAAAACCAGAGACAGTTTGTGATTTCAAACCAAGAAAGAAAAAAAAGATTCATTTAGAAATCAGGAGAATGGCAAATGCCCTACATTCTGTCATACCATTGTTCTTAAATTAATCAAAACCAACCTTTAAAAGATGGTTTAATGTAAGGATTTCAGATTAAGTACAAAATCATCACAAAATTGGCAGAATGTGGTCTGAAACAAGTCTTGTTTTTGTTTTCCTAACAAGTACTGGTGATACTTAGGCAGAAGCAGAGATGCAGAAAGTTCCAAGCTTTCCCAAAGTTAGCTTGAACTTCCCCTATTTTTAATCAAAATTCAGGACCAGTTCCCCTTGAAAACTAAAAACTAAAAAGAGAGCCCTTTCCTTTAAAAATTTAGACTTTTCCACCGACAACATGTTGCAAAAACGAACATTTCGAGAAAGATCTGACAGGGCTCTCTCATTTTTTCCCTTTTTCTATTCATACAGTGGTTCTTCCATTTCACATGACTGGTCAAGTCACGAGGTCCGAAAGTTTCTGCACACTCTGCTGGAAGTTTTCGATCATTCATACCAAACTTTTGGAATTTCCTTGCAAGCACCAAAAAAAGAAAAAAAAAAAAAATTCAATTATAAATAAGGAAATTCTTGTATTCGACAAGTAGCAGTTCTTTTGAATTGATTTCAACTTTTGAGCAAACAAAAAGGAGACTATGATCTACATATTTTCATTTACTAATTCTACACACTAAAGAAAAGCACATTTTGCCTACCTAAGACCATAATTTGTGCATATTGAATGTTTATTCTAAAAGTATCTTATAAGTTTGCTTTCATCATTGATAAATATTAAGTACATACATAAATTCTTCCTTAAAAACGAAAAATGTTGAGATAAGCTCAGCCGCAGAGAAACATTTAAATGAATGTACTTTACTGAATACAGGATGATCCAAAAAGTCCAAAACTACCGGCACCCGACATCATCCCTGTAACTTTTGAGCAAATTTAGATAGAGACTTGAAATTTTGTAAGCGATCCTAAGTTGAAAGAAGCGACTTTGTGAACCCCTCAAAATTTTAGGGAGACTATCCTGAAAGAGGCAAAAAACTGAAAAAAGTTATACGAATGTTACACAGCTTTTGGATCACCCTATAGATTTTCTGGTTGGTGCAGTGAACAAATATGCTTCTTGATGGTAAAACTAGAAAACCTTGAGTCAATAAGGAAAAGAGTAAATTTACAAAATTTTCATGATTTTCCTCGGGCTATCTAAACTAACCGCAGAGAATTTCATGCAAAAATATGGCTTAGCTTTTTTTAAAAAAATAAAGTAAGAAAGATCATTTTGCAAACTTTGAAACTGAGATAAAGAGGTTGTCAGATCCATTATCGCTATGCACATAAATTAACATGACTATTGCACATCCAATGACAAAGCGCACAGAGATGTTTCAGTTCTCATAAGATTTCATTTATTTGATCAAACCTGGGCTGAAAAAGAAGGGAGAATCTATCTGAACACAAAACATATTGTTTTCTTTAGCTTTTGCACATTTTTAAATAAAACATTTGACTAGATTTTTACAGACTTGCGAAAGCAAATCATGGCACTAGTGGTCTGAATCGTTGTCTCTTTATTCAATATTTCATACCTAAATAACGTTTGGCTAAAAATACAATGGATCAATTTCCCAAATAAAGTTAAGTACTTTCATTCTGTGCCTGAGATCGTTCTTTGAAGTTAGAACGTTTCAAGACTTACTGATTGACACTATTTGGGATTTAACATATTTGAGAAGAAATAACCCACTTGTCAACGACTAAAAATAGTGTTAAGAAAACATCGCTACAACATTACTGTCAGACGTAATGTTGTGACATTTCTGCAACCACTTGCCCAATGGAATGGACTCTGTTGCTTTTTATTTTTAAATCTGTTATTTTTCAAATTATTTAAAACTTACATTTAATGGTCATAAAATTCTTTTAAAAAGTTTCTACAACAGGTAAGTACAATTCATCTCTGCGCTTGCAACAGTTTAAAGTACATTTTTGTGTTTTGTACAAAATTTTAGCACATAATAAGAGTGCAATTCTGCTTGCATCCAGAGGGGATAAAAAATTCAAGTATTGTCACTTCTGCTTGATGTTAATCAATGAGGCACTTTAATTGGTTGGTTATGTTTCAGCAACGGATTCAAAAATAATGCATTGCTTGTCTCAAATTTGTTTTAAATTGATAGTTCCAATTCAACCATTTGATTCAAGGAGGTGAAAAATTAAAGTGATCAAATAAATTGAGGCTCCAAGTGCAGAAAATTCCAGGGCTGTGTGTTGTCTCAACTTCGGAAAAAATTCAGACGGGCTATGCATTTTTTTTAGAAACACCCTATGTGATACTGCATATTCGCCTCATCTACATGTTTTAGGGCTTAGCTCAGAAGTGAAAAATTTCATTGATCTTAATATTATTTCATAATTTAGACCATTCACTTAGATTCTGGAGTAAATTATTACTTTTACTACCCGTAAAAATACATGAGTTTTTAATTTTTTCCTTCAGAATTTAACATGCTCTTCTTTTATAACCAACAATGATTAAAATCTCAACCCATCAGTAATGAAAAAGTTTACTCCAAATACCATAAAGATAGGAAGAAACTTGTCAATTTTTATTCAACTTGCATAAAAAGTTTTGAGATACGTTCATATTTACATGGGCTGTCCCAAGAGTTTTGCATTGATCCACTGGATGAATCAACAAAAAAAGGTAGCCAGTTGCGGGTTGCAGGGTTCTATAGATTAAACGCTCACATTATGAGCCCTTGTTGAGCAAATTTTGTGTAAAAATGACCTAGATATAGCGTTTCCTAGAAGACATGTTGCGCAGACCCTCACCAGATATTAAGACTTTTTGGTTGCAGAAAAAATAAGAATTTACAATCCTTCGCCACTTCACCTACGACCTAAATCTTGCACCTTGTGATATGTGGCTTTTCCCACTGTGGAAAAAATGTTTACAAGGCAGGATATTTATTCCTGATGATGATGTAGATGAAATTATAAATACAAAGTTTTATGTACCTACATGAGGATTTCAGCAAAACGACTCTAGTCAAATGGGAAGACCACTCACTGTGTATCAAGGCAGAAGGAATCTACCTTGAAGAAGATGGAAGAAGCTCAGAAGTGTCCGATGAGGAGCAGTAAAGTATGCAAACTTTACTGAAAAAACAAAGTTTCTTCATTCACACATCTGATATTTGAATATTCTTCATTTTTTTTTTCCTATTAAACATTTCTGGAATTTGGTAGATGTCCGCACAACACATCTTTAGAAAAACGATGTTCCTCCATCAATTTTAAACAAATTAGAGCAACAAGTTGATAGTAAGTTTATTTACAGCAATGGCAACTTGCTAACTCTTTATATTGGCTCATACGGTAGACCAATGCAGAACTTTTAGGACAGCCCATGAAAATTTAAGTCAAACCATTGTTGACAGATTTCTTACTTATGTTGACCTCTTAGAGAAAAATAATTTTTTTCTGTGGACTCTACATTACTCATCTCCTATTTACACTACCTATTTAAATGATAAATTTCATACAATTTGCAATCTTTGGCAGAAGAAATTATTATTTTTCTTACTGACCTTTTGTCACTGATGAGCGAAATTAGAACCTCATTTTCCCCAAGATTTAAAAAATTCACTGTCGGTAAGGAGAATCATAATGGTAAAAGTGCATCTGTAGTCACAGCCTCAATAAAATAAAATCTAAGAGCTTAAGTCGTTTACAGTATACTCTTCTTTTAATGCCGGGAGCCGTGAATATGAGCTCTTCGACATTATAAACTGTCGCTGCTATAAGCTCCTGACAGTTAGTGAATGAACAATGAGCTGCTGTCAGGTTTCATTGAGCATCAAACGTTGGTAGTGCGGCATGATCTGAGACACGGGGATGATCAGTCCAAATTCCAGTGCCACCAACACTGCAAACTCACAGGCAATGATATCTTTCCTTGTCAGCCTGAACACACTCTCCATGCGCTACAAAAGACACACAAAAGAGATCTAAGAATTTAGGAGGGAAGTAAAAAGACCTTTAGTCACAACTACTCTGAGACATGTAGAAATGCACAATTTTCTGCCAGAAGGAGAACTTTCCATCGAGGAGGAGCAATGTCTGATCAAAATGGATTTATGGCAGTTTGAAATTTGCATCTACAGTTTTGAAAAAAGGAGAGAAGCCCGCACGATCTTTATGGGAAATGGCTCTCTGTCAAATTTGATGAAACCTGGGTATGAAGCTCAGCTAGTCATTCTGATCAAATGCTCTTGTGGGCTGAAAGAGATCCCATGAGCGGATTTCGAGATATTTACTGTTTTATGTGCGTAAATTGAGGTTTCCCTGGCTGGACCATTGTGCAGCGCTACTCACGCCCTTTCCTTCTAGTCCACTCCTGCCGCTCTCTGCTTCCCTGCCACCCATACCCGAGGCTCCGACTCCGACGCTCACGAGGCTTTGCTCATTGTCACCCGGCCGGGTGGTCTTATCTCCCACACCTGGCCATATGTTTTGAAATCGCAGATACTTGTTACTTTGCAAAAAATGTCTCCTTTCCAAAGAAATTTTAAACTTCACGGAGATAAGAGGATAAAGCTGTACTATGAATTCAGAACTCACCTCCATAAGCTGTTTGAGGTTCTCACCCTTGACATCATTCAGTTTAGCAGATAGTAGTAAAGATGCAGCTGCACAGAGTTTGCGGTTCTCTTTGTTGATGCAATTGCGCAGAATGAGCTTCTCAAAGTAGACATAGGCTTGGGCAACTGTAAGTAAGTCTGCAGCATCTTGTTTCACTGATTTTCGCATGTCGCGTTTGAGGCTGGAAAGGAAAATGGGTATTTGTGGGTAAAATACATTGAAAGCCAATGCACAAAAAGACACAGCATTAGTCACTACACAAGGTAAAGTGAAGTGACCAACCAAACTCATAGCACCAGCAATTAAGATTATTAAGAGTATCTTATGAAACGTTCTGTTCTAGGTGAAGTTATTATTGGCACTAATTTAAGAATTAACCATGATTGGTTACACCTTATCCAATTTTAAAACACAATTTAATTCTTCATTTTAATAAAATCATCATTTTAAACTGCAAACTCACCACATGGGCACCTCAAGTTTAATATAATCTTTGGCAAAATTAAGAATTACCTCCTTAATTTGCTGAGCGTAAGCTGGACCTCCGGAAATTTCTCCTTGAACTTGTCATTGAGCTCTTTCTTAAGATCCTCAGAGCGAACATATTCGATGATGGATGTACAGTAAGATGTGAACGTAATTAGTGTGCTATGTTTCCCTGCTATTAGTTCTGGATCATCTAATAAGTTGGGGGCGTAGAAGTTCGGACTGTCCCATTCTAAGGAAAACATCCAAACATTATAAATATGTCATTAGTGAGACAGATGAGGAAAAGTATGGAGAAAATACTAAATTTTATCTTTAGCAAAAAAATTACTTCAAGCAACTTCAACATTTAGATAAAATACAACACTCTGGCTGAATTTTTTGCTGCACAACATGGAAGTGGTTTCATTTATTTATTTACGGTTTATCTCAACCATACTTTCAACTCAACTCTCAGCTGAAGAGTACTATGTTACTAGCATTTATTTTGAAAATGAATAAATACATTCACTAATTACTTCATATTAGTGGTGACTTTTTATCACTGATTGAGGCAATAAGTTTGGAGCCCATGTTTAAATTAGTGAGAAACAATAATTTCAATCATGATGATGATGGTCAATAAAATTTAAAAATGTTCAAAATAAGCTCTGCAAGAATGGGGGTATTTTTCATAAGAAACCAAAAGAGGAAACTTAGAAAATAGACTTTGACATTACACGCCACAAACACAGAAAAACAAAAAGTAAAAATCAGCATGGACAACACTGAATATAGTACCTTTAGAAATTTCAGCATTCCCCGAGATGGAGCTGCTGGTTGCTTTCCGGCCACTAGTAACAGAAGAAAAAGATAAGAGCATTGTGACTTTCATATCACGATAAAAGAGGTTTATTCAAAAGTATCATAGCACCTGATATACATGGAGCATAAACAAGAGGTTACCAAAATAGTTATCTTTAAATTATTGCGTGCTATCTAAAAGTCATAATTTTCAATGTGTTTTTCAAAAAATTCCACTTGAAACGAAGTATGGAGAACATCGAAAGGGAACTGAAAGGGAAGGAAATTAATTCACAGTGATCCATCTCTACCACGTGTTGACCTTTCCCAACTAAGCTATGGCATGTAATTAACTCATTCACTTCATCACAGCACAAAAAATTCTGCAATTTCCTTTTATCTGTGCCTACTTTTTTCAATTTTACAACCTTTTCATTCTGCAAAAAAAGGAAAAAGTTGTGGTTGATGAGGAGAATGTACATGTTAGTAGAATATATGGGCATTAAGTATTTTCTGAAAGTGCAGTATCTAAGAAGTCGTAAATTCTGCAGAACTGAGTCTAAGATATTAAACTCAATGCTCATCCTTAAAATGCTTGCCTCACATTTAGTCAGGTAAAATATTCCTTTTATTATTTATTACTTGTTTCATTGAATAAAAACATTTGATTAATGCAATTTACCGTCCCGTTTCCTGGTTATGAGACTGATGAAGAAAGCGAGCATAAGACATTTCTTGACCTTCAGCCCCTTTTTCGATGCAAAGCATGTGGAAAGCATCAAGGTTGTCCAAAGATAAGGGACGATTACTGGAGGTGTTTCTGCGTCTACCACGCTCATCTTTGCGTGGTTCTCTGGAAGAAAAAATTCGTAAAAGAAATAACATACATTGCAGTATAAAAGAACAGAAAAATTCAAGAGAAGTAAAAATTAATAGAAAAACAATAGACTTTGTGATACAGATAAAGAGGAAAAGTAAACAAATTATATTTATTCCTCTTCTCTCCGTTAATGACAACTGCATAAAACAGACTTTTTCAGACTCTCAAATGGAGAACATTGCAATGACTTGATCTTAAAAATACACAGGCAGAAAAAGGGAAAGACAGTTTTCCTCCTGCTTTCATTTCTTCATCTGAGGCAATTTTCACTAATTAAGTTAAAAAGTAAAACTCTTTTCATCAATCTCTAGTACTAAGGAGGGGCACCGTATAAACATTCGAGAGTTGCCAAATTTCCTTGTTATTACTTGTACTTTTGAGGAAAGTTATGCAAAATTTTCCTTGAAATTTTCAAATATATTCAATATATAATTTTTTCATGAATTTGATGAAATTGATTTATATTTCATATACAATAAAAGTTTTCAAATATGTACATTCAATATATAATTTTTTCATATATTAATATTAAAATTTGTTTCACATACACATTATAACAATCAGCTATTTAGATTAAATTGCAAAGACAATTTTCTGCAAATTTTGAGGAAAAATATTCACAATTTTCCCAGTTGAATTTGTTTCTGAAGGTTTATTAGGCTATTAGAATTACTATTTAAGAATTACCCCTCTTAGCATGGAAGAATATGCATTTTCCATAGGCTAGTTCAAAGTCTTGAGTGACTTCAAAGACAGGAATTTGAAGGAACCTGTGTCAATATCTTTCAACTTCAATTAAAGTTCCTATTAGGATCCGATTGCCGTAAAACTGCTTTCGTGTATAAATACTTAAAAAACGTTTCAAAAACTTTGCCTCTCTAAGAAAAGAAAAAAAAAGAGAAAAAACTTCTATGCATGAGCCAGAAAAATCAGTTGGAAAAAAAGTATTACAAAATCTGAAAAAAATAAAAGCAAAATTCGTCTACAAACTGTACTGTATTTAAAGAGGTGATCAATCATCATATCAAATATCATACTTTTTCAGCAGGAGAATCCTGCTTTTACTTCCTTGAATTTTGTAATTTTATTCTTTCAAAGAAGAAGCATTATAAATGTAATTATCTCTTGATACACAGATGAGGAATTACCTGGAGGCCTTGTCAAAGGGGATAGATGAGAAAATTCCAAATGGAAACTTATGAGGTGAGACAAGAATTAGACGGCGGTTATCGAGTTTCATACCCCACTCTGGGCGGACAACATCCACATCCTGTTTGTGTGGCACCTCACATATTGTAGCACTTTTGTTGCGCACTGAAACAAAATTACTCTTTAAAAATGAAAACGCATCTTAAAGAGTAATACAAAGACAACGTGAGACAAAGTTTGCTTAAATTTGCAATCATGAGACCCAAATTTATGCCCCCATGATTTTAGCTTTGATGTTACTTAAATATTGCTACATTCTATGTGCTGGGCTGCTAGGCAAGGTTTCGAATTTCAGCCCTTTTATCTATGTTTTCTCATCAAAACGCATAGAATACGACCTATACAACGAAAATTATTGAAATTAACTATTGAGATACTAACATTTTTTCATGCATAAATTCAAACTCCCAACTTATAAAAAAACCATTATTTACTCAAGTTAAAACGCACACTGAACGTTACTGTAACAGTGTACAGTATGAAAACGTGGCAACCCCAATCTTGGAGCTTTAGCTCAGCTGTTGCATGTTGTTTACACATTGAACAACACAGGAAGGGGAGGAAACACAGACTGATAGAGAAGCCTGCCAAAACAGTTGTAAAGCGCAATTTGAATCATGTAAATTCTGGTTCGTTGCGTGTACACTCGCTATCTACAACTCAAGATCATACTCTTCACATAGTCCCAGCTCTAGGGCACACCATGAGGGAGAACGCAATAGTGTATTCCCTTCGTCAAATACACTGAAAAGGGTAAAAAAAGAAAGCAGCCTTGAAAATCTTGAGACACTACAAATGATGGGTGCATAGGTTTTTGAATTTAACTCTGTAACATTTCATTTGTAAAATATTTATTGAAAGAGAGTTGTGTATTTGATGTTAAACATAGATGCTTTTGCTTACCTAGTCCTCCAGAGCCAAGGCTTTCACTGCTACTGAATGGGTGAAGGGCTCGTTCGTCTGAAATAGAGGATTGATTAGGGACACCTTTCTTCCGAAAACCAAGGATTTTGCGACTTCTTGGAGCACCATCACCACCGACTGTATTTACACTGCAAAAAGTTATTTTATGGACATTAAATCAGGCCTCAAATTCCCAAATATTTACAGAATCAATTACTGAATTGGTGGTTGGCAAAAATTTACGATAGTCTTACCCTGTTATTCATTAATTAATTCCTTGCACTTAAAAAATGCAGTAATTTTGAAGGAGAATCTGAGCTGAGATTCTGAGAATCTGAAGCTTCTTTTTTTTCTTAATATATTAAACCTAGCATATTGAAAGGAAGGGAATTAACAATTGAACAGCAAGACTTAGTGGTAACTGCAGCTCGTGTTGTAAAACTTACATTTCACAGTGACAAGAAAAAAAAACAAAACCATATACAATGAGAATATTCTTAAACTCAGATGGCTGGTGATCTATTCCTGTACTCACATGATCTCAGCACACCTACTTACCTGAAAAAAGATTTAAAATTTGAGACCAATGACTCACCGTTCTCTGAAGCTGGTGGTGGCAAAACAGCGTCCTCCTTCCAACTCGGCAACCTTGGATAAACTACTACAGCTTAGTTTGGTGCTGGCTGGGATGCCCATACTCAACTCCGCTGGGGTTACACCCAACTGCCGCACAATCTTCCGCAACGTTGGTGGCTCTATGATGACAGTGCTACCGGCCACCTGGCTGATCACGACATTCAGCTCCTCTTCAGATGAACCTTCATCTACCTCTTCCTCAAAAACATATTCTTTTTTTTGTTGCTTTTGTGACTCTGATCCATCTAGGGAGATGCTGGTCAAAAACCTGAGAAATAAAAGCAAAAGAATAATAACACAAAATCCTCCCTCCATTTTACTACTTTAGGAGAGTACTAAATCGATGGTGTAAGTTGGCAATCACATAACTCGGTTTGTGACAACGCAGACTTCCTGTCATACTTTATTTTTTAAAAGGGAAACTAGTCAATGGCAATTCTTTAAAACTGCCGAGATTTTTCTTCTCTGTGCAAAGAAAGTTCTGCAAGAACTTAAAGGAATGACGTCAATTTGTTCTCCTTTAAATAAATAACATAGAGGCGGAGATTTCCAGACACTGCAAACGAGATATGTGATTGCTGACTTACACCGTTGATATGCTCCATGTAAAACTTCAATAAAAGCGACTTGATGAAGGACTGCCCAGGGAAAAAGGGACCTTAATTTCTAACTTGAATAAACACTCAAAAACCGAGATACTGTTTCTATAACATAGAGGTTGTTCACGTGATTTTTTAGTGATGTTATTGATTGAGGAATAAGTGATGTAGCGATGATTTAGGATGTTACCTTAGGTGCATCACAGTAAAATGAAATTTTTTATAACAGTACCTAGTCCAGTTAGCGCTATCATTTTCTCATGCTCTTATGCAGTAGGCATCATTTTCCTGACTTTAAAATAAAAATTAAGGTGATGTAATCTGTATCTGTATCTTCAGCAGAAAATGCGTAGTCTGCATTAACTTGGTTCCCAACAGCGAATCGTGTAGATTCGGATATTGTCTTATTTAGTTAAACTATGATGCAGCAGGGCAAAATGCATTTCAGCATGGAGGACAAAAAGGTGAGATAACGATACCACAAATTAATAGAGGAATTAATTTAGAATCGCAAGGACATAAGAACACCTAGGAACTCTTAAAATTGACCCTTCGACAGCAATTCAAAGTTTGAGGACGAAAACACAATAATTTGAGATGGGCACTGTTAATGCTTACTGGTGCTGTTGCTAGTCTCAGGAACAATTCACTTCAGACGTTTTTGACAACATTGATAATATAAATTATGGCGTGAAACTTTGACCGAATGTTTGAGAGAGTATTAGAAAATGCTCAGCATTGAAGAACTCAAAATCGATTTCTTCGACTCCAAATAGGTTTTCCCCAGTTTTAAACAAGTTGAGTTCCAACCTTAGTTACCCTGCTACATCACAAGTAGAGAAATCCCAAAGATTTCTTCTACGCAGACTAAAATAACAGAGTTTCATACTAACCTAATTGCTGCAGCGCGCCTCTGGAAATTCTCTCGTTTCAAGCGTGCCATTGAGCTATGCTGCAAAGAAAGACCCTCCTCAGAATCAGATAGACTAGAACAGCGGTCGTCTTCCATTGGGGGTCACCGAAACAGAGGCAGGGAACATGATATCACATGTTTCCATCTTAACTTGGCACAACCAAACGCTGATTTGTTTGGGAGATACTCCCGGGTTTAACTATTTCCACACCATTTATGAGTACTTTGAGCTTACTGACGCTGCAAAGAGAATACCAATGATACGCAAAGAATGGATACCTTACAACTAGATATTGGGAATTTTTCAAAGGTAAAGTACATGAGAAAGATAAAGGAACAGAATCACAAAACGAATATGACACATTGAAAATCAAGTTTAAATAAACAAAAGCGTCGAATGACAGGCAAGAACAGGAATGTCTATTTTTAAGCGCTAATTCATTTTCGTAGGTGAACTAAAAGCAATGGCACAAAACAGCAAATCTTTCAGTGAGAGCCAAAAATAGCTCTTGAAATCCGAATTCGATCGATTGTGTCGAGGTTAAGGTTATGTTTACCGAAGTGCATCTCTCATCAGTCAGCGATGTGACAGCGCTCTCTGTCGGCATTCAAAGCAAACTCATGGTAAACAAACAAATGTAAAATTTCGCCGCACGAAAATGTGGAGATGGAGACGTAAATGGTGATGCTCTGATTTCGAAAGTTAAACCACCATGTAGGTGTTAGCGTGAATTTTTCAATCTTATTGGCAGTGCTCTTCTCTGCACTATCAGTTTTCGGCTCCTCAGTGTAAACTTTCGTTAAATTTTCAAAATTGTCGTAGAAATTGGATCGTTTTGTAGGTCGTTCTGCTGAAGCTCATGCCTTGTTGAAGTACGTCCCTCCCAGATGATCTCTCAATGATAACCAGTGATGAAATCCTCCCAAACTCGCCAAATTTTAAACTCTTAAGAGCACTCCTCCATTAATCTCATTACTAGCCGAGAAAGACTATGACGATGTCTCTCGGTGTTCCTGTAACGCTCTCCTAGTCCATGGACAGGTTAACAACGCCTTCTCTTGAAAAGGTTGCACCTCGTTATCGTGAGTGGTTGCTTTATTCACAAATTCAGGCTGTAAGTCCCATCTTCAGCATGTTTTCCAAGTTTGCTGTTCTTGTGTACTGCCTGCCAGTCATTGTCTACATCTTAGACTGCGATCTTGAACCATGGATGAAAATAGCAGCCGTTTCATGTTACTCTATGGCCTCATTAGTTGTGCTTATTGTCTACTTGTTACAACAAGACATCTCAGTCAAGAGTGGCCAGGCACCAGTAGATAGACTGAACATTGCCTACAAATTTTCACCTCCTACTGAATCATTAGATGGTCTGAATAAGGAGGTTCGGAAAATCGCACGACAGTTTTCAGAATTGAGAAGGATTTTTTTCTTCTACACCACCACAGATGTAAGTATAGTGAATTTTAATTATATTACTTCATGCAACTTCTACAGGGAGACAGGGGTGCCATTTCAGGGTTGTGCAGGGCCAGGCAAGAAACGACAAGTTATTTCTCTCTTTTCTTTAATTTACACACCTTTCAGTGAAGTACAGCAGATAGCCATATGGTTACGCACTGGGACTAAATGATCAACTAGGTTGTTTGGATAGTTGATAAACTATTTTGTTTTCCAAGTATAGGAGCAAGCCAAAACTCTTCCCGACGATTCTCCAACCTTTTGCTCCACTGTAGCAGTACCGAACGATTATTCCCGGCCCGACTTCAAAACATAGGGCCCAGCCTGCCACCCCCAAATGGTGACCTTGCATGGAGAGCCTTATGCCTTTACATGAGGCATCAGTCAGGAGGAAAGAACTGTTTCTCAACCTAGAGGCCTTGTCCAAGATTAAAATAAGTATTTGTTGTGTAAGAAAGCTGAAATGATAAAAATTTTACTAACTTTAGGGCTTTTCTTCACACAAATTGCAAAAGATTGTGATGAGCAGCATTACTTTTCTATTCCAGTCTACCATCGCTTTCCTGTGGAACGCTTGGTTTGCCCTTCTAGAGGGCTTTTTTTTATCCGAACCACAGAGGTTCGCTACGGAACACATCACTCTTTTATCCCGTTCCACTGGCGCGTTCCATGTGTTCCAGTAAAACGCTTGGAACACTCTTCCAAGGTGGGCGGAGGTTGGCTGAGGCCGCGGTTAGGCCGGTTGAAGTAGCCTGAACCGCTACCATCGTGTTCCATAGATAAAAAAAAGCCCTTGAGGTGGGTCATGTTCAATCCTAACCTCTAGCGTAACTGCTTGGAATGCTCTGATACCTGATTAACCATGTTTCACAGACATAAAAAAAAAACCATTTTAATTTATTAGGAAGAACAGCAGCAGTTCTTAAAAACTTCTAGAACAAACTACAGAAATTAAGTTCTACTCTAACATATCTTGATTCAATTTTAGTTTGGTTTGTATTGAGTCCATTTACCAGCAACTATGAAATGAACTATTTACAGACTTTGTCTTGATATTATGATCCTTCCCAAGATGGAGGAAAAGCAGTATTAAAAAATCCAATAATTCACTCCTGATGTAGGTCATAAAATCTCAAGTTTTAAACTCTTTTGAATTTTTCTTTCAGTAGGCAAATTCATAAAGGGCATGAATACCATTAAAAAATGATCTCTTTAACTCTGTATCAAGATCTTTCTTCATAACGTAGAAAAGTTCCATGTATCTAAATAATTAGCCACCTCTCCATCTTCCTCTCTCCTTTGAACCATGATATCATATTTTTAAAGTGGATGATCTTTCCTGAATTTTTTATTATTAATATTGTTTTTAATGGACTCATCTCCTGTCAGTGCTGGACTAAACTATTTCATGATTCGCAAATGAAGTTCCCAAAAAATCCAAGTTTTTCCTCTAGTCCTCAAGTCTATCAAAATACTAACGAAGATGACATAATTTTTCTCAGGTTGTCGATTTAGGTTGTGCAGGCGGCATCATTTTAACAGAGGAGATGGCAACTGATGCAGCACAGAAGAAAAATCTAGTTAAAGCGGGGTTTAAGCTCCTCTCTACCCCACCAGTCTCACACGCTGTCTTCTCAGAGTATCCTATCAAGTGGTGGCTTCCTCTTAGTCAATGGCTGGCCTGTTATCGCACATATCCCCGTGTACATCGCTATTGTGAGGTGAGGGATGACACTTTTTATACTTTATACTGCCCAGTAAAAATGTGTGTCCCTCTGTAAAACAGTCCCCCAGCAAGAAATGAGCAATAAATCACTAAATTCAGCTAAATCCTTGCGTATAAAACAATACCCTTAGAAGTACACTGCAGTTGTGCAAAAATGGCCAAATCCTGGAATTTTTCACCATCTCTTTCGTTCTCACAAAATTCCCTCTAGTTTCAACCTCTTTAGAGGCCTGTTCAGTGGTTATTTGTTGATTTTTTTCTTCTTCTCTTTTTTTTCCCCTTTTAAGCACCTAGGTACTAAGTTTATTTTTGTTTAAGAGTATTTAAACTCCAGGAGAATTATTTCATTTGCAGTTTTTTTAGATTCTAATCTTCAAACCTTCAATCAATCTCATAATTTCATCAATTTTTTGCAGAAACACAACCTAAGTGCCTACCCCATGATTGAGATCTACAATCGGCACTCAATCCTGTTCATCGCACCCCTCGCACGCCAGGATGCTTTTGTCGTTCCAGAAGCTGAAGATACCATCGCACGCGCAAAGATCAAAATTGACGAGTTAGAAGATGAAGCATCAGGCACAGAGGCGTCTAACTCTGAAGTTTCAGATAATGAATCTGAGCTTGACCGGGTTTCCTTGGATACAGGAAGGTCGGTCTCTGTTAAGTCTGGATCCAGGAGGTCGTTCTCTGTTAAGTCTGAATCTAGGAGGTCACTCTCCGTCAGGAGCTCTGTCTTATCAACAGTTTCCAAATCAACTGTAATGAGCTATCATTCCACGTATGATGCATTCAGTGATGATGAAGATGCACAAAAGAACGCTCAAAAGGAAGGAAAAGAGACAGAGGGTTTCTTCCGCAGGTAAGTTAATTTCCCAATTAATTAATTTATTTACTTTTTTGAAAGCTTCTTTAATCTCAGGAGTAGCTTCTGGGTGAAGCCAATGGTACGATTATGCTCCTCCCAAAATTTAGAGGATGCATAATGAACCATTATACATGGTTCGAAGTATCCAAAATTACCAAACCCATCTTAATAAAATTAGTTTTTGTAGTGTACATTAGAATAAGTTGATTCGAACTTCCACAAGAAATAATCAAAATTAATGCATGTTGAACTGGAGATAAAAAAATAATGCAATATGTCCCACAAGAAAAAATAATACAATTTGTAAAAATTTTCTGTATGTATTTATCCAGTTCATGAAAATTTCATCTCTATTAAGATACACAGAACTTGCAAAGCCGGAAAGAAAAACTTAGCTGACAGAAAAAATTATTCAAGCATAAAACTAACTAAAATAACTTTGAAACCCAACTTGACATAAGCAAACTTTGGTTTTTTGAGGGCGAGAAGTTTGGAATAACAAACTCAAAAAGTGCTGTTATCTCACCTCTGAGTAAACCTTAGAAATTTGAAATGTATCCTTCATATTTTACATAAAATTTCACTATAATGCATGTGTTGAGGTGCGTATTTGCCTATCCTGTATCAAGTGGTCCTTTATCTGGTGAAATCTCAAAACGTTAAAGTAGCCCGATTGAACTGTCTTTTCAACTCTCTGACTTATTTTGTTTCAGGTCTATGTCCAGCTGTGCCCGAAGGGTAAAACACATGCTTGGTTTCTCTGCTGCTGAAACTATCAAAGAAATCCCAGAAACCACAATGACAGAGGAAAGTGTCTCTCATACAAAGCTTGACGAGGGTGGTAAAGAAGGCTTAGTCAATGGCTCAGTAGGCCTGTCCTCAACCTCCACAGCGCGCAGCAAGAGCGCTAATGGCCTAATTGAGCGGGGGCTGCAGAAAAGCGTTTCGCAGGTCGTCAGTGCTCTAAACCTGTTGGGCACAGAGGGTGAGAGCAGTGGGTCGTGTGCAGCGCAGGTTAAGCTGGAACTGAAAGCAGAAAGTGTTAGTCAGTGCGCAACTAGTGTCCAGAACAGTTTTCAGGTTCCTACAGTATCGTTTGTTGGCGCATGAAGTGATGGCTTGGTATTCGTCCAAATTCGTGCGTATTTATGACTTCCATTTCTCCTTTTTTTTCTGAAAATAATAAGAGATCTTGCTGAGACTTTAATGTGTGTCTGGCGAGGTCTTTAATTTGAATCTGTATCCAAATTATCCTCAGTGATCCATGGGGAAAAATTTGAAGGCTCATTGAATCTATGAAGTCTACTATTATCTCAAGTTAGTCTGTAAAGGAGTAGATGAAAATGTCATTTCAAAGAAATTCTATGAAATTACCAGTCTGCCTTTAATCCTCAACTTAAAACTGATCGATTTAATCTTTAACATTTCAATTGTCCATCCCAAAAATGCCCTTTTAAAAAACCAAATTAAAGCTGAATAGTGCAAACTTAAAATATTGCTCCCCTATTAGTCAAATTGAATAACAAATTCTAAATTTAATGGTTTGCTTCTAATTTAGGCTTTCGATAAAGATTTTGTGATCCTGTACAGCAGAAACCTACCTCTTTCTGCAACAAATTCAGTTTTAAAAGCAAAAGTAGTATTAAAGTGAAAGTTTGATATTGTGATTTTTTCTTACCTGCACTGGAAATTAGTCTTAAAGTACAAGGATGCATGTCATGCTTGTGCTTGAGGGAGCTGGGTGCATTACCCGAATTTATCGATCAGTAAAAAAAAATCAAATAGTGAAAATTCGATCATCTAATGATTGTAACATCCTAGACATGATGTAGTGCTAAAGCAGGGAAAGAGCATAGAGGAGAAAGGTAGAGTGCAGAACTCAACAGCCTCCAAATAATTTTTTGCCAGAGTGAATTTTCATTAATATTTCTGTGTTTATGGATTAACTTTGCAGCTTGAGTATGCATCATGTGCTGCTCTAGTAAGCTCCGAGGAAAAAAAAATTTATACATATTCATCTATACAAAAATATGATTTGACAGTATTATTCTCTTCTCAGTTAGGAAGATGTTCATTTTTATTTTTTATTTTGAAAGTGATTCGTTCATTGGTAGAAATTACCTCACAATTCAAGTCATATTTTAGGAAATCGATCCAGAATTTTTGAAAATTGCGATCGGTAACTTTTTGTTTTCTTTTTTTTAATTTTTTTTTTTTTTTAGATCATGTGGAAATTACAGAACTCTAGCGTTAATATTCTAGAACTTACCTTAGGAAATTTTTTTTTATTAATGATTCTTATATTTCACATTTTCATCTTTTTCGTGCTTGACGAAATTTCACTCACTGTTATGACAACTGTAGCCTAGTATGTTAATGGCTTTTTTTGTGATTAGACGGATAACAAGCACATCTGCTCTTCCGCTTATCATTATTTTGACTTTCTGTCAATAAAATTGAATTATGAAGTTGTCATACCCAAAACGCATCTTTGCGTTCGGTGTCTAAATCTTGCTCTTATCTAACATGTAAACTTAGAACTCACAAGATTTTTATATTTGAGATTCTATAGTTCAGCCCTTTTCAAGCTCTCATTAAAAAACATTGAGTAAGGACGCTGAGATTTTTTCAAGATTTGTTTGAGGATAAAGTAGTAAAAGGAACACAGTGACTCTTCGAGTAAAATGTACGTGTGGCAAGAGCTTGCTCCTGGTTCAAAGAATCAGTATTTTTATTCAATCGAGACTCCCACGTTTTTAATTTTGTTGATTTTTAAAGGATCTAAATTAGATGATGCTGATCTTTTGACTGCGGGTTATATGATTTCAATTTAATAAGTCAATTTTATTTCAATGAAACTGAAAGAAGACTGACATCACTACGTATTCTTTGTGATAGAACAAAATTGTATCAATCTTTTACCATTAAAGCAGGTCCGATGTTAACCAAAGGCCAAATATGCTTTGCATTCAAACTTTACATCTCCTTTCCTATCTCATATCATATTGAACAGCATTCACAGTTTTCTGACTTTTAACGTCTGGTCACATACTAAGTATAGTATTTTGAAAGGAGACATTGGGCATTGTGGTGCTCAGCTGCATTTTTTATGAAATGTAGCTAATAATTAGCACTACGCTAAATTACAAATTAATGCATTTTTTTGGAGAAAATGAAGATTACTAGGTTATTTAGAAGTGAAAACCAATGAATCGAAAGGAAGGGTTGAGCTAAGAGTCATATTTTTGTTTTTTTCATTACCAGAGGCTTGTGATTTTATTATAAGCAGTCGTGAAAAGGGAGAAGAAGGAAAGTTTTCAGAAAGTGAAAAAACACATTTCGTAAAATTGACTGTACCCTAAGGAACAGAATTTTTTTCCCCCAGTCTTCTACTTTGCGGATGTTGTTTCAGCAATAACAGCCATTTCTTTGAAAAATTATTTACCTATGTAAATATGTAAGAAACTTATACAAGACTGGATTCTGGACGATGCAAAGCAATTAGTTTGGCCTTGTTTATCATCGTAGTCTTCTAATACTTTAATTTTGTTCTTATTGGTTCTGAATGAAATGGCAAATTCTCCTCAAATATGGTTCTTCAATGAACGATCAAACCAACGCATTGCTCGCAAAACTATTGAATAAGTCCTTTAATATATTTCTTTTAAGTGGATTATCATTTCTCTTTAGGTTAATGATTTCTCATCTTTTGGAGTTTTTGAATACTGCTCCTTCTAAATTCCCTGTTTTTTAACTGGGAGTTTTTTTTTATTGTGATTTAATTTTAGTCTGATTTTATTATTTGCAAATTTTGCATAATTTTTTATGTTCTCTACCTGTTTAAGTTAGCTCTTAGTCTTTGTTGAACCATTTTTAAATTTTGTTGCCGGTCTTTCCTTACATGTTAATCATTTGTAAATAACTTCATGCATCTAGTGTAATAGATCAAATTTAAGTAAAAATTCACAGAATAGACTGTCAAAAAATTAAAAATTACTATGTACAATAACTTTGCCTAGGCTGACATGATTCTAGAACGTATTTGTTCTTTTAGGTTGTAAGTTTTCTATGTCTAGTTTTTTTGTACATTAACATGAATGTTTTTATATGATAACAATCAACAGGTCTAAACTTCGTAAAGATGGGTACCTACCTATCTCTATCCGAATAGAAGATAAAAAGTTGCTTTTAGATCTAACACTCTCAGTCCTCAGTGATGTTTAATTCCCCCCAAAAAAGAAAAAAAGATTATAACCATTTGAAGTCCAGAAACGTTGACCTTCTGTAAAGTTGAAAAATATTTCATGAGATTTTTAATTTTTTAGCATGATTTATATGTTTAATACAGGACTTAGATAAGACCCGATCGCTCCCCTGGTTGCTTATGTGATAGTGCATTTTTAAATAAATCAGTCCATTTTGACTATTTCTCTGCGTGGGAAAATCAATCTTTTTTTAGTCATCCAGTATTTACCTAAGTCACATCACCATTATGATAATGATTATTTTAAGTAAAAAGACAAGATATATCAATTTTATTCAGCTGGAATTTTTTTCATATACTCTAAAGATGTTTTTGTTCCTGTGGGTATCATTGAGAAATAAATAAAAATTAATTTAAACCAATGTTATGAATTTCAGAATTGCAAACATAACACGATTATTCAGTAAGCGACCATTGGGAGTTGAAAATCTTCAAAATACACTTGCGCCATCCAACTTATGCTACTAGGTCTTGTTCAAATTTTTTTTCTTTCTCACCCTAGTTAACTTTTGTTCGGTACATTTTCAGATTCTTAAGTTCCTTGTATGTGTTCGTAAGAGTCCTCTTGCAAATATATTTTCAATACACAAACTACTTCAGATGCAGAAAGTATGGGAGGCACCTACCTTCCATACTCTCTGTTCAGATGCTTGTTTCATGTTCCATTCTACCCACTCAACTTTTTTTTTGTAAAATTCATTCATCTTTGTTCTGTTTACCCTTGTAAAGATGAAATAAAATACATTTTAGTACCTCTATGCAATGTGTCTATTCCTTCTTTTTTTTACCAGTGGTACAAGTGGTTGAGAGCATTGGAAAAGTGGAAATTCAACACCTGGTAAGCACTATCAGGTACTGCAAAGATTGTGCATCTGTTCCTCCTTTAACAAAAAACCTAGTAACCTTAGGACAGCAATGCTTACAATGAGAATATGACCAGACTTTGAAGAAAACTACGCTGCAAAAAAGTCCTTAGAATGAAAACACACAGACCACTCTAACAGAAACCACCGTTGGTGCTTGCCGGGTATTGAAATTCCACTTTTCATTTTGTGATTTAAAAGAACCATCGGAATCGTCAAAATATGCAATGAAACACACTCATTTTCTGAAGATACAATCATATCTAAAGAAATTTTTCTTCACTGCCTTGAAACATATTATTTTTTGTGAGTCTATCCAACACAAAAGAAAGGAACAAAATTGATTGTTCTTGGTCAATACAATCATCACAAAGCAAAAAAATACTTTAATACTTCTATATTTACAATGCTGTTGATACAAAATTAATATAAAAAATCTCATGAAGCATAGTTAAACGCTCTTGATGCTGCAGATCAGTTTGAAAAGTACCCGATAAAATGCAGAAGTGATACAAATGTAAGGTGTAAGTACGGCCGTAGATTGTTATGCTCAAAAATGTGGTAAGAATTTTTTATCGACAAGAAATGCCTTCTCTTTGGTGAACCTCGCTGCACAAAAATGAAGTAAATAAATATCACCGGATCAACCAAGATTGAAACTTGAACTTAATAACTTAACGATTCATTTTTAAAACATGTTTTTTTCATATCACAGTGGTTTTTAAAAACATTCTATGCAAAGAACGCATCAGGCTCATTTACTGATGCTATGTTACATGTACTTAGAAAAGGTTGGGCTATAGTTTATTCATCACAGTAAACTGAACCTCACTGGACAGATTCTTATCAGCTAGAACACATTATTTAACTGGCAGGCATTCCTTTGTTTTTAACAAAATAAAAATAAAAAAAATATGCTCAACCTCATCAGCAACGATTGAGAGTTGGATCAAGCACATTTGAACTAACAAAAACCGAAAATTCACAAAAATAACTTCCTCATACGTTCAGAAGTTAAGAAGCTTTGCTGGCCTCTTGCTGCTCAAACTTCGGGTACACTTTTTCAAGGTCTTCCCAGGACCGCCTTTGGGACGCAAGATCACAGATAGCAAGTGGGATATCTGACACCTAGAGAAAAGAAGAAAAAAATGCAACCTGATTACATTACCTTTCTATGGACAAAATATAAGATGAGCATAACGAAACTGTTACAACATTTTTCTGCAAAGAATTCGTTGATTATTAAAGAACATGAACAAGGCTTAAATAGTATGCATTTATTCATTACTAAAGTGTATGCATTGAATTCAGATCCAAGCTAGGAAAAAATCTGTCAAAATCTGACCGGTAAAGAATTACTTTCTCTACACGAATTTTCAGAAATTTACAGAAGAATATGAATAGGATTGCATTTTGCAAAAAGGAACCAGAGGAATTGCAATGATGCTAAGATTGTGCATTCTCATCTTTTGCAATAAAATTACTGAGACCATGAAAAAATAAGATATTTACATGGTAATTATTATCTTAAATTTCAGTTTTTAGCGAGTAAAATAGTAACTGTTAATGTATAATCAGGTTTTTCTTCCAAGACAAAGGAAGTTGCACAATTGTAGCAACATTGCAATGCTCCTGGTTCCTTTTCGCAAAATGCAATCCAATAAGTCCTGGCATAATGTACCCTAAATGCTTATTCATCTTTACCCTAAGAGTTAGATGCATCAGTGTAGAAAAAAGGAGGTCTAAACAAAACAAACTAGAAAACAAATTTGACATCATTACTGAGATTATGATGACCAGATTTTCGAGACTGACCTGATTAGAAAATAGATCACATTCTGCCTCGTTCTCAATCACTCAGGCATGAAAATAAAGTTACTGAATTGTGAATTTTTCTTAAGTTCATACTTAGAAAAGGTACACTTAATTTTAATTACTTAATAACACTGAATTGCATCCTGAATTCACCAAAGTCAACGAAAACAAGTCATAGCTTACCGGGAGCCTAAGTTGGAGTGTGGTGTCACGATGCCTTAATGTGGCTGTATGCGGTGTATTGAGTGAGTCAAAGTCTATGGTGACGCTGAACGGTATCGCCACTTCATCTGTTCGAGCATAGCGGCGTCCGATTGAACCGCTCGAATCATCTATTTTATGCGACACATTCTGCTTTGACAGCTCAGTTGCTAAAAAACATAAATATAATAATATTGAACTTTGTTCTTTGGTGAATGATATTGAAAGCAATTATAAAGGGTTATATGAAAAAAAATATATGCTATTTTCTTGCCTTGGAATATTCCCGAAGGGTCATATTCCAATACTTATTCTATATCCGTAGGACAGTAAGGATATTTTCAACAGGGGATAAATTGATTCTTAAGTGTGATTCTGGTGGGAAAATACCGTTCTGCTGCAAGAGTGGGAAAAGTTGAATGTTTTCAGTAGAAAACGCAAAATGTAAGTACAAGAAGGGTAGGTCTCTGTCAATAATTATAAAATTGGATAGTTTTGTGGCTATGAGGTGGTCCCAGAGGTACACCTTTTCAATGCAACTATGTTGAAAAAGTACACTTTAATTAATGTAGCATACGACAACGAAAAATCTGTTGACACAGTATTTTTCTATTGGAAATGGGATAAATTATTGCCAACTTTGACTTTTATTTCTTCTCTCCAATTATATTAAATTTAAAAAAAAATGCAGGTCAATCCATTTTGTAAGTCTTTTCATAAACTGAATAGAACAAATTTGCGCGACAGCCTCATTGATACGTCAAATTGAAACCAAACAGAGCAGCAGATTAGATGATACAACTTACATATTCTTACAGGTGCCAACAAAATTTAAACAAAAAATTGAACCAATATTCTTCATAAGAGCCAAAGTGCCAGAATTCAAGTTTCGAGTAAAACAGGAAAAACTGTACAATTTGGCATGCATTTAATTTTTTGAGCCAAAAAATGTATATGTCTGCAGAATACCTATTAAAATTGGGCTCAAAAGATTGAATGCATCTGAATGACACACTGTTTCTTGTTTTTCTCGAATCTTAGATTTTGGCGCTTGGACCCTTAAGAAAAATATAAGTTCAATTAAGGTTCTTATCAGTGGCGGTGCGTGGATTGCGATGTATCGACTGTTATGCCATTTAAACCTATGATAAAGAATCGATTATTAAGATGTTTGCTGCGAACACCCTGCTCATCGATCCTTTTCCATACATTTAAATGGCATAACAATCGATATATCGCGAAGCACGCCTCACCACGCCACGCCACGCCACTGGTTCTTATCCACTGTTTTCATCTAATTAGATGGTTTCGTTATGTGAAATAAGAAAACCACCTCAGAATAAGTGTGACGTTAAACTTTGTCAAAGGTTACTTTAATAAAATACTGAGACAGTATTTACAAAAAGAAGTAGATATCCAAATGAGATACGAGTTGTCCCAGCAGAAATAGCTTGCTATGATCGTATTTTAAAATGAATGATTGGTCTTACTGAGACACATAAAACAAACTTCACAAAAAGACAAAAAAACTTTCTACTCACATAATTGTCTAATAAGAGGTTTGAAATCAGTATTGTTGCTAAGTGGTAACACACAGCACTTCAATGGAGCAACCAGTGGTGGAAGGGAGAAATACTGAAATAGGAAAATATTAGAGCAAAGTTAGAAAACATAGCTCTACAAGGATAATACCTAATGAACAGTAACAATTAAGGGACTGTGCATAGAGAAAATTTCATCACAACTGGGGGAAATCACCTCATTCAGACCTGTAAAAAGATTATTCTGGAATCTGATTTTTGATACAATTTCTTACCAACAGAGAGTCTCAGTCAGAGGGTCTAATCCAAATTGCAGTTTGTGAATACATTAAAAAATGACTGATTTTCAGGATTAGTAAGCTGAATACTGGATCAACCTTAGGCATTTTGATTCTAAATTCATTATTTGTTCAGATGGAATTTCGTGGGTACAAGACAAAAATGTGAAACTCTAAACTCACAATCAAAAAATCTAAAACAATATTATGCAAGATTTCATCTACAGGGACGTGTGCTAGCTGGAGGTTGATTCCCATCGCTTCTTGTCAGCAACCACCACTGATGTAGTATTGAGGCAAATGAACATCAGCAACTGCCATAGGAAAGACAGTTGGAAGCAAATCTACTACATACAAAGAAAGAAAAAAACGGAGGAGGGTAAAAAAGTTAAGTTGAAAAGATTCTAACCAATTTCAATTCCGAATTCAATTTCCTTGACATTTAAGAGACAATATTCAGGTTTGTTCATATTGATGCGTGACCTAATTTTCAAACAAAAGTAGGCAGTCTAGAATGATAGATTTTTTTACAACAGACAAATACTATAACTGCAATGAACACTCACCGTTCTTTGCTCATCATCTTCACGAATGCGAAAACTATGCTCCAGCAGTGCATACATGATGCGTCCAATCCCGAAAGCGGGCTCAATGACGTTAGGAACTACTTCTTCAACGTGGACCGTTTTGGAAAGTGTATTAATTGATACCATCTCCGGAGTGAGCTTGAACTCCCGGCCATCAGCTCGTACTGTGCATTCACTAGAGGATAATGAAATAAAAACAAATCAATGACTTGCATCTTTTTAATCAATAGCATCTTCTACTTAAAAAATTTTGGAAAAAAATTAATCAGTATAGCTCAAGGAGACTTTAAGAGGTGAAAGAGCCAAAACAAAAAGAACAAAAAGCAATAATATCAGAATGTGGCCATGACTATTTTAGGATTACTAAGACAGGGTTTCCAAAATGTTTTCATTTTCGGTTTCCCGGAATTTTTTTTGACTACTTTGTCTTTTCAGTGACTTCAAAATTTCCGAATGCCTTGACTCCCCCATGACCTTCGATCAAAACCTCCGCTTAGACCTTTTTCTTGACTATGCTGACTTCTACTAACCTATGGATGAAATTTCCACTTTAAGAAATACTAACTACGGTAAAGGGCATGGTGCAGTTTTTTGCACTCCCTTGAATGGCACCAGCAAATGGCTTGCCTCTTGCTAACAGGTTACTCACCAAATTCCCTGATATTTCCCATAGATTCAGTCCATTCGATTTGAGTAAATCGACAGAAATTCAACTTGTGGATTGACAGATGATTTGATCAATTCAGCCCAGGCTGATAAATTTGCTCAAATTAACTAGTACGTCTACTCAAATACATAAAAATAGTCTGTAACCAGCTTCCAACCTTCAGTTTTGAAATTGACTTCTTTCGACTGAATTTCGGACTTTTTCTTAATATACTGACTCTTAACTTACCCAACTTTCTCCAATTCAGCCTTCAATTCTTGTGCTTCTGTTTCACCAAGTGAAGCCAGAGCATCTGTAATGAGTTTAGCATCTTTTTTGAACTGCTTCCCTATAACTGCCTTGTTTGCCTGTGCTTCTGTCACAGTGATTGTCTTTGGTTCTGGCAACTTTTTCTCCGCTGCTAGCTTCACATTTGTTGCGCGAGTGTGCTGCGTCAGATCATATGCTGATCGGTCAGCACATCCGACACACTCCACCCAACCCTGCAATATTTTATAAGATTATTTTTCTAGCTACTATTAAAAAACTCTATACATGATTAGAAAGAAAAAGTATTCTTATAGTGTTGTTCATGCATAAAATAATGTCATGAAGTTAACGTTTAGTAAACAAAATTTAGAGATATGAAGGACTGCAACAAACTCTTTTTTACAATCCGTTTGATACCATGTGCTTTAATATTAAAACTGAGATTAGGACAATAATTTAAAAAATGAGGATCTAATCGACTACAAGAATCAACTGAACCTTTACTGAAGTGGTCAGAAGAGAAAGATGTATCTTTTTCACATCTACTATCTTTCACAGATCTGTTGGTGTTGAAAAGAGACTTGAGCTTTTCAGACAGTTCAGACGAAGTACTCGTCATGAAGTGAAAAAGTTAAATGATATCAAATGTGAAACAGTCTTGCTGATTTAACTGAAGGCGACTACCCTTCATTCTATTCCGTGATTTTGCCAATCTTTTCCTTGATTCATCGAGTTATCTTTTCAGGGTTCCTCACAAAATTACAGCTAAAGAGTGAAAAAGAAGCTTACATAAGATGTGAGACATTCAGCATCCCAGCAGTCACAAGCATAATGGGCCATTTCATTTGACATGTGCTGTCTGAATCGTAAGCGCTTCTTATCTATGCCAACTTGGAGAAGGTATAGCTGAATACGTGCCATAAAGTAACCTAAGGACTCGTTGGCAACCAGATTCTATAAAAAAAGAACCAGAGGTACATGACGAACACAAGTTGTTAGTTATAACAATGCTGTTAAATGTTGGTAAGATTATCTGCACAGTAAAAAGAGGGACAAATAATAGAGGAGTGACTGAATATGACCCCAGAGGATTAATTCTTGATTTGAAATTAGGCAAGAAAATATTAAAAAAATCCTACAATAAAATAAAGTTCATTGACATTATAATGTGACAGAATCTATACTATAAGCTCCAAGACCTCCTAATTTTGCGAAACTGGTAACACTTAGTTCCAGCGTTCTACCGGGCCGATTTTCATGATTTTTGCGGCAATCGACGGGCAATTGTCTCTAGATAAGCCAACTCTTTTCAGATTTTCAAAATATGGCCCAGGTTTTTTTATATTACGTGGTAAAGTTGCGAATTCTCCCATTTAAACAATGTAAATTTATACTTTTTGTCATAGTTCGTTTGAGCATTCTACTGGGCCGATTTCCATGATTTTTGCGTAAATCGACAGGTAATAAACCCTAGATGAGCCCGCTGTAATCAGATTTTGGAAAAAGGACCCAGGTTTTTTTGAAATCACGTTATAAAAGTGAGTGAGTTTACAGAATGCTCCGGTACTGCTACCGCTATGCGCGGGAGGATGCGCAGTGGTCGAGGAGGTTGCGCAGTAGCTGTGTAGCCTGCGCGTCAGCTCTACACTTATCTACACAAGATTCGTGCCTGGAACTTCATGTCGCGCTGTGGCCGAGTCGTCTAAGACGTCGAATGCATCCTCCATGATTTCGGTGTGGGTTCGATCCCCGACTCATTAAATGTTAATTATTACCTGACTATCATTGTTCACTGTTTTACTGCAATATTTCATCAAGCAGTCATTCCAAAACGCGTCTTTTTAATTTCAAAGTAATTTTAAGTAAAGTTTAAAATTAAAGTATACCTTAGATCGTAATTTTTTAGGGGGAAAAATAAAACTAACACTGATAGGAGGGTAAAAATAGGGCCGTGTAGCGGCCAGGGGGCGTAGCCCCCTAGTATTACATAAATGGGGAACCTACACCAGATGGAGTTATTCTCATTTACATTTTTCATTTGCACAGCTTCAGGAAAACCAATGATATCTACATTCCAGAGCAAATGTTCAATCGTACAAGAGTTCACCATAGCCAAGGCTCAAACTGGTTTGTTAAGATGATTTCTTCAATCAATGCACTTATTAAATTTTCAATTTTAGTTAAACCATTAATCAACAAAATCATTCAATAATTGTTCTGAATTTAAAAGAATGAGGTGGGAATATGCAATTCTACTTTCATTGATTACATTTTCTGCATATAAGTTATTAAGAGGAATAAACATTAGATTTTATAATTTAAATCCTGTTCGGGAGCAGTTCGAACAGGCTTTAATTTTCTAAGAACAAAAACGAACAAAAAAGAGAGTCTATGAGTTAGTATTACGAGAATCGATTCCAGAAAAATTATTGAAAGTAAAACTAGGTGAACAAGTACTTGAGGATGAAAAATAAGTATACAATGAAACTAGGCACCGCATGGTGAACACCATGCTAATTTTCTTCTGATGAAATCATAAAATTGCAATGTAGAAAAGTAACATTTGCACTCAACTACAGTTGAAATACTAAGTACCACTGGGAAAATTAAAGGAACGTACCGATCTGACAGCTTCGCCAATTGTCATTTTCTGCGCTGGTTTACCATCCATCTGATTGCATGCTGAGTAAAGCATCATCTCTGTATTCTCGATAAGATCGAACTTCGGGTGATTCTTCTCTTTGGGATCACAGAAATGCTCAATTTCTGCTAGAGTGAATTCCCTGCAAAAAATGATCGACCAATACTTTAAAACCAGAAAAAAACTGATTAGGTACTTAATTCTTCAAGGTTTTGTTTCTTCACTTTAGCACGGCGATTGTTATAGGTTAAAATCCAGATAGTCACCTCTCTTACCAGGTTTTTGTTTAACTGCATTATCATGCAAGGATTATGACAAACACCATACTTGTTTCCTATGCTTTGTTCAATGTAGAATCGCACAAAAATGCGGAGAGAGAAAACATCATTGGGCTAACGTACACTGAAATAATTTTCACAGGGAATGTACCAAAACATACAACTATAAAAATATTGCAAATCAAATATTGAATATTTCAGATTGATTTTTTTGTATAGTACCAGGCTCAGATCGTAAAAATAAAATGTTGGTGGAGTAGCAGCTTACCTAACTCTAATCAGACCAGATCTGGGTGAGATCTCATTTCTGAATGCATTTCCAATCTGCGCGGCTGCAAATGGGAGCCGTCCTTGGTTGAAGTCTAACAATCGTTTGAAATTGACAAACATACCTTGGGCTGTTTCTGGACGTAAGTAACTAAGAAAAAAAGAAAACAAATAAATTAAAACTTACAACTTAAGTCGGTGTTATCTTTGACTAATTGTCAGAAATACGTAACTTTTCACACCAGACCAGAGGGAATTCTAACAGTTATCAACGAGAAAAAGGTGTATGGGATGGTATAATAATGTCTTGTCCAGTCAAAAATTGGAAAAAAAAACCGAATTTTCATATTTTCAAACCGCTTTTTCCGGTAAAATGAGAGTGATTACTGTTTGCCTTACTAGACATTGCAAATAAGTCATATTCTTAACGGTATCTGTGAGACCTCTTATAGCTTTGACAAAAAGAGACAACATCTTTGTGAAAACTGTCAGCTGGTCGAATTTTGGGGGAAACACCACTTGAAAAAAAAAATATCTTAATCATCATTATAATAGCTTACCCTTTTACAGAACCTGCAGGTCCAATTTGCGTGCTAAACATCAAATTAAATTCAATCGGTTCAGTGAGATCGTTCCCTGTCAATGGCGATTTGATCTTGTATTTTATTAGGATGTCATTCATTTCATCTTTTGTCATTCCATCCAACTATAGCAAAAAGTTAAAGAGGGAGTCAAATTTAATGGCAAATACAGACACTTCAAAGTTAAGTTATTGGTTATTTTAAAAGTTATCAAAATACTGAGGAACATTTTGCTTCTGTTGAAAATTGACAGGGATAATTAGTTGATTCCTGATTCAAAATCTCTTTTTGTACATATACATTAAGCAATTCATTGAAACAGCTCCAAAGCAGAATACGACTAATCTAAAGAATTGAAACAATCGAGATTGGTGAGATAAGGCTGCCTGAAATAAATTAGATCAGTGTACCATTGTGGATAACTTGCACCCATTCTCATATTTTCCATGGCTAAAAATCCCATTGCGAGTCAAACACAAGAGATATTTTGAGCATATTGTGTGGGTTATTTCCCCGGTGAGCAAAAAATCCAAGTGCTGGTTATCAGCAGGCACCCACGGCACATTAAATTTGGATTTCAGATTGTTTAATTAAAGTCCTTGGAGAAAAGGCAACTGACACATATTTCTAAACCTAACGGATATTCTTTTTTTTTTGGCAAATGTTAAAAAGAGATTCATTATCTCATCAAAATTTACTCAAACCTCACAGTATGTTTAAAGTATAAAGGAGCTGTGTGTTTACAAAGTGTTAAACTAACAATAAAATGGTCCTAGATTCAAATTTTGAATTAAGACAAAAATTTATGAGAGAAAATAACTCATTGATTGAGAATTAAGTATTAGCGGAACATACTTTGACGACTATATCCGCTATCTCATCTCGGACATTTTGGGCTGTCTTTTTATCAGCAGCAATCTTTTCAAGAGCACTTTTGATGAGGTGATCCAGACGGAAACACTCGCCAGTTTTGACATCCTTGGCCATTAGATCAGCAAACCGATCCACATGCCCAGAGGCCTTGAGCACTGGTTCTGGGGTAAGGATAGAACAATCGACTTCCAACATCTGCTCTTCCAGGACAAAAAAGTTTCGCCACAATGACAGCATATTGGTTTTAAGAGCACAGCCCATTGGTCCATAGTCGAACTGACCTGCAAATTCACAATTATTTAAGAGGGAATGGGCACAAAAAAAGAATGGTCGTGAGTCCTGGAGCAGTAGCATTAGCTAACAGATTTTAGAATCTTTTTGACAAATATTTCTATGATTCAATTGCTACACTAGCTATCACTGTGATAAGAAGGTCCCTAAGCCCTGAAAATTCAAAAATTAAGTCATCAGGGATGTGTATAGGGATATTTTTTGTGAACATTAAAATATTAAATTTAAACCAAATATGGTTATACATATATGAAGTAATATAAAAATTTAGTTCTGAGATACTTCGAGCAACTTAGAATCTCTAACATGTTCAAGGCTCAAAAAATTAAAAATTTAATGCAACTGCACACCTTTTACAAGCTCAAAAGTAAAGTGAACAGCTCTCACCTTATTTGTAAGGCCTTGTCCAGACGAGTGTGGTTCACGGAACTTCGGGCGAACATGTTACAGGAACTTATTAAAACTAAGAAATGACTTGTTTCATAAGCTTCCCAGTTCACAAAACTAATTTGCCCAAACTGCACTTGTGCGGACAAGGTCTAAAGATAAAATAGTGATTTGACTTTAAAATTCACATACCTACCTATTTTTTCGTCTAATTTGATTGCTGAGAAGAAATTTTTCACTGTCATTTACTGAGGTTATTTTTTCTCATAGACCTTACAGATAGATAAATTAATAAAATTGATTGATTCTTGGACGCTAATCATAATTATCATCGATGATAAATGAACATCGATTATCATGATAAAAAAAATACATATTTGAAGTCTGGAATCAATGAAAAGCAAAAATTATTTCATGTAAGGCAAACTTTTGCAAAGACAGATCTTACAAAAGGAGATGATGTTTTTTAAATTTTGGTTTGGAGTAACATGTGAGATAGATATTTCCAGTTTGACAACAATTAAAACAAGAGAAAATGATGAGGTAACCTGTAATGCCCCCATAAATGGAGAAAGACTGATCATAGAAGAAACGCCGTTTGCAGAGGTCTTCCATTTTGGCACGATCGAAAAATGCATCAGCAGGCATCAATGCAAGCTCTTTATCTTCTAATGTCTTTTTTCGTGACTTCAACTCGGCCACAGCCTTTTTAACATCCAGCTCAGGAGCGCCACTTGCCTTCAAGGACCGCACTAGGTCACCCTGAAAGTGAGCAAAATTTTTAGAAAATTGTAATGAATTCCATGAGCATCAAGTGTAGCACTATTCATTCAATGTTCTGAAAATTTCATCTTTGATGTTGCTTGGACATAAATAATATAAAACTTGAGATAAAGAAATTTGCTATTTCCATTTCAAGCAGAAGTACACAAACATATTAGGCAAGGACTCTACATTTTAAGAAAATTAAGTTAAAGGGACGAGAGCTTTGCTGAAAGTATCTGAGCTATATGGATGCTGTTAATGCTATGTCATAAAGTGATAAGTATCAATTTATATTTATTTGTGGCATCAAGAGAGCTTATTTTATGAATACTACTTGGATTCGATGTAACAAACAGTTTCTCTGATGAAACCAACACTTAAAGCGTCTACACGCCCCTCTGGCCTCTCTGAGAAAATCAGGTGGTGATAATACAAAGGACTAAAGGAGTTATCATTACTCCATATTTCAAGAAGTATTTTTTTAATCTCTGTTGCTCGGATCTGATTTCTTTTCTTACTAAGAGCCGGCCGTAGAGAGGAAAATGTCCTGATCTGTCTGTGCAAGAGATTTTTAAAATGTTCAACCCATCCATTGGAGGAATGGACTGGCACCAAAAAAGTGACTTGGCGTACCCGCCCATCAATGCTCATATCCACCAATTTTTCTTGTTTTTCACCATGTAAGTAGGGGAAACTGTCCCAAAATCACCATAATTTTAGACCGGCCGACCAAGATTATGCCCTGCATGTCCAACCCTGCGGTCAAATACCTAAACTTGAGATGCATTTGTGAGAGACAACAGAGATGATTTGGGTGAATTTCCCACAGAGTTACCCATTGTCCAACTGAGGCCTAACTACTACCATAAGACGTTGTTTTCCACCTCTACGCTCAGTGCTCCATTCACCAGCCGCAAGAGATGTTGCGCCATTGCCGTGAGCATTGAACTGCCATGACAGCTACCGAGTAAGAAATGTTGTCTCAATGGAGGTTCAAGAACGACCGTCAAACTCCAAACGCTTTCATCCGGTGATTTCAAAGAGGGCTCGTTGTCTATCACGAACGCACCTAAAGGCTGGTTCAGGGTGATCATGTTTGATGTCATCTCGCTTACGTGAAAATGATAACCAGATTTAAAAACTGACCTGCTCTTTAACTGCATCCCTGAGTGGTGCCAATGTCTTCTCTACTTCAGGATCTGCCATAATGTTCAATCCAAAATTAAGCTTGATTTTTCGGTGCTGTTTCTTCGATCCCCAAGAGGGTGGCGGGTCACTCTGGGTGAAACGCTTGGAGAGCACTTCCACAGAAGGGAGATGATTAAGCCTATGAAGCTTAAAATGACTTTTAACCACGTAACAAAAAGTTTTAATTAGTGCCGTTGACATGAAGTAATATGGCACGATTTTTTTAACCTCACGATTTTTACCGACACGTTTTCGGTTTTTGCCAGCCGGCCAGACACGGTGTTGCCAAGAATCTACCAGCGGTCAATCTTCTCGAAATTTTTAACGATTTATTTCACATTGAAGTATCTACAGTGCATCGTATAATTTCTAGACAAAGTTTAATGAATTTTCACAGTGAATGATCAATTAAATGATCTCATATCCTAAAATATTAATTAAAATTAGATTAGAGATTTGCCAACCATGTTGTCTGTTTCTGTTGTAGATGCTAGTGCGCTCTCTCGGTCAACTTTCAACTTTTTGATTGTTTACATTTACATTTTAGGTTATAATGTGAAATTGAAATTGTGCTGTGAAATTGTGTAGCTAATCTGTCATAATTTCAACCAAATATTTAAATTTTGAAGTCTTTTTTCTCTAGGTGAGTTTTTTGTGTTGGTTTATTTCATCATGGCAAAGAACACATCCAGCTCCGCGTTCCGAAAAATCGACGTCGATCAGTTCAATGAAGATGCGTTCAAAGAGGACGAGCAAGATTTCCGGTCACCGCCCGCTGGACCTGATGAAAATGAAGTCATGTCTTTTCTCAACTCGTATCCTTTTTACTTCTGGTCATGGTACTCAAGTTTTATCGTCCACTCAGTTTTGTAAGTCACTGGGTAGATGTCTCGTCAGATCTTTTTTAATACTGTCAAGCCAATTTTTTCCACTCCTTAGTGTACTCTATGAGTCATATTAGAGCTCAAAAAATTATTTTTGACTCTAATTTTAATTTTTGGAACTTCTTGGCTTTGATTTCCCCACGAAATTGTGTGGACCCAGCACCATTTCTCCACCTTGTCATATAGACATTAATATCATCAAAGGGAGAAACTGCACCAACTCCCCGCAGCGGGGCGATTATTGAAATTGATAGCCAAGACTTAAGGAGTATGGAGGGATCCCATCGGTTGAAATGAGTGGTTACAATGGATAAAGAAGGGAAATAATAACTAATGGCAACCCGCAAGAGACCTCACAGTCAGTCCATTATTTTTCCTTTTAGTCCATAATAACCACCTGTTTCAGCCAACAAGATTGCTCCATACTCCCTATGTCTCCTTTATCTATCGCTTTGTCTATCAATTTCAATAATTTGCCTGCAGCACATCGTATATTCAACTATTGCTCAAGTTTAAGATATTCTTTCGCCCCAGAATAATAGCAATCTCTCTCCATGCAACTTTATTTAGTGTTATCCTTAATTATTAATCACAGAGGGAAGTATACAGAGGCTCTTCAAACTGTTTTACGAAATGCACCCCTGGGATCTAGAAATCAACAGGTGAAGGTGAGTCTCAATTTTATATTCTTAAGGTGATTCGTCAAGCTCAAAAGAAGTGGTCGCACTGGCATGCGATATATCGCATCTATAAGGTCAAAAATCTCGGCAGATTTTGAATTTTCAGTAAAAAAAAGGATGATAGCCCCTGCGCATGAGCCTAAAAAATCATTTTAAACCCAAAAATTGGCAAAATTCAGAGAAATGAAAGCAGGATAGTGTTTGGAAAAAAACCTCGCATTCGATTCAGCTATCGATTTCGGTATCAAATGCGAGGTTTTTTTCCAAACACTATCCTGCTTTCTTTTCTCTGAATTTTGCCGATTTTTGGGTTTAGAATGATTCTTCAGGCTCATGCGCAGGGGCTATCGTCCTTTTTTTTGCTGAAAATTAAAAATCTGCCGAGATTTTTGACCTAAAAGATGCGATATATCGCATGCCAGTTCGACCACCTCACTTGAGCTTGACGAATCACCTTAACTTTGAAAGGCTTTTTTTTTTTTATCCGAACAGAAAAAATTGAATATTTTTGGATTGTGTTACTTTTCTTTGAAAGGAGGGGTTTGTCAAAAATCCAAACTCTTATTCTTGAAGGAAAATGGGGCTTTGTGATGGTCTACTGATTCAAGAGGCTCAAATTAGAATAACAACAATAATAAATATGTGTTAAAGATGAAATTGTGACTCCTACCAATGAAACTCTGCACATTCAGCTGACTTTGAATTGGAGACAGCAAATAAAATCAAGCAAGGAACCTTTCATTTAAACTCTCAAAAATTCCACAATACAACTCAAGAAATGTATCGACTAGTTTCGCAGCCTGTGTGGCCGAATAACTCTATCCTCACCCTCTGTTAAAAGAAATAAAAAAGAAAGAATGTCTCCCAAAATTTTAAATCAAAAATTCAATATCTTTTATTAATTGTGATTTTTTAATCCTACTTTTTCCAGGATTCAGCTTTGAACCTTACCCTGAAAGTTCTACTGTCAATCAAGTCTTCGAATATGGAAGATATAATTTCAACGCTGGACACGGACATGGTAGACATTCTCATGAAATATATCTATCGAGGATTTGAGATTCCATCTGAGCGAAGCAGTGGTCACCTCCTGCTGTGGCATGATAAGGTCTATGCTGTTGGCGGTGTTGGTAGCATCATGCGTGTTCTCACAGATCGTCAAAAAGCCTAGTTTATCATTGCTGTAATTTTGATATTTTTACTGTAAATATTGTACACTTTTATTCATAAATCATTATTGTATGGTTCATGAGATGAAGCTATATTGTGTTTCACACATTCAAATGGCAAAAACCCAGCATATCTAACTTGCGCGAATAGCCACTGCTATATTGGTCATCCATATTGTATTTTATCAGAGGATGACACAAGTTAAGGGATAAAATTCAAAAATTTTAATTTTTAATAATTTATTTTCAATGGTAAGCAAATGGATCGTTCTTATTCCATACCGTGAAATAATTGTCTTTTGATACCACTTTAAACAGTCTTAAAATCAGTATTTTACCCCTTAATTTTAAGCTTCTATGATCAACTCGGGTCTAAAAGACATTACGTAGTCCGAAGTTTGAGGAAATACTTATTAGATATTCTTAATGAGACTAAAATATCACTTCTAGGAAATCAATTTTTAAAAAATTCCAATAATATTCCAGTTTCTTTAAAGAAATCAAACAATGTTTGTAAGTGGAATTCTAAAGGAAAAAAGTATTTGTTGACAACCAAATATCAATTTTACCAGTAAATCTTGTTAAACGTTGCATGATTTCCACTACCTATATCGAAGTACTACTTTTTCTACTTTCACTTTTTTCTGTTCAATTTAATGGTTTTAATCAATTTTGGAAGTCACATACTTTTCAATGATTGGTTTCACTATTTCAAAGCTGATTTCAAATGGATCATCTGTATCATATTTTACTAATTAATTTGAATAGTCAATAGTATCTAATAAATTTCTTTTTGTACTGTTATTTTCTGCGTTGGTAATTTAAACTCCTCATCTTACCAATTTCTCTCAATTTTCAGTCTCCTTTTATATCTTCAGCGATCGCGGGTAAAAATCGAACCATATATTGACAACAACCAATCAGGGGCCTGATGAGCTAACACAGTTACCAAATTGTAGTATTAATCTCCTAAACCTCAACGTGAATTTAAGTGTGTTAATTAGCAAACTGGCAAACACGCTAAGCTCATTGGTTTGTTGTGCTTTTGCTTTTAGGTTAAGGTCAATTTTGCTCTGCCTAGTCTCTAATATCGTCACATTTGCTCTTCAACAATCTTTTCGTGCACCTTTGGCTTGAATTATAACCACTTATTTTACATCCTATTTACCCCTAAATTTCCAATTGAGTAAGTTCAAGCGCCCTTCCTTTCTGTGCGTCTGAAGTCACAACCATAGCTGATAGCAGGAAGGCAAACATGTAACAAAAACACCGTGAAAATATAGTGGTGTGACGTGCAAAGTTCATTATCATCATCATGCGATAAGGATTAACGCCGATCACGTCCTGTTTACAGTATCACACAAAGTCATTATCTTCAAGAATCAAGATCGAATCTTCGGCTAAGTGTATCGGGCCTTTCGTCAGCTCAGAGGAATATAGCTTGTCGAGCTTTTACTTGAGTCGGTTTTATCCTCAAATCATGTTAAGGAGATTAAATTGTTGCTTAGTTTTGTTTATGTTCTTGGTGGGACTGGAGAGTTGTGGACTCTTGCATGCCCAGTTTATCCCAGGTTTAGATGAGTCGGGCGAACAAAGCAGTGAAGCTCCCACCAGGACTCCCGTAATTTTCAGTAAGTATTGCCTCCGTATATCTTTTCAGGAATATTTTAGTGACTATTTAAGTTTTTTGCTTTTCTTGTGTCACTTTCAATTGCTCCAAGGAGCAACAGGCCGTATAATAAATATCCTATCTGAGACAAAGTATAAATCCAGTGTAATGAAATCTTTTGTCCTAAAAAGTAAGTGAGTGTTTACTTTTACTCCTAGCTTGCTTACTCTCCTGAAGAACGGGGCAGAAAAGTGACTTTTTCCGCCCTCTTAAATACTTTTACAATTTGAAATCTGGGACCATTGCCATGTGTGTGTACGCTGTGCTACACGCTCTTTTAATTTGGAGGAATTTGTTTCTTTTTGTCTGTCTTATCCTCAGTGGCCTGTGAAGAAACAAAAGATCATGCCGATTTCCAGTAAAAAATTGCAGCATTTCTACCAGATATTGTGTATTAAAATGCTAAAAAATTCTACTTTCAGCCTTTCTTTTCTTGAGAATGGCGCATAAACTATTTGATTTTAAAAGCTCATTGTGCTCAAGAAGCAGTGAGGAGCGTCAAATCCAAAATATTAAAATGTAGCCAGTGCCAAATTTTTTGGTAAGTAGGTAATCTGTATGCTGTCTTTTGAAAAATTTTACTTAAGCAACATGCGTAAATTTGTATTCCTTTGAAAAGAGGAAACAAAAATTGAATCATACAGGTATACTTAAATGGGAAAGATTTAGGAATTCGAGAGAATGCCCTTCATGTCAATTTTCCATTTCAAAATTGGCAGAAGTGGAATCCTCTCAGCGCTAATTTTGCTAACAATTTTATTTTATCTTAGTTCCAGGAGATGGTGGTAGTCAGCTGAATGCCAAGCTGAACAAAACATCCACTGTGCATTATCTTTGTACAAAACAAACAAATGATTACTTTAATATTTGGCTCAACTTGGAGCTCCTAGTGCCTATCGTTATTGACTGTTTGGTAAGTTTTCTGTTCACTTTGGGGGAGGGGGGTTTCGTTGGCAGCAAGCCACTTTCCAGGACACCCTGTAGTCATTTTTAGTATGTACTTGTTTTGTAAAAGCTTCTACTTCTGGAAAAGAAAATTCACAAATAAAAAGTGGACTGAAGTCAGCTGAAAATTTTTGGTAAATAGATAATTTTAGTGCATGTTACTCAGATCCCTCAAGGAGCCGTGTAGCCAAAAATATAATTCTTTTCAATCCTTCATTAGTGCACTATGAATGTTATCAATACTGAGAGGTAAACCCTTTATGAAAGAAATAAGATTTTTGCCTCTTTTCAATTTAGGTACCTAAAATGAATCATTTGTAAGAAAAAAAAAAAATAAATGAGTGATGCGTATGACCCCACCAACAACTTATCTCAGTAAAGTGGACGGAAAAATAGAGGACCTTTTTAAATAAATAATTCATCCCGAAAAAAGCAAGAAATGTTTCTAGAAAGGGTTTGTATTTCATTATTTCTTTTTCGCAGATTGATAACTTACAGTTGCATTATGATAACAAAACGCGAACAACTTCCAACTCACCTGGCGTTGACATCCAGATTCCAGGCTGGGGCAATTCAACAGTTGTGGAATGGATTGATCCCAGTTCTGCCTCGAGTGGAGCGTATTTCAGTCACCTAGCTGCTGCACTCCTACCCTTGGGATATGACCGCGGTGCCTCCCTTCGCGGTGCACCCTATGACTTCCGCAAAGCACCAAGTATGCTATCTGTTCATCAGTCAAATATGCTTATTATTTTAAGAGAACAGAAATAGGTTCAAAGCACGAGTTGTTTTGACAAACATGTTGGTTTTTTCATCAGTGTGCATTAAGATTCATCATTAAGTAAATTAAAATTCTCATTTCAGGGAGAAAAAGCTCATTTGAGTACTATTCCCCTCCATAGAGAAATGATGTTCGGTGCAACAGTGTCCTACGAACATTTTTAGACAAACAATTTTCAGCCAAACTGAAGTTCTAGTTTAGTTGCTCATTGAAGGATGCTCTTATAAAATTGCCAGTAAAGTGAGTGATCCTCACTTTGACAACAACACTTCAACGAAGAATTTCAAGATTGTCAATGGTCACCAGATTGTGGCGTTTGACAGTCAAATTCTCGCTGAGAGTCTCTTATATTAGCAGCGGCCAGGTAAATAAAATGCTATGACACTTTACTTATCCAGCCATGCTCATATGAGTTCCCTTGGTTACTAGTCTTCGGAATTATGAACTTTACGGAGGCTGGCATTCCCAATTATTTTCAGCTTTCTTCTAACCAATGTTTTTGAACCACAAACTTTAAAACATAAAAAGTTGCAAGTTTAGACTGACATTTTGGCACTATATTTTAGGGAAACTCTCCTCCATACAGCCTTGTCTGTAAAGATGTTTCTGTAGGATCTGTCCCAAGTTTGAGTCGAAAGAATGATACTAATGGGATTTCTCCCAGTTACCGTCTCCACAAGACAGAGCGCTCACATTCCTGCAACAATTTTTCATGGGAAGATAACATAGTGAAAAATGAGTATTTAACAGGGATTAAGAAAATAATTGAACACAATTATGATTGAATTAAAAAAAAACATTTTGAATAACCAAAGACGAACAATCAAGTAAACAAGAAAATATCGCCCAGTTTGTTTTCACTTCTATTCCTCTCTCTGTTAGTCTTAGATATCTCCTCAATGGGTGCAAGGACCATACTTGGTACTAAGGAACATATTGACTAACTCAATATTTTTCCTGACTTTGCAAGTGGAATTTTTCCCTGAGACAAATCCTGTGGAAAGGTCCTGCGGAGACAAAGCCTACTAAAATGCCAATGACTCAGTCTTGAAGGGTTTTTTCTCCTCTTGGAGGAAGGTCTTTCTACTTTTGGATGGTCATGTTCAAGCCACTAAATTTGTAATTTGTAGAAATGAATTGTTACTTAAACTGTGTCTCAAATGTTCCTTTGCGTTTTCAGATGAGAACCAAGACTTCTTCACCAAAATGAAACTTCTGGTGGAAGACACGTATCAGCAGAATAACAACACACCAGTACTTTTAGTAGCACACTCAATGGGTGGGCCCATGTCCCTCCTTTTCCTGCAAGACCAAACCCAAGCTTGGAAGGATAAGTATATCCGTGCAATGGTGACGTTATCAGGAGCATGGGGAGGCTCTATCAAAGCCCTTAAAGTCTTTGCCATCGGTAAGTGGAGTAAGTCTCACTTTATCATTTATCCAAGTTTGATTGTTAAGCTCAGATAATCATTTAATCAATCCCCAAAAAAATAGGAAAGAGTAAAATTTGCACAAATTGGAACATACCTAGGTATGTATTTAAATCTTCTTTTAATTCTCACAAGGTCCCTTGTTATGTTTCAAATTAACGTGATTTATGAGATCTTTGTTTAGACTTTAACGTTTGATTTTATTCCTCCATTTTTTATTTTTGTTATCATGATCAAAAAAAGAATCAAATATTTTTTTACCCAACGGTTTTTTAAATTGTTAGAAATTCCTGAAATTTATATACCGTTTCTTCAGTAATAACCACCTTTATTTAGACCTCACTTGTTTGTATTAGTTTCTGTTCATGCTCCTTTTTTCCTTCTTTTTTTTTTTTTTTTTTAACCTGCGTAGCATGTCCATTTTTTTGTCATAGTATTTTTATATTTTTACTTTTACCATCCTCTCTTAAATTGAAGAATAGTTTCAATTAAAGACAAGATCATTAAGTTTGATGGGTAAATACATAAAATGAGTATCTTAATTGCAATGTTAGAAAATCTCCAATTATGCTTTATTTTCTTCCTGGAAAACTAATCACAATGTCCTCTTACAATTGTAATTGATTTTCTAAGAATGCAGGAGTAGAATGCATGCAAAATTTCTGTAGAAACTGTCACTTGGTTTTTCTTTAAAAAAAAATGAAACATGAGCAGAGGCTTAGAACATTGCATTCTGAGGTATGTATTTTTTTTACTTTACCCATTGATGAAAATTAGGAAACAAATTTCGATGCTTTTGTCAGAATAAAAGTACTTAATGTTGTACTTAAGAGTACCCACTTAGAATTTCCTTTGCAGGTTGGCTTCTTCATTCCCTATGCAAATCCCTCTGTTTGTCATCTTGCAGGAGACGATCTGGGAGAGTATTTTTTACGAAGCTCTGTCTTGCGAGGTGTTCAAATGACAATGCCAAGTGTGGCATGGTTGCTTCCGTCAGACCTTTTCTGGAAGCCGAATGAAGTCTTTATTGAGACGGAATCCCGCAACTACACCCTCGAGGACTATGAAGACTTTTTCAAGTAAGTATTTTTTTTTATTATATTTATTTATTTTAATTGCAATCCTCCCTAATCAAAAATCCACTGAGAAAATTTCTTGAAGAATGACCAAAGCAAGAATATTTCAATACTCACTTCAATGGTAGAAGTAGAACAGGTATGGACGTAAAACTGACTCGCCGCTAATTTGATTGTCCGCTTCGTTTGTTACTTGCCTGTTTGGAAGGCTTGTGTTCAGCGGCTCTGTCAGTGTGTTGGTAGAGGTAGGTCGACTCATAGTTTGTGTTCAGAAGCTCTATCAATATGTTCGTGAGAGAAGCTTTGACTACTTCTTTAAAATTGGACGACTTTTTTCCTATGATGCTTTACTGCACTGCTATATCCATATCTGTCTTCTCCTACCGCGACTCCCTTGCTAGAAAAAAGGCCACCATTTTGAACCCACAATACTTTGTAGTTGAGGGAATGCATGTCGCACCGTTTTATTAATAATGTATATGTAGGATTGGCAAAAAGGTGCTCACTTATTTCTGTAGATTATTAGCGCGAAGTCATGTTGCCTTTTCAGGTATCATCAAGGCTTGATATGCATTGGCGATAGTAATCTATAGAAACAAGTAAGCACCTTTTGGCTAATCCTACATATATATTATTAACAGTACTGTGGGATGGGTGAATTGATGATAGACCTGGAGAATGCATTCAAGAGCACTGTCTTGAACTTCTCACACCACGTTCCTTCCTAGGATGTACAAATTGAAGCCGTAACATTGCTGTTGGTCACATTATCAACTTCACAGGAAAAGTGATCTCTTACAAAACAGGTCAGATTATTGAAAAAATGTCTAGAATAAAATTCCCTCTACAATGTTGAAGTAGAAAAAATGAATTTTTGGCTAAGATAAGGGAGATCACAGGTCTCAGAATTTTTCCATAACAAATTCAACATTATTTCTCTCCTCTTATGAAGGGAATTACTCAGTTGTGTGTGTACATGATGGGAGGCATATATTTTTTCAACAACCTTATTTAGGAGCATTCATATTCAGAAATGTTGAGATCAATATGAATGGGAAACCGAGCCAATCTTCCAACCGTTTGAGATTTTCATCATCTTCATTTCTTCAAATTTTTATTTGTCAGATATTCTGAAATACACAATAAATGATATTTTCTGTTTCTTTAAGAAATAACAAATTAGAGTACCCTAATCTCAATATATCCATAATAACATTTTTGTGTGGCATGTATTTTTTTCCAGTGATATCTCTTATCCAACTGGATGGGAAATGCGTAAAGATGTTCACAAGTACGCTCAGCGCTTTGCACCTCCTGGTGTTGAGGTTCATTGTCTTCATGGTTATGGTGTTAACACAGTTGAAAAGTAAGTTGTATGTAATAATGAAAAGTGAAAACGTACAGATAAAATTAACACATTGCCTCCTTAGAATGTTCAGGAATTAACATGTCCCTTCTGAATAATCTTTATCATACCTGAAATATCCTCAAAATATTCTTTCAATAATTTGCATTTATCAAAAATTATGGTGCTATGGCTTTTATGGTTTGCTTAAAAGTTTACATAAAGCATACAATATAATATGATAAAATGAACTTTAAATGACACAATTCAATCCTTTCCATCCAATGAATGAATTTGCTCAAAGATAATGGAAGATTCTCATTCAATTTTAACACACCTTTTTTTTATATTTTAGGATGATTTACAAAAAAGGCAAATGGCCTGGTGGCTACCCAACTTTTTCTTTTGGAGATGGAGATGGAACTGTAAATAAGAGGAGTTTGGAAGGCTGCGTCTACTGGACTGGAAAACAGAAACAGAAAGTCTACCATCAGGTAACAAATGTTCCCCTTTATTTATTCTTATCTATCACCAGAGAAAATGTATAAAGAATATCTAGTTTTTACAAAATTTTTCTTTGATCTTGTAAAGTTTATGTTTCTTTGCCAAAAATTCCGAAATGTGAACACTGTATGATCAATAATGGTGAAGTATGTTCAAAAGGAGTTTTTATTTTGATTTACTTATGAAGTATTTAAAAAATATCCATTGGATTATAATATTTACTTCTGATGAGTTTCAAACAGGGCAGGCAAGTTGGCGCTGATTCCGCTTGTCAGGAGAAAAAAAGGCTCTCATGAAGCGAAATGGAGATATCATGCATGATGTTTTGGTTCAAAAGTTAACTGCTTTGCAAATGAGTTCTCCAATTTTCAAGCAGAGTAAAATCAAAAGATCCAATTACATTATGTACGAAAGTTTTTTAACATGGAGAAAATTTGTCATATGTATAAGTACGTACAAATACTAGTCTCTATGCTGTGGGTCACTATGTCAGTAGGGTGGCCCTTATTTTGGACTTTTCCGAATTTTTGAGGTGCGACCCCCTAAAAGGGTGCCTTTTGGTAAGTAAAGGATGGCAAAAAAAAAAAATTCGCGAAAAAAAATTTTTAAGTGGTGCCCCACGGGCGTTAAAGTTGGGACGCGCGTAAGCGTGATTTCCGCAGATCGCGGTTTTTTACGATTTGACGCCTCGCGCAAGGGATGATGAAATTGACTTAGACTTATGAAAACTTGGTAACTTACTTAACTTTTTATTTACTTTCACGTGGTGACAACAGATTTTTTTAAAAATTTTTAGAAATTCGATTTTTTGCCCCGTAAAGTTGGGGAAAAACACGATTCTTGACCATCGAAACGCGCGAAACGCACATTTCTTCAATTCGGCGCGTCTGTTTTGGCATGATGAAATCGACTTAGACTTATGAAAACTTGATAACTTACTTAACTTTTTACGTACTTTCACGTGGTGACAACAGATTTTTAGAAATTCGATTTTTTGCCCCGAAAAGTTGCGAGAAAGCGCGAATCGCACATTCCTGCAATTTTACCCGTCGCCTCAAAATAAATATCGTGTAGTTCACGTAGAAATTTGGAATTTCAGTAAGGCATTAATCACTTGTTAAGTTACTTGGCGATTATGATACCATGATTTGTGTAAAAAATGTCAAAAATCCGATCTTTTCTAATCAGAAGAGACTGCACTGAGTTGAGAGCGCGAGAAGCAAAACACGTTGAAACGCGTTGAGACACGAATGAACATGAAAAATCTAGATCGACGGATCTCTCATCATTTCAAGAATTTGTCTGATTCAATTCAGTTGCTCGTTTATGTCTCAACGGGAATGTACGTTCGAAGTGCAATGAAAGTCGAAAGTGTTTTTTAATTTTAATTTGAAAAATGTCCCCGCAAACTCGGAGGAACACCGATGTGTATTTAATAGGGAGTTATTTTTCTCAGATAGTTGGGAGCAAGTTGCCTTCAAATGGAGACGCTCTAAAAGTTTTGTTTTTTAATATTCGTGAAGTCAAACATTCTTTACGCGAAAGTGCACATTAAGTCATTGATGAAATTTTATCATTTTGGAATAAAGCTCGTATTCCAACGAAACATCGGAGTGATTGCGTGAAAAAACTTGTCAACAGTGACACTTTAAAGTTTTTTTACAAAATTCGGTTTGCCAACAAATTTTCTTCAAAAGGACCCGTCAACTTGGTGCAATGACGACGAATACAAAAGTATTTCCATAAAAGTGTGTAAATTAAAATCAGTAAATGATGTGGCTGAACGGGGTGTTAAGTTGATCGAAGAATACAATGGTAGGCTAACAAAAGATCCTGCTCAACAACAAAATATTTTAAAACTCGTAGAAGACTACAGAAAAAATTTCCCCAAGTGCACCAAAGAAACCTTGTGTCAACCTCTACTATGAAAGTGTACTCTTATTTCCAAAGAATTAAATATTGTGTTTTTACTTGATTAAATTACCCTGTCTCTTTTTGTTTCACATAATCATCAGATAATATGTGAATGCACAAAAGATCTAATTTGCAACCGAAAAAAGACGCTCTGCAAAATCATCAGCGCCATTTTCCGCGAATCGCGTATTCTTGTAATTTAGAGGGTAAAAACGATCGGATTTTTGACATTTTTTACACAAATCATGGTATCATAATCGCCAAGTAACTTAACAAGTGATTAATGCCTTACTGAAATTCCAAATTTCTACGTGAACTACACGATATTTGAGGCGACGCGTAAAATTGCAGGAATGTGCGATTCGCGCTCTCTCGCAACTTTTCGGGGCAAAAAATCGAATTTCTAAAAATTTTAAAAAAAATCTGTTGTCACCACGTGAAAGTACGTAAAAAGTTAAGTAAGTTACCAAGTTTTCATAAGTCTAAGTCAATTTCATCATCCCTTGCGCGAGGCGTCAAATCGTAAAAAACCGCGATCTGCGGAAATCACGCTTACGCGCGTCCCAACTTTAACGCCCGTGGGGCACCACTTAAAAATTTTTTTTCGCGAATTTTTTTTTTTTTGCCATCCTTTACTTACCAAAAGGCACCCTTTTAGGGGGTCGCACCTCAAAAATTCGGAAAAGTCCAAAATAAGGGCCACCCTACTATGTCAGCCCTCTTAATCAAATCGTGGAATTTTCTCTCTCATGTCGCATTATGTTTTCAGGTGTTCCCAAAAGTCGATCACATGGACATTTTGCAGGATAAAAATGTTGTGTCATACATCCAAAACCTTTTAGTGAAACTGTGAACATTACTGAGTGCATCCTGGTTACCTGATTTTATTTTCTACTAACCTCATATCAGTCAATATAATAGATCTGTAAGAGCTTTTCTTTTTTCTTTCTCTCTTTTTTCAAATTTGTCTGCTTTAGTACAGTCAAATTGCCTGAAAGTCTCATTGTTGTTATTTAGTCTTGTAAAATGTTGCCTTAGCACAGTTTCGTGTTCAAGTTTATGTATTGACAAGGTGTCAGCTAGAAAAAACAAAGGCGAAGAAGTGTCAACTAAGAATTTTAAACCAATAAAACACTTTTTTGTTTAAAGGCAAGTAAAAATGTTGTAATAAGTTCATTTTGCAGGGGCTTAAGGTGAATTTGGGTTCCCCTCATCAGCCTGGTAATCAGATAATGGATTGCCATCCAGAGGCAGGAAGCCGATCTAGCTTTAACTGATAACTGAAAACTTGTAGGCTTATAACTATTGAATATTTAGGATATTCATGTACAGAGCAGGGTTACATTTTGATGCAACTGTACAAATATGGTGGGGAAAAACTATGGAGGCAGGAAACGCCTCTCATCAGCTGGCACCTTTCTCTTCAATTAACTGTAATTTTTGAGTAGTTCATTTTTTTATGCATAAAAATTTGTGTCATAATTTTATACATGCATCAAGTCAATTTTTGTATCTCTTTTATCTTTTAGTTCACAACATGTGATGAAAAAAACTCTTGCAAAAGCAATTTTATTTCTCATCAGAGTAGAATAAAATAAATTGTTGAATAATACTTGATCAAATATGTTAGTCATGAATCCTAGAAATTAAACTATGGTTTTTCAGACTACTTTTGACCCATAGTTTTATCATTTTGAAGTATACTCATTACGATCAAGAACATGTAAATGATATTTTTACTCGTAGGTTTTATGTAGTTGTAATCAACATGACAATATTTAATTTTCGAAAATATTGGTATGTATGAGCATGTATTCAAACGAGAAAAGTGTATTTTAGTCCTTGAAGTGTATTTGTTGCAGAGGGGTCATAAAATGTAGTAAAATGAGTAGATTTCGATGCAAGGAGGTGCTATTTTTGTTACTGGAAAAGTGGATTTACTTAAAACGTTTTCCTCAGAAGAGTTATTGTGAAATCTTGATAGATATGGTAGATATGATGCTCCTGTTGCCAGCATTTTTGCTCCAACTCACCACAGCATTTGATTAGTTCCAATTTAGGCACGAGTTAAGCTTTTTTCATACTGGTAATGTGGAGTTTACCAATTTTTGTAGGAAACAAAATATCTTCAACTCTGCATTTTTGTCAGACTCATCACATTAAAACTTGACTAGGAACCAAGAAACTTATCTTTATCAAGCTAATTATAATCTAAACAATTTTTAAGATTTCGACTCATCAAATCAGTCAGATTGCTCTCTTTGGAGAAGCAGCAAAAATAGAGAAAAAATCCGACTCATTAGAATTTTTGACTCATCATGCTTATCCGGTGTATCAAGATTTCATCATAGCTGAAGAAATAGTCAGTTTGTACAAGCATTGAATTCATTTTGTGGATATTTTTCAATTCATGGTTATGAATCATCATGTTATGATAAGATGACAATTTTTTGCTTCCACTTTTAAAATAACTTTTTATATTTCTTCATTTAATGTTAATGAAGTTAAGCATTTGAAACAATCATAGATTGCTGCTTCAGGCCTTCAGCTAAAACCCTCGATTCCTCCTAACTCATTGAGCAAAAAGCATTTTACCTTTAAGGTATCGGCCATCCTCAGTTTTGTTCCTTACCTTTCAATTGCCTTATCATTTTATATCCCCTCTGTATTCTTATGTTTTCGATCTCCAGTTCATCCACAAACATCACCCGTGGAGAGAATCTTACACTTCTCTCCTCTTGCAGATACCTGCAAAAAATTATACAATTTTATCCACTCCGGTCTATGAAGACCATAATGTCAGTTCATGGTCTGATGTTTTATTTTTTACAATAGCTTTAAGGTCTGGTAATATTTCCTTTTGCCCTGAGTCAGAGGCAGGGTATGTATTTATTTTAGTAATGCGACTGATTGTAAATTTTTCACCCCTGAACATAGCTCTTCAATTTTATTGATGCAGAGTTCCCTTTTTGCATAGAGGCTGTTCAGGTTTTAGTCATGAACTGGAGGGCGATGATGTGGTCTCAATTTTCGAATGTATCTGTGATTAATGTTACACTTGTGTCAAAACAGTTTCAAGTTTAAAAACTGTATCTAAGGCGCTTCCGAACAGAGATAAGGATGTTCACCCTTTATTTTGGCTTTGAATACATATCAAAGGATATTTTATGAGAAAAAGACAAAATAAAAGAGTTTTCTCACTAAAGGGTGATTCTGTGGATTATTCATTTTGAATGCTTCTATTGAGCACATAAATACTTACCATTTTCCAAGTATCCATGCAAACCCTCATCTTAAGTTATGAATTCTGTCAGGCCAATGTTTGGATAAACAAAACCGGATCCATTCTTTTATAAATGAGAAATATAGGTAATTTCAGTGATCAAATAATGTGTAGAAATGTTTTCTATGTTTCAAAGTTTCAAACTGTTTAACAAGAGTGTAATTGTTCATCTGATCAAATTTTTCTATAAATTTAAGTAAAAAATTGGGAAAATGCAAACCTAAGAAATTCATGCAGTTTGTGATTTTGTCATGAGAACATTGCCTTATCTTCGTAATGTTGCCAGGAGTCAATCACAGAAGGAGAAAATAAAAACGATATGGACTGTGATAGAATTGCATTCGTGAGAATGTTATTTAAGAACATTTACTTTTCATCAGTGCTGAAATTTACAAAAGAAATTTGTGAAAAGCCACCTACTTAGTGTCTAAATATTCAAGGTCATTCAGAACTATTCATTGTAATACTATTTGCTGAAAAATATGCTGTAGTTAAAATAGACATACTCCATAGGGAATAACTATTTCAAGATATAACAAAAAATATCATGGGTTTACCTAGAAACCATCATTCATGAAAATATTTTTTGGAACAAGTCAATTTAAAACAGCTACAATTTAAGTTTTTCTAATTGCTCGTTTCCCATAATCAAAATTTATTTAAACATCAGTGTATATGCAAGTTTCCTTCATATTTGTTCGAATATTCTAGAAGTAAACTCCAAAAATCAAACTGAAATATACCAAAAACGCTGAAATTAATCCTATTGTGCCATTCAAGTCCAGTCTAAAATTATCTGCTCACAGTAAGCATCTTATACCTCCGATTTTGTTGTCAGACAACCAGTGCAAAGTTGTAATAGACGTTTATGTGTTATGTTAAGTACGAATTATTCAAACTTTTCTTTTTATTTCTAATTTGTTTATCCCCTGATTTTTTCCGCCCAAAAGTTTTGTAGAATCTTAATTTTGTCTCTCTTGAAGTATACTTACATATTTTCTCATAGAAAAGCATTTTTTTATTAAGTACCTACAAGAAATAAATCTAGTTTGACAGAATTTTTTCTTTTCTTTCTCTTCCTTCCTTCGCTAAACCTCAACCTTTTATGATTACATATCGACAGTGTAAGTCGGCAATCACATAACTCAGTTTGCAACGTCGCAGACTTCCTGTCATTCTTTATTTTTTAAATGGAAAACTACTCGACGGCATTTCTCTGAAACTGCCGTGATTTTTCTTCTCTGTGCAAAGAAAATTCTGTAAAAACTTTAAGGAATGATGTCAATATGTTCTCCTTTAAAAAAATAACATAGAGGCGGAGATTTTTCAGACACCGCTAACGAGTTATGTGATTGCCGACTCACACCGTCGATATGCCTATGATGCTCAGGCACTTGGAAAAAACTTGTTCTCCATTAGATTAGTAACCAAGCCCTTGGAACAAACTTTCTGTGAGAATTTTCTCTCAAACGAAATTAAATCCAATTCAGAAGTTTTTTAAAAGAATATGTAGGGTGTGTATATAAATGCTGAGCTTAGCCTCCGCGCCTGCAGCTTGCAATATACGATGAAAAACGCCTTCACACTAGGAATGTCCTAATTTAGTGCGCACAACACACCTGCAGCAATTTTTGCTGGTAAGCGTTTTGAAGGAGAATTAAGATGAAATCTAAGTTCATCGTGAGACAAGAAATTTTTCTTTGCTCAGCGTTGTAAAGGAATTTTGTATTTTACGGCATTCTAAAGCTTTTTTTTTCTTTGATTAACTAATAGTGGAACTAGTTGTGGATTCTAAAGTTTTGTGTAAAAACGTTGCGGATTTCCTCTCTTCGAACTCAAGTTCGAACTTATCAAACTTTATTTTGCCATCGAAAAGTTTGTCAACTTTGTGCTAGAGTGCGCTAGTTACCAAAGACCATGTGAGTTGTGGTTGCCATTTCTTTCATAATTTTGCTTAAATACCCGACATTATCAAATGAGATATGTTTTGTTTTTTGCAATCTGGCAATTGCACAGAGTGTTTTCAGCTGCAATGCGGTGCGGTCGCGGTGCACAAATTCATATTATTGCAGTGCAGTGTATTAATGGTTCTGTTATCTTTTAACCGTGAATTGATAATATCACTGGCAGCCTGTGGGTGGGATAGACATGTGTCAGAACTTTCTCTATTCTTCCATAATCTAATCATCAATCGTTTAATCTAATAACAAATCAGTAAGCGGCACCGTGTTTCTAGCCTTCAAGGCATTTCACAATCCACTTCAAAAACGAGGAAATGGAGTCAATTTGTTAAATTTTCCACAATTCCAAAGATAATTTTATTTTATTTTGGTCCCAAAGTCTGCAAACCGCATGTTTATCTGAGGCAGTGAAATCGTATTATATATAGTTGCCTCTACTCTAAATTTTTGTGTCACGATCAATCATGAAATACTTCGAGGATACCACCACATTCAAATACAGCTGGGACCAAGTTGTGACTGGATTCTGGCGTAGATATCCTAATCCAGAAAGGTGAGAAAGTTATTTTTACAAATTTCAAACAGGAGACATAAAGTCTGTATATGTTATTGCTGAAATATCTTCGTCCGAACAACTTGTACGTCTGCCTTGTTGTGCACTGAATTTGAGGTTAAGTAGCTTTGAATGTCCCAACGTAAAGCCCAATTCGGTCGGTTCTACTTTTCTTCTGACAAAAGCGGATAAAAAGTTAAATGGAAAGTTGAATGCATCAAAATTTGCTTCAGTTGCCGTTTGATATTGTCAAATGGGTATCTCCATTAGCTTAGAATTTTTGCAGTTCGAGCAAATTCAACCGGCCTAACCGCGGCCTCAACCCACCTAGGTAGAGCGGTCCAAGTGTTCCACTGGATAAAACGTTGTAAAAGAGGGATGCATTCTGTAGTGATCCTCTACAGACTGGATGAAAAAAAGCCTTTTATGGTTCTGGAAGATGCAGCTTTGGCCAATCTTGATCGTAAGATATTGCTGTAACTTTCTGTTCAACTTTCTATCCAACGTGTGCTGCCAATCGGATGGAAAATTGAAGATGACATTACATTTATGTTTCTGTTTAACTGTTCATTCAATTGTGGTGTTCTTGTGTCAGTAGGTAACATTCGATCCAACTTTTCATCTGACCAAAGATGAAGAAAAGTTAATTGCACAGTTGAACTGAGTAAATGGGGCGTTAACCCACGGGCAGAAGTACCTAAGGTGATTTGTCTAGCCCAAGTGATATGGTCGAACTGGTATGCAATGTATTGCATCAATTGGATCAAAAATCTCAGCAGATTCTGAATTTTTAGCCCAAAAAAGGACGAAAGCCCCTGCGCATGAGTCTGAAGAACCAAAAAATTTGCATAATATGAGGACATGAAAGTAGAATTCTGTTTGGAGTAAAACCTTACATTTTATACAGTCTCAATTTCTGTATCGAATGCGAGGTTTTTTTCCCAACAGAATACTGCTCTCATTTTCCTACATTTTCCTAATTTTTTGCTTTAGAATGATTCTGTAGACTCATTTGCAGGGGCAATTGCCCTTTTTTGGCAAAAATTATGAAATCTGCCGAGATTTTTGACCTGATCGATGCGTTACATCACAAGCCAGTTTGACCACGTCACTTGAGATAGGTAAATCTTTTAAAAGGAACTTCTTGATTCGTAGTTTCTCTCCTTCTGTGATGTAGCAGATGTCTCCCACGAAACTGGCAATTTTACCTCTCCTAAATGCCATGAAATAAAACATTGAGTGGAAAAAAGAAACCAAAAACAACATATGAGCCTGGATTTCAAGGAAAACAACCCCCTTGTTCACTAGTGCTAAGTAAATGATTTTCAGCTGCAACAGAAGAAATATCCTCTTGTAAACCCCCCCCCCCTCCCCCAAAGAAAAAAATTCATGCCCATCGACTGACAACTAAGTAATGTTCTTTCATAATTTAGATTTAAAATGGGAGTGGAATTGTTTACAAGTCAGGATTTACCTTTATTTATTTAATTTCTGCCTCTCGCTTGTGACTACCTAAGATGATAGATAGAACCCACCTTGATATTTATCTAAGAAATCGTGTATAATTTCACCTGCCAAGTGAACTGATCATTTACTTTGACAAGGTACAATGAATTGTATAGGCTCTTGAGACCAGACCTTTTCTCTTATCTGTCCCTCCTTTGTTCTACTTACAGAGCTAGAGTCTGTTGACCCAAGGCTAAATTTAGCTTACATTGCCTCCAAATGGGTCAGTCTATTTTGATATTAGTGGCAGATATCCCTATTTGCTGACACCTTATTCCCATGAACTCTTGACCCAGGTGAAATTCAAATCAAACCAATGCCTGACCAACGGGAGCACTGTTGCCACTTTTTGCTTGTTTTCTCTCATTTTGTGAAGGTTCAGGTTCGTCGTATAGATTTTTAAAGATAAGCCAACGTTACTTTTGAGTTGTAAAGGAGCGAAAGGGGGGTGTGATGAAAAATAGACAAGAATCTTAAATAGTTTTTTCTCGGAACCACGTTTTGTAAACTACAAACTTCAAACTGTCCTCTTTTTTTCCAAAATTTGAGCCTTACTATAATAACTTTAATAGCTCTTTTCTATTCTAAAGCAATTTAAGTGTCGTGTCTGCCAAATGATTCTTCTTTATGACCAAGACTGTTTCCTATTGCAGTTCCCACGTGTTAACAGAGGATACACTAAGCAGGGAATTGAAAGAAAACAAGCTCTACACAAAACGGATGTTGACTAAAACCAACCGACTGCCGAAGTGGGGCGAGCGTTTTGTCGGAAACCGCGTTGTCAAGATTATTGAGGAGTCGATTCTTGATTTGCAGAACAAGACATTGGTCACTTACACCCGAAATATAGGATATTCATCAGTCATGGTAAGAATTTCCTGAAGCTAAGTAAAGCATTTTCCAATTTTTCATAGATCACACTCAGGCCATTAACTTTGTTTGTTGGAAAAATTGTGTGAAGAATTTTGGTTCTTTTTGGACATAGAAGGCAGGAATCTATAGGCGTTCGTTTTTCTTATCTTCTTCAGCTAGCTATAAAAGGAAGTATCTCCCTAATTACCAATCTGGAGTTCAAAAAGTTTCCTTTGACAGCGGGTGTGGAGATGCTGAAAATGCAATTTTTAGCCCTACTTTTCTTGAAGTTGGCACAAAGCCAGTTCAACATTTAAAGCTCAACAAAACATTATCAATAACACAATTTAGACGATTAAAAATCCCTGCATTTGATTGAAAGGCCCCTCGGTGTCACACCACTCAGTTTTAATCCTCCCGCAAGGTATGGTTTATTCAGTTTTTCAAATAAATTTGTAGGTAAAGATAACCATTACTTTTCAAAGACTCTGGCTGTGGAGCAGCCCAATGTAGTGATTGTTTGTGACCTCACCTTAGAAATAATAAAAGTCGAACTGAGCTGACACTCTAGTACGAATATGTATCCATATTTTTAAACTGCTGTATGTAAAATTTAAAAGTTTCCCAAATATTTTCTTAGAGATAAAAAATGAAACCTGGGTGAACAAATTACATATTCCTCTTTTGAACTAAATTTTGTTCTTGGTGTTTCAGAGTGTTGTTGAACGGGTTGAGTATAGAGTGGACACAGATAACCATAACCAAACAATTGCGGTTCGCTCAGCGTGGATTGATTCCTCTGTGTTCGGTTTTGGACGAGCCATACAGTCCTTTGGGCTTGAAAGATTCAAGAAAAATTGTGGAAAGATGGTTTCAGGATTCAACTTTGTCTTGAACCAACTCTACCCAACTCATGAAACGCAACTACCACGAGAGACTGTTAGTCATAGTAAAGACCGCCTTTCTGACGCTGCAAACAAGGCTAAAAGTATTGCAAAATCAGGGCCTTACTATGCCTCTTGTGCGCCAGAGAATTAAAATAATGGGATTTTCCCCCTGAATCGTATTTTACCCAAAGGATTTTAGTGCTCTCAAAAATCAAGGTAACATTGTCCATTTCTAGTCTGGTCTCAAGCCACCAATTTTTTCATTTTTCCTGAAATAAAATTGCAATATCACTTGGCTATCTTTCAAATTCATGTTGAAAAGGCAATTGATTTAATTTATAATATTTTAGTAATCCATTTGATTTTATGAGTGCACTAAATCCTGCTCTTTTGCATTCAAGGCTAAATCAAGAAGTAGGTACTTGGTTTTTTATCATTAGTTGTGGAACTGAGAAGATGTTCCTCAATACGAGTGTCTCAAAATTTCTGATTTAGGCCTAGTATTTGTATTTGTATTTCAAGAGAATTTTTCCATTAATTTTGTGCATTACCAGAGAATATTCCTCTAAAAGTCAAAGATAAATCACATGAAATTTTTCGCCTTATTGATGAGTCACCTAAATAAGTACAATATGACAAGGAATCTGCACTAACCAAGGTTCATATATTCTAGTTCCATTGTCAGTCTGCTATGGACGAATTTGTTTAGCTTTTGAGTACTATCATGCCCCAGAAGCAATGTGTTCTTGTCAACATAGCCTTTATTTTTTGTTCCTTGACACTTAAGAAAAGTCTTCGGATACAATCCTGAAGTGTTGCATTGAAAGTAAGGAGCACAAATATTGTAAATTGAGGAAAAAATGAAATTTTGATGATTAATTTAATGCATCGTCAGATACTCCTTTCATAAAAGCTTATGATGAAAAATTCATCTGACAGCATGACAGCATTGGTGGTGCAGGGTTTTCTAGCAACCTCTCTCTGACTAAAAGCTTTCAACGATCACTAAGTCCTCAAGGATGATTTTCTTTCTCTTGGATTACAAGAGATAAAGATTGAATCATTGTCGTTTTGGAAATTTTCAATCAAAAATATTTTCTTTTTCTTCCAAGCTGACACTAACTCGCGTATGTGTAATAGTATGAGAAAATATAGGTGTCTCATCTTTACATAATGATAAAATTCCTTGATTAGAGTCCTTGTTTTATGTTTCTCACCCATTCCTGTATTTTATAAGGGTTATGAGCGTATTAGATAAAAAAGAGGGCATCTTCATTCTGCATTTTGATGTTCATGAAATAAAGTTAACATCATTCAGCCCTGTTGTCAGGTTACAGCAGTCTGCTTCGTCAATGAGGCAGTTGAAATCTTTTATCTTATTGATATCATATATCAGTAAGGCATGTACATTTATGTATCTTTTATCAAGATATTCAGTTGATAATCTTGTCCCAGGTGTAACATGCATATTGATGTAAAGTGTCTGATCACTGCCCCCTGATTTGCTCAGATACATCGTCATTTCAGTTCTGATCCTCCTGAGTTTATATTTATTCCATTCCTAAAACATTGTAACTGCTGTCCAATATTCATGGTGTCTACATGGCTGACAAAACGAGAAAAGTCAAAGAAATCAATTCTAACCACAAATCTCTGAGAATAACATGGCATGGAAACTGGAATTATTTCTTTTAAATTGAGTTTTACAGTCATAATGGAGACAGTTTTACAAATGGATGTATTTATGCTAAAGAGAACTATGTGAGCATGAATGAAATCAAAGGGATGCTTTCAATGATGCATGCAAATCCAGTGCATATAGTTCCTTTTGATTATTTCTATGCAGCTCCCTGGAGAATAAATACGTTCAGATTTTAACTGTGTCCAGCCAAAGTGAGAGCTTTCAGATTAATTTTTGAAAAAAAGAAATTTGAATTTGTTCCTTCTTTTTCTGCGCATTTAGATCATGGTTCAAAAATGTCAGAAAATGTTTGTTACTTCAGTTACAAAATACTTGGAGTAGCATAATAATTGTTTTTCTTTTAATTTGTAGACACCCTGATTTTACAACAGCTATGCCTTTGTAAATTTCCATTATGTTACAGAAATAATGATAGTAAAAATTTGGTGTAGGAACCATTGTATAATTCTTTAAAAGCTCAACCATATGAATTAACCAGAGTTTATCAGTCAGAATCTTTAAGGAGGATTGTTCTAGCGTCAGGATTTCACACACTTACATGCAACTGAACGACAGTGTATGAAAGAATCTAAAGGAAAGAGAGTGGTGCTTGCTTATCTATTTGGTTGAGTGATCGGTATCATTTCTTTTCTTAGATAAATCCAGTCTGTCGTTCAATAGACCACAGAATGTATCAGGAGTTTATGGCAGTATTTCTTATGCTTTGGGTTGGTCCAAGCCTACTATTTATGAATGAAGTTGCATCTAAAAGTTTTGTCATTATCAAAAGCAATTTAATTTATGTGTTTAGGTCTCGTGATTAGCTTGGCAGACCTGTTAGCGTCTCCAATCTTCTCTTTTTTCTCCACCACTTTGTCCTAATTTCGTTGTAAAATATTTCAAATTTTTGATATTTTATGCACTAGACCATCAAGCATGGACTCGAAGTGCCAAAGGTTAGTCAATTATTCAGCTGGACAAAAGATTTGCAATGCGGTTGCTGGTTGTCTGACTAATTTACATAACTTAATTCTATCCGTCTAGTTTTGTCCACCAGGCTAACACAATTTCAATGATCGTTTTGTTGATATACTAACTTACATTCCCTCCATGAATACTTCAAATTTTGATTTGAGAACATTTTTTGGCAACTTCATGAGATGGAAGTTTCAGGTTTTTACCTCATAAACCTTGCACTAAGAGCACTATCACAGATTATCTGATACATTCTGCCCAGTTGTTTTATTATTTTAAGGTTAACTATTATTGTAACGTGTACAGTTAGAGTTAATACATTTTCAACATTCGTTAGCTCATAGGTGTGTAATTATTCAGTGGTACCCCTAGGGTTAGGCTGGAATCGCATGTGTTAGTTTTTTACTGCGGTAGTCGTTTCTCTAGATAGGTCCCTTTATGCCATCATGAAAAAAAACTTATTCTTTTTTTAAACCAATGAGCTTGCATCCACCTTAATTTTTGTTTTCTTGTCTGGAATTTTCCACTAATGTCAGACATGATATGCTCTACCAACAAGCTTGAAGATAAGAACGAATTCAAAGTGAAGTTCTGTGCGATCTTTTTGACAGACTTGATTTATAGTAGCCACAGCGCTCATTCTTTAAATTTTTCGTTCGGTGCTACTAGTTGGTCTCAAAAGAATGTAAGAATTTTTTTTCTCTCTTTTTGAGGTTGGTTTGCTGTTCCTCTTGGGACGAAAGTGATCGGAACCTTCGAGAACCAAATTATGAATTTTAAAATTTAGATCACAGGGCATAATTTGTTAAAGATATTGTTTGTTTCTGTGGTAATCGTATTTTGATATCTCTCAAAAAAAGCATGCCCACTTGATAATTCATGTCACCGCTTTTGGGTATTAGCTGACGAAACTTGTAAATGCGACTTACAACTTTCTTGCTGTGCAAAAAAATTTCAAGTTGCGTCGCTGCTGTTATTTCTCGAAGTTTTATGCAATCGTTTTCACTTTTGTTACCTTCCTTTTTCATGTGATTTGTACCTGCATTGAGTGTTGGCCTTTAGGGCCTGGCTTTGTAAATAAACTCGTTTCAACATGATTTTTTTTCTCTTCATCTTTTCTTTTCCCTTCAAAATTAGTGCATCTTTGTTCGACAAGTTTATCATTTATTGTTTCTCATGAAAAGGCTTTGACCAAGTAGTGCTGGCTGGTCATAGAACCTTTTTTGATGGCTCAATATTGTAGATAACGTAAAAAATGATTTCTATCAGGTTTCTGCTTTCAGTGTTTCAGTGAAATCACCCTTCGATAAGTACAGTGATTAACGTCATCCATTGCAATAGTGCGTACCATGGTTTCTTCCACCTTAGATTTATTATTGATGTGTAAGCACATTTATTTGCGCTGGTTGCTCCATTTCTATCGGAGGAAATATCTAGGATGCAGAAATAATAGTATGCACTACTATGCTGCTGTCCGGAGCAGAAACGCCAGGACTCCATCTCTAATTTGTCAAATTTTCCTGTCAAAATGTTATTTTACTAGAAAACCAGAGGATGTGGACTCTTTACAATTTTTGAACGACAGGGGCTTACTATGGACAACTCACTTTGCAAAAAAGTGACATTAGAGAGATCAGCTTTTCAAGCAATAGTCTTTTATTTGGCAAAAGAACGTACGATTAATCATGGAGTTTCGGCGTTCTTGTTGTAGATGGCAGTATGGTTCGACAGTATCAATCACAGTGCTTTCTATAAGGGGTGATACTTCCGTTTCTATGGAATTTAGAAATGGCGTTGGAACGAATTCTAGTTATCTTGGCTAGAAAACAAGTTCCAACCATGAAAACTAAATTGTATGACAAGAAAAACTAACCCCCCACTGAAAATTTTTCAACCCTCAAATTATGGGCTTCTTCCAATGAAGATTTGAGAAGAGCAAAAAATGCTAAAAACTTCAATTAGGTAAATAAAATTCTTAAGATATTTAATAAGACAAAAGTTCATGAAAGTATAAACAAATTTACAAGGAGAGATATCAGTATCACAGAAATTGTTTTCCTAGTCTGAAAGCCTAAACTGATTCTTCTGTTTTCCGTCGTTTGTTAAACCCAGCGAACTCCATGGACATGAGTGGGTCTTTTTGATTTCCCTGGAACAAAAGAACAAAAAGAGTGGAAAGTCCCATGAGTGTAAAAGCATATAAGAGCAAAAATAGCAGGCTAAAGCATCTAGCCTCATCATTTGCCATAGCGAAATATGTGATATCAAACTCTAACATGTCTACTGAAAGACAATTCTAACTGAATGTCGCACAATTTTGATCAATAATCATACATATTTTACTGTATAAGAGGATAATTTTATTCTTATTTTAATCAATCATTTTCAACAAAAAGATTTTACCATCCATAAAATACTTCACATCCATGGCTTGATATTATAAGCATTTTAAAAATGTTTACTTATGATCGATAATTACACTCAGGAAAAATGTAAATCTGATTGGTTCTGTAAAAAAGTAATTTCTCTTCCTTACTTTCGAACAGTTATTCGTACTGCTGGAAGGGGGAAAATAAGAACATTTTGGTAAGAATTTAAACATAGACGCTAAAAAATGAGCAGAGATACATAATGCCATTCCAAGGTTTGCAGCTGGATCATCCTCGTTTTTTGAACAATATGATTTTAAGAAGAGAGGAGTAGAGAAAAAATTTAGTTTTACAAGATCGAGAGAAGTTAAGACCATGAATATAACCCTTCAAAAAGAATGAGTGAGACTCTCCGACTCAATTTTGACCACTTCAATATGAATGGATTCTTCAGGAAAACGTTCCTTGCTAAAAAATGATGACGAAACTGGAATAACACATCATGCTTTAGATTCTAGCTACTTTCCGCCAGATTAAATTTGTCAAAGATGCAGATACGAACTGTCATTAATTTATGGGATTTTTTTTTTCATTTTTCTGTGGCTATAGAAAAATAATCCTTGAAAATCTGTAAAAACAAATGGTTTTCTTTGGAGAAAATTGGAGAGAACAGAAATTTTGGAATACCCCAATGAGAGAGACACATGTTCTTTAGTTTCATAATTGATGAGGTTCCGTTTGATAGGGCTGATCATAAATTTAAATAAATTTAAAAAAAAATAAATAAATCACTTACATTTATTCTACTTTGCATTATCTAAATTAGAGAACAACTAATATAATTCTAACAGCCCCCTCCAAATCCTCACCTTGAATTTGCGTTCCGCCCTGCTGAGCGGCTTATGCTTTTTCTTCCGTTTTTTCTTCTTCTCAGTCTTGACCTCACTGTCATCATCTTCTACCTTGACCTTTGTGGGCTGAGGTTTCTTTTGCTTTTTTGTGACTGTTCGGACTTCTGCAATTGAACTCAGGGCAGCTGGAATATTATAATCTGGAACATCCGCTAGATGTGGTTGAATTTTCACTGTTGAAAGTGGTTTGTCATGGCGGAGAGACTGAAGATCTTGTGGATTCTCTTCAAAGTAACCCTACAAAAAGTAATATGGCAGATTATTGAAATTAAAGTGAAAAAATTATTGAATATATTGAAAATGAAACCATTGTAGAGTGGTTTGATGCTGACAATGTTACCTTTCTAAAACAAGGGTGCAGACCAAAAATGATACTATCAGCTCAAAAATCAATGACAGGATAAATTAATTATGACATTTGCCTTAAACCAACATAGCAGAAAATGGCAGGCAACCTAATGTCGTCCGTTCAAGGACTGATTGGTTGAATTCTACTGAGTGGTCCGTAGCTAGTGGGTCACTAAACTTTGTGTTTTTATTAAATATTCAGAAAGGACCAGGTGACTAGATTACGTATTGTTGGAACCAAAATCCTTGACAAGCCTGCTTTAAAAAGTCCAAAGATTCTAAGGAATTTCAAAGGCGCCCGAACGGTGGGAAAATGATGACAGTGATATCGCTATCTCCTCTCATTTTTCATAGATATTTGTTTTAAAGAAACGTATTTCAATGTAAAATTGTTGCTTGTTAATTACAGACAATATGGGCAAGATTCGATTCCTTAATTTTGAAGATGAAGTTTCGACTTTCCTATTGTTTTCACATAAGAGGAGTAGAAAGACATTTGACGGAAGTCGTAATGCTTGCTTCTGATTGGTGCCAGATGATATCATTCAGTTAGGCGCGAAACCTGAGCATAGTAAATTTTCAGAAAAGTTGCGCTTTTTGAACTGCCTATTTTCCAGTTTCTGAATTACTTTTTAGCGTTTTTAGTATGCGCATCATATTCTATGCTTCATTTACTCTCAGTGAATGTATTTGCTAGTCAAAATTTGTTTATGGTTTAGTAAACCATTGTTGCTTACAACTGCTACGCACCGATTTGCTTCTGTGGAATCGGTCAGATTAGAAACAAAAATAACCTTGTCAATTGACTAGACTTACAGCATAGGCTGGAGAAACAGGAAAAAAAGGTTATAGAATTTCTTCTTTTTAAAGTCTAAAGTCCTTTACTTTTTGCAATGTACCTCCAACAATGTTCGAGGCATGCAAAAAATCTCATTATGAAAGGTGACATCATGTAAAAAAAAAACAATGATTCTTCAATCACTTGGAAGATATTCACCTTGAGTTTATCCGAATTTAAGATTTCTTTTTTTATTTCTTTGAGTCGTGCTTGCTTTATCGCCAATCTCGTCACAGCACACCATGCATCTCTCGTACGATACCGGAAACCCTCCAGCTTGGAAATATCAAAAAGAAAAGGCCTGCCACAAAAATAATAAGAGAACACTTGATGTTTGATTTGATAAGTTCAATTCTATCATAGGTAATTTCTAAACGAAAAATTTACATTAGCTTTGATAACATTACATTCATAATTTTAAAAAGAAAATAAGAGAACAGGACAGCAAGATATTTATTTTGGCCAAAGAAAAACATGCGTAACGGAAGTTTCTGCTCGTTAATGACAGTATTAATGATAATAATAAAAAATAGGCTTAGTTTATTTTTTTATTTGACTGATATCAATAGCATCACTTGTATGTCTCCATGCCAAAAGCCTTAAAAATTCAGTCCATGAAATCTGATCAGAAGCCATTAGTCCATCTTTTTGAGCTAAGGTACTTTTGAGAGAGAGATTTTTTCAGAGCCTTCAACTAATAGCTTACAATTTTAATGCCCCAAACATAATTCAAAGATCATATTTCTGGAATGAGATAATTTCAGAGGTCCTCTACCTACATATATAATCTGAATATAAATCACAATACATACTTCAAAACATCTGCTCCTTGGGACAAATTATTTTTCAAATATCGCTCTACAGCTCTCATGAGTTTCTGCTCTGAAACGTTGACAAAGGAAAGGACGGTTCCCTGTAAGAAAAAATTGTCATCAATACAAAGTTCTTTTCGCATTTCTGGACTGTTTGTTCAGGAATTCAGGAGAATTTATTCCCATACAGACTATAAGCAAACTTATTTATATCAGTTCACAGGCGTTTTGAAATTGCGATTGAAAACCTCATGTTCTTCAATTTAGAACATCTCATTGTGTGATTGAAAAAAATTAAGTGTTCAAAGAAATGCTGAAACAGCGCAAACGAGATACTCTTTTTTGCCTGGCAGGCTACAAAATATGCATTTAAAAATTCTGATGTATGTTTCCACTTCAAAATTTCACGGAGAAATTGATTTGCACAATGACTATGACCAAAATTAAACCCCAACCAAGATATAAAAGTTTTCATGTAGCATTAGTTACAAAAAATTTAAATTTCCCCCTCACACGAAAACCAAGAGTCTACTTGAATCAAATTGCACGCTACAACGGTTATGGTGAACTTCCAAAGCCAGAAAAAAATTGTAAAAGTACAGTGAACTTGGCTCATCAACACTGGAGTGAAGTTTTTCCGGGTGAATATTCAAATATAATAGTTTGCTTCATTGAAACTGTATAAGCTATATTCTCATCCGCTTCCTGCAAAGCAAAGAAACTACTTCCAAATTCTAAGTAATTGAGAGTTTAAGGAATTTTACCTTGTTGTTACCGCGAGCTGTGCGGCCTGCTCGGTGGATGTAGCAAGGGATATCAAGTGGAAAATCAAAGTTGATGACATTAGAGACACACTGGAAGTCTATACCACGAGAGACTCCTGATTCAAAGTCGCGTTTTACACCCCTATAAGGAATAGAAAAATATATTACAGGGATAACAAAACTTATATAAAGTTCAAACTAAACCAATGAAGATTGAGAGTAAAATCTGCTTTCCCAGAATAAATTTTAATGTTACAAGTTACAACTTCAATCTTTCAAAGTATTCAGATTCGGGAGCATAAAAATATTTATTCTAAAGTGCAACAGTCAGTTATCTCTTATTTACAGTAACAATTTCTTTGCAACTATTTTCTGCAGGAATACTTGACTGCACAAAGTTCTTTATGCATTCACACACACTACTCTATTTAAAAGACTATTTTGTAAACATTCGAGTTTAAATTGATTAAGTATTAAAAAATAAAGGAGAAGATAAGTACACAATTTTTCGTCAACTACATTCTAAAACTAGAGTTACCAAACTTTCAAGGAAAGCTTTGATTTCAATTTCACTGTAAAATAGGCATTGATACTCACTTTTTGTTGACGATTTCCCCTTTAGAAACTTGTTCTAATGCCTTTTCATCAGATGCAATAATGATTTCATAAACATTCTCATTGAACTGCGATATTGCATGGCACCGAGATGAGGCTGGTAGTTCTGAATTCAGAATGCAGGTTTTAATTCCGAACTGTTCTAAAAATAATTTTAACCTAAACCACAAAAAAAAGGCCAGTTGAATGAAAAAATAGATTAAAACAAAAAAAAATTAATGATATACCTAGGTACAGTGAAGTCATTCCTCAGTTTTTCAGGCATATGTCCTTCATTAGAGAAAAAACATTTTCCACAGTCAAAATTGGAATGATGGGTATGAAGTGATTTGTATCGAGGAAAAGGTCTAAGTATTTCTTATCAAAGATGTGAAGCTTATGAATTTTATCTGATTTGATCATTTTCTAGATTTGCCTGGTTGGAACAATTTGAAAAAGTGTGAGGAAGTTCTAAGAAAAATAATCAGAGTCAGACTTACTGCACCCTTGCTTTAATATAAAAAGAGAGTCACGATAAAACGGTGCTGCTGTTTTACTTCAAAATGGTTTAAAACACTGCTCAGAAGACACATGATAAATATGATGAAGTTTCTGCGCCTGCATACTTTGAGGGGTTAACTTAAGGCATGGCATCTATCTTTCTAACCAGACAACCAAGTGATGAGGGAAACGTGACAAAAGACGTTTGAGGTTTTTTTTCAGATATTTAAAATAAGATAAGGTCAGAGCGACAGAGATAGACTCTGCTCATCCCACGTGTTTTCACTGTTTTTCAGCAATACGGCTTTAGTAGGTCTTCTCTTCCGGTATATTATGCAGTCTTGATTTTGACTTACTTGTAACAGCGGTCTACTCTGTTGACGAATGTTATAGTCTTGCCCTTAATCAGCTGCAATTTGAGTAAGACGAGGAGCGTGACAGCCTTTTCTTCCTCTTCTGCATGCCGTACATAATGGCTCAACTGAGTGACTGGAGCCAAATCTGGCTCTTTCAGGTTCAAAATTACTGCATTTGGAAGAATTAAGTTTTTCAACTTCACCACGTCGTCTGTGTACGTTGCGCATGCTAATGTTCCTTGGAAAGTAGAGGGCAAGAAGCTGTAAAAAAATACTGAGCTACATAAAAAGAGAAAACCCAAAAGAAAATCTGTACATTAAATTCCAAGATTTTTGCCTTACATTTTCTAAGTTTACAATGGGATTCAGCTTCAATAAGAAAAATGACATTGTTCTTTCTGAATCTACAAATGAAATTTCCCATGTTCAAAGGAGGGATATATCGATGAGGATTGATTTTTCGTGCATGGAATGTCTATAATTTATAAAAAGCATCATAATTTGGTAATTTTTCATCTTTTTTCGGGTCTATGGGTCTCAAGGCCGATTTTGGCACACAAAAAAACAGGTTTTGTGAATATTCAGTTGAATGCTGAAAAATCCATATTTTTCGCCTAAATCAGCCTTTAGACCCATGAATAGGCCAGTATTGGATCTGAATAGAGACCGCAAATTACCTAATCATGATAAATTCCGGAAAAAATAGACCCTTAATGAACAAACAACTGTAAAGTTGGAGGGATTCATCAAGAAAAGGCCCAAAAACGGCCCTACTCAATACCCGTCTCTATACCAACAAGTCAAAACCCCCTAAATATCATTCCTACTTTGTCCTTGTTTTTTTTAAAAAAATGTTCACATCTGCTCAAAATTGTAATTAATAACTTACGTTAATAGCTGCTTCAGGTCTTGTTCATAGCCAAAGGAGAATAGAAGATCAGCTTCGTCAATGACTAGAAGTTCAAGAGAGTTTCTTAGTTTGATATGTTTTTCTCTCAAGTGGTGCAGCACTCTGGATGGTGTGCTAACAATGATATCGGGTTTCTCGATCAGCAACGGGTGCTGTGCTGCACCATCAGGCTACAAAACAAAATCAATTACAGATTAAAGAAGTCACCAGTGTTCATTAAGGTCAGGCTTCTTTGAATTGTAGGTCACTTGCGCCTCTTACACCTGAAACCTGTATTGTAGTGCATTGTTTACTACAGTAAATGTGGAAACAGTTCTTCAAATTCTGGTCTTAATGTAATGATCAGCTCTGTTGCCTTAGAACTCTTCATTTTCATAATTAATTATTCCTTGCAAGAATTTTCTTGCTTTATTCTTGCTTCATGGAAATTGCGAGCGCATCAAAATTTCATTGTTTCTAAGGCAACCTTTGCGTCATAGGATTTGTCCAAAGCAACAACTAAAAAGAACTGTAGAAATATTGGATTTTAAGATTGCAATTATTTCAGAAAGCACTCGAGAACAAGAGATTTTTTGGGGTGTTAGTTGAAGTATTTTCCTCTAAATTTTTAAAATTGAGATTGCTTCTTTCTTTAGTTGTTTGTTTCTAAAAGTATAAAGAGAGATGATCCTGCGCCTATGAATAAATATTGCAGAAAAATTTAATGCAATATAAACCTTATGCACAGCTTTTGTAAAAGTTGAAAAAATACAAAATTCAAGTTCACCTGCTGTGAGATATCAATGCAGCAAACATCCCTAGAGCATTTGATTGTAAGCTGCAAAACATTTTGGTAGATCTGATGACAAAGCTCTTTTGTTGGTGCCAAGATGAGACTCTTGATAGACTGCACCGGTGAAGCCTGTAAAAATAATTTTGTAAATTCACTATGAATACATGTTTTTCATAAAATTGCAGCCATACTGAAACAACAAGGTAATTTTTTGAGAATTTTGGGGAAAAGGGGAGTTTAAAATGAGGAGGGGAATTTTAAAAATGAGAAGACGAGGAACTTCTTGCATCATTGATTGGATATACTTAGGCAAGGCATGAGAACACAAAACAATGATACGGAAATGAATAGATGAAATAGGAAAACTGAACAAACAGCCTATGGCCATAGGTACTCATGTAAAGTGATCAATTATTGAGACCCTCTTAATATGCTTCTAAAATTAAACGGTTGCGCTGAAAGGCAGCAAGCACTTACTTTTTTGATGTTGATTATGTTCTGAACGAGTGGCACTGCAAAGGCTCCTGTTTTTCCACAGCCAGTTCGTGCGCGAATGAGAACATTCCTGCCGTCAAGAAGAAGTGGGATTGCTTTTTGTTGGACTTTGGTTGGTGCTGCCCAGCCTAACTTAGCAATAGCCTGGAATTTAGATTAGAACAATGCTTAGTTTTCATTCTAGATATCTATGGTGAATAAGCATAAAATTAATGTAAAAGTAAACCCTTTGACTTTGTTTGGAAACCGAACTGTACCCAATGCTCAAGAATCCACGATGTTACAACTCAAATGGAACAATATGCTGGCTTGCCAACCCTAATTGCTTTCCAGCGATCATCGAGCCTTTTGAAGTCCATTGATAGAACTGCAGCACAGTAAAATTGGATAGGTTCACTTAGACGGTGCATTTCATGTTAACATGGCTTCTTAGCAACATCAACTTTTAGACAAACTTGTCAAGATAGAATCCACGCCAACTAACTTTGAGTTCTTTCAGAGTGAGATTAAAGGTGAAAATGAAAATGGCAGATCTTCAATCTCACTCTAAAAATGTCCGTGTGACTTAGTTAGTACGGACTCAAGCCCCTTTAACTGAACCATTCTTATACTGTATCTTTGGTATGAGCTGGACATTATTTGGATTTCCAGTTAAAGAGATGAGCCAATATGCTACTTCTATGCGATGGAAAAATTAAAGTCGACGCTGTACTCAGAATGCCCTCTACTACCTTCGCCAACAGCAATAATTACACGATTTAATCCAGTTCTTCGTGTAATTAATTTCAGCACATACAACTGTTTAGTATGATGGAATGAACTGAGGTAACTTTTCTATAGCTTTGTCTCTATGGGCCGCTTCACAGGATTTGTCCCAAGGAAAACTCCCACTGATGAAGTTGGGAAAAATATTGAGTCAATGAATATTTTTCGGAACGAGCATAATCCTTGTACCTTCAGACCATATGAGCGAAGAAGTGAAAGCGATATTTTGTTGGTGACTACATTGTTCGTGATTGTTCAGTTAAAATCATACGTCCAATTGTCCATTAATTATTGGGTTAATTCCTGCTGAATACTAGATTTATACTACCTATCTGTAAACTTGTCGTAGGACCGTATGAACCTCCTTCCGTGGAGACAGTTACCGGAGAAAAATTTCAAAAGCCTCAATCCTGTGATTCAAACTTGCGACATGTCCCATAAAAACGTCCCGTAGAGACAAGGCCTATGATGCTACTGGAAATAAAGGGATTTCATAAAACAAATATTCTATGGAAATAAATTATGATTAAAGCCATGGTAAAAACAACCCACATAGTGCAGGGGAGGAGTAGACGTACCTTCAAAATCCTATCATCAAGTTCCATTTCATGGAACTGAGGAGGTTTCTTATCTTCTTCCATGGTGAAAAAATATTCCCAAATTTGCCTTTGGAATGAATAAAAACTATTCAGGAAACTTCACTCATATTTAGAGTCTGGCAACGAAAATTCAGAGACTTCGTAGTTCGTCTCTTCGTCACATTACTTTTCTAACCTCAAAAAGTTTGTTTTGTTGATTGCCATGTGCTCAGTAAATACGTTGCCAAAGATCAATACTTATTCAAATTCAATAATTAAAAGTTTTTATGATTGTGCAAATTGCAGGTGTCATGGTGCTTAATTTTCGTGGATACCGTAAAAGGAAATTTAGGTTTTTTAGGTTCTTTTTTCCTTTATCATTCTTTTGATACATTTACATCCTTTTTTAAGTAGAATTTCTCGATTGATTTGACAACTACGCAATATCAGCTTGTTTGTTTAAGGTTATGTTACTTGTTGAAAACACATGAAGCCGAGTGCAGTGAAGTGCAAATTTTTTGTAGTTTTATCATAGGTTTTATCATCAATTAATTAATTCACCGCAGTCAACTGATTATTGTGGCCCTTCCTGCCGTTCCAACCTGTTCCATTTCACTTACGTTCACTTCTCTGTAAGTTTCTGAGAATATTGTCATCGACCTGATCTTGGCAGCACATCTCCACAACTTCTGCTTCCCTTAGAATTTGCACTGATTGTGATGCTAAAGTTTCCTTAATCGTAAGTTTATTTTCCTCATCAGAAGTCTTTTGTCTTGTCAACACGATGCCTTTTCTGAAAATTAGATCTAGAGTTCTAACCGAGCTGTTCAACTACTGTTGTATGTAGTGCTTAAGACTGTGAAATCCAACCTTTTTGTCAGTTTCTGACGTTTATCTCACTGCAATTCTTTCAAATAAATCCTTTCCCTATTTAGTCGCTAGTAGAATTCTCTAACTTTATTTAAATGAGCAGCTCTAAGTTTTCTACTGTGTAACTTTTTCTCTTCCAAAGAAAGATTGTAGCATTTCAACAAATTGACTAGAGTGCTGTTGGTAGATTCCTGTCAGAAATCAAAGAACTAATAACTGTAAGTCAGAGGTAATTAGTTCCCCAGACAATTTACCAGAGAAACCATTATTATTGCGTTGGTTATGTTGGATTTTTGTATATCAGTTCTGGGCTGACTGTCGCTAGTCCTATCTCCACAAGAAATTCACTAATCAAGCTTTGGTCAATGCATGGAAATGTTGAACGGCCTTTGCCAATCGGTTAAACTCAGCCTAGGCATTGCTTTGCTACATCAACTGGATTGTGACTTCTAATCGGTCAGATTTTGATTAGCTTTTCCTCCCCATAGAAATGATTTTTTGAAATTTTCAATGAACCTCTTGATGGTTTTTACTCAAAATTTTACTTCTGATAATCTATGCCACAATCTTGTAATAATTCCTCGCTACTACCCCATTTTAAGTCATTACTTGCTTTTTTCCCCAGGGAACCCTTCATCTCTGCAAATATCTTTCACCAAGTATTCATTCAGTAATCAGGTAACACGGAATCATTTTGCCACTTGCCAACATGGGAGACAACATAGAAACATCAGATGAAACTGTACTTGATGAGGAAGCTCTTTTACAAAAACACCGCAAGGAACGGAAGGATCTCCAAGGTAAGTCATTCACTTAATAATTATATACTTAAGCATCTATTTTTAATAATGATGGTGAATTGGTAAAAAAAAAAGTACTAGTTAATGTCCATCAGGAAAAATCTGGAAGTAATATTTACAGGCACTTTCATCACTTTGATTTGATTTTATCAACTGAAATACCCTACATTTCCAGTCAAATTTGTCAATCTATAGAAATTGTTATGTCATCATACTATTGAACGATGAGAAAAAATAACAAATTTTATTCATGCCTCAAAAATCGTGAAAGAGATTAGTACCTTAGTACCTTTATTTTGTAAGCCTCAATAGCCTTCTTTTTTTTATGTAAGCATCATGGTGGAGTTAGTGCCGAAAGCAATAAACCCACACCACATCTCTAGCAGCTCTGTCGTTTTCTTTTTAAAAGAAATACTCATACATACAACAGGTGTGATGGGCTTGTTCCTTTCATAAACCATACAATTTTGCCAAGTATCAATGAAAATAATTGAAATAGTGCCACTTGATTTACAGCAAAAATCACATCATTGAAAAAATCAATCACAAAAGGGGACAAGAAGAAACGGAAGGATGTCCTTGAGCAAATTGCCGAGTTGGAAACTGCTTTGAACACTCAACAGGAGGAGGAACTTGCAGCATTGAAACCCAACAAGAAGGAAGTAAGTCCTACTCATAATACTGCCATGCTAAGGAAAAACGCTGTATGAACCTTCAGCCGTCGCCAAATTTCCTCTGATTAAACACGGATTTCCTGGTGAACTTATGAATATTTTCCTCCTAACTTTTCAGATAAGTTTGTTCGCCGGTTCATCTAAAGTTCCTGAAAATTTCTAGGAAAAATATTCATAACATTCCTCAAAAAAGACATTTTATCGGAGGAAATTTGACAACTCTCAAATGTCCATATGGTGTTCTTCCTTAGCTTGGCAGAACAGTGATCTCACTTCAGCAATCTTAACTGCCTCAGCAGAGTACTTTGCCCAAAAGCGCCAATTTCAGCAGTATCAGAAATTCTAAGAACAATTCTTGTGGAAATTTTCCCATAATTTAAGTAAATTACAATTTTTCATGACCTTCAGAACTATCCACTTTGCATTGGAAGCACTCCTGATTTGTTTGAATGCTATGACTAATTGTAATTAACGAAAATTTTGAAAGGCAAAAAAGATATTAAGAAGGGACCTTCACATTTTTACAGCAATTGAAGTCGTAACCAGTGGGTTGTTAGGTCAAATAATTTCTTAAATTATTCTATACTTGTTATTACTAAGAAGATGGTTGTAAATTGAAACGTTCTTGCCTGAACTTGGTGTAACATTACACTCAAAACCCTTCGCAGATAATATTTTTTATTTTGCCATTTGCAGGATTCAACAGTGCAGGTAATTACAGAATCAATAGGAGATTTGCGAGTTCTTGAAGAGGAGACGGAGGTCCCAATACCTGTGAGGGTATCAAAAACACAGAGACGACGTGAGCGGAAAGTGGCTGAATTTAAAGAACGAGAACGCATTGCAAAAGCAGAGGAACAGGACCCTGCAAGTTCAGCCAAGTATATTGAAACAGAAGCCATCAATAAGATACTCAAGAGCAAAGGACTCATGATTAAGGATGTCCCTTCGGATGGAGATTGGTATGTATCCATTTCTTTATTTTCAACTTTTTTTTTGGTTTTACTTTCTGTAAAGCGAGAAGAAGTAGAAATTTTTTCGGAAATGTTTTCAAATTTTTAATAGACACATAAATGAATATGTAGGTCGTCAAGTCTCCTTGTCAGAGTTGTCTTTCCTTTTTTATTAATACTAATTTTTGATGCATGTTTAAATGTTAGATTTTGAAAAAAAAAAATGTAAAATAATAGATGAATTTTGTCATTTTCAAGGGGAATGTGCCTATCCAACAAACATATTTAAGTTTTCCTTAAGAGTGAAAAGGAGTTGAGAAATCAAATAAACAAAGAAAATATCATTTTGGCCAGAAAGATTAAGACATTCACATGATGCAATGTACTTAGAATTCTTAAATTTTTTGCTCCACAAGACCCACTTAAGTATTAGAAGTACGAAATAAAAAAAGAGGCCACAAGTATTTTGTAATTTTAAATAAAAATTTCCAGCTTTTCAAATAGTATCATAAAAAATGAAGCGCTGGGTGCAGAAAGGGCATTTCCTGGTCAAGGTGTCTCAAAATCTCTGCGAGTTTTTCATCCATTATGATCAAAGCAGATGTACGTATATACTTTATTAAAACTTTCACTAAATATTCCTTACGATTTAACAATGGTCTAAACAAAAAACTTCAGAAAATTGACCCAATTGTTTCTAAAATATAATTTAGTAAGTATTGAAGATTCTGATGACATAATGGAGAAGTGCCCTTTCTGCACGGAGCGCCTCAAAAGTTCTAAAATTTTTTCATGCTGCATTTTTATATGAAGAGTACTTTTATATGTATAAATTCAAAATAGTCTGCTCTCTTTATAGACCTAGGTGTGTACTCCAAGTTTCCTCAGATCCTCCTAATGTACTTCATTTTAATTTCAGTATGTACAGCGCGGTTAAATACCAGTTAAGCGAGAAAAACCTTCCAGTGATCTCAGTCTCGGACTTGCGGCATAGAACCTCTGACCAAATGCGCAGCAAGTCAAGCGAGTTCTTGCCATACCTCTGCCATCCAGACACTGGGCTTGTATTCAGCCCGGAAGAATATGCAGAATATTGTGATAAAGTGGCCAACACGCACGAATGGGGAACGCAGATCGAAGTAAGTCACCGCATAAGAGTCCATTATTTTGTCAAATTAAAAACAAAACCACCTTAATCTGAAGAAGAATTCTCAATTTACAACTTGTGCTATCCCTGTAGAATCCCTGTAGAAAAAAAAATGGTGAGTGACTTTATCAAGTCTGTTAGTGTATACCTACTATGATTTTTGTCGCAGCAGAGGTTTTATCAATGAAGGGTTTGGAACAACCATCGCCATTTTTTTTTTTCGCTTCAAATATCCCTGAAAGGATAATCCCACACTTGCAGTTCCTGAAGTCCCATCCCCTTCAGTCCCTAATCAAGCCAGCCCCAGGTAACCGTTATTTAAGATCATCAAACTGGGGTCACCTGGCTGGGAATCGACCCTGGGACCTCCTGATCGTAGAGCAAGCGCTACAACCACTACCCTATAGGAGGCAGATAATGATGGTCACATTAGATGCACAAAAAATCATCATAATTCTTAAGAGGTGTAATCGTCGTTAATTCACGGATTCAAAACGTTTGCATTTGGATTAATGTCAGTATATTTGGCTTGTCTAAAATCATCAATTAATAAAACATGATTCTGCTGAAAATGAAACTAATCTATAATTTCCAATAAAACTCACAAGAATCACTTCATTCGAAGTTTTATCATTCATCATTTTTATTCCTCATGAAAAAATTCAGTTTATGAGTCAGTTTTGCAACCTAGGAATGAAAGTATGTTTCTTCGTCTGAGATTCGACAACATGACATGTTAAAATATTCCTCGTCCTCTTATTATGAAATGTTTGAAGTCACTCCTTAAAACAGTGTTAGTAATTTTGTGTCCTTTCCTCCCTTTTCAGCTGCGGGCTTTGAGCCATGCTTTAAACTGTGGTATTGAGGTTGTGCAGGCAACGGGTCCAGCATTGATGATAGGTGAAGAATATGTGGAGGATGGTGGATACTTGACCATAACATTCCACCGCCACATGTACCAGCTCGGTGCCCATTACAACTCAGTTACCACTTACCAAGAACCAGAGAATGAGGACGATTTTTAAGGGGCTCCTAAGTTTGCGATGTGATGGCTGCCTGAAAATTTTCTTTGCCAGCACTTTTTCTTGTTCTTATCTCCTTACACATTTATGTATCATTAAGTAATGGCTTTTTTTAAGGAACAGACACAAAGAGGATGAAAATTCATATCAAGTATTCGGTTTTGCCGAATTACAAAAGAAGAGTTATGAAGCTTTTGTTGTCTGTATTCAGTAATGTGCCAAATTCAACTATCTGTTAAAAATTTATTATGTTTATTCAGAATTATGAATCATACAAGAAAGAACAGCGATTCGCTGCATTTTTGTGTTGACTATATTGCTCGTAACATCTTGACAAAAGTCTATGAGAGGGTGCACCTTAAACGAATAAATCCAGGTGGTGATTACTAAAATTTAGATGGCATCCTGCAAATACATTTCAACTCGTTCAGAAACCTTAAGTTATGCTGACTTTCAGCTTCTATATGTTGTGGACTTGGGTCCCTTGTGCCGGGATGAAAGAGACGACCATTATTTTTTTGTAACGTTTGCAACTTATATATATGAGACTTGATTGACTATTTTGAGAAGGTGGTCTCTCTCCCAAAATTAAAAATCCATCACCTGAATTATTTAGAATAATGAGCAGCCCAAGCCTGTAATACATGAGATTATTTCTGCCTAATTTTAGGACTCTCAAATGATTGAGGCGTCAGGGATTTTCAAATTTAGTTTTTATGAAATTTGTTATATCCCATGAATTGTATGAGAGCCTCTCTATTTTTTTTTTCATAGAATCTGGCCAATGTATCTACATAGCTGTTATTTCCGAATGTGGAGACACTACCTCCAGCTTTTTTCATGCTTCTAATCTTGACTTTATTTATTAATTAATGCGATTGAGCAATCAAGGTCTAACTTTTAATAAGAATATTGATAATATTAATAACAAAATTGAATCCAATGAAAACTAAATAACAAAATTGCATGATATTAATGAAAAATAAAATTACTGGAAGTCTCTTCCAGTGTGTAATTTGAAGAAGGAGTGTCCTCAGTGTGATGTTGTTGTAAAAATATTGAACTGTACTTTAACATTAGTACAAAGAAGAGGCGCAGTTATGAATCGAGGGAGATGTAGTGATGAAGCCATTTTAAGCAGTATCCATGACTTTCCCTCTCACTGCCAATTTGATATGCCTAATATTTCTACTTTATATGGCATTTGTTGTTTTTGTCTATTATGAATAAATGAGTTTTAATATGTAATTATTCTGAATTTCCCGTTTTGTGTTACAAATACATACATGAAAACTCTTTGGTTTTCTCTCACACGGCTCATAATAATTATAATATTTTGATAAAATGCTGATTTCTACTGTTATACAAGTTACCTAAGCAGTATATGTGCTTAACACTCTTGCACTTCTTGATACTCTTTTACTTTAATTTGAAAGTGATTGATGCACACAGGAGAGAAATTTCTTAAGTTGCCCTTCATCAAATTCACCATTAATTCCAGCTCTACTACAGCTGGCTATATGGTCAATCTGATGGTCCCAAGAGACTGTAGATGTAACTTAATACTTGGTTGCGGTGCGGAGATAGTCTTTTCCAGATGGCATGGACACACTGTGAATAGAACTTGATGGAAATATTTCGCCAATTTCCTCATTAGTTGCTTCGGGAAGTATCATAATTTTCTCTCCAGGCTGCAAAAAGTGAAGATAGACTCTTGAGATTTTTTGAAACTGACTTAATAGAAATCAAGGACACAGATCCTTAATCGGACCTTTCCTAAACAGCTGCAGTCCATGTTAAATTTAAGTACACTTCTGTGAGTGATAAATCTCATCTTCATATGTTGTGAGTCTAATACAATTTCAGGCCTCATAAATAGATAGGAGAATGAAGAACAGGTATGGACAGCCCTGGATCTGCCGTCCTCTCTGATCCTCTGCTTGAAAAAGTATGACTCTTATGCATTTGTTTTGGATACAGAGTTTGCATACAGAAGTCCTATCAATGTAATAACAAAGAGTGAAGATTAGCCTTTGACAGTAGCATGTTATCCATCAGGAATCATCTTTTTAAAGATACCATGCAAGCATTGGTTGTTTCCATTCCATCAAGCCTCTAAAAACATGAACTTGTTTTTTTGGTGAGAAATCACAATAAAATCTCTCTGAGTCATAGTTTTTTCCATTTCAGTTTCTAATAGGACTTTGGGATAGGGTAAGAATTTAGTTTTCAATGGACTTTTTCTCTTGTGAAAATTGCATGTAAAACATGGTTAACATAGGGCACTTATTAAATATCTGAATTAATGTACAAGTGAAAAATTAACAGTTGCTGTGTGTGTACGTACATGAAAATTAGTCAATTCAAACTTTCCACTCTTAGAATAGCCAAAATTATCGTTGCTCCAACTAATTAGATTGATGATATCTCCTCATTACTGTAAGCCCTTTGCAAAACCATGGGACCGGTGGCAACAGTTGCCATAAACGCATTTTATTTCTACAGCTAAAGCAAAAAAAACGATTAATATTGAAAGGATGTAGATTGATATTTACTTACTGTCCAATCTACTGGCGTTGCAATTACTTTTAACCGGTCATGCAGTTGCAGTGCAGTAATTACTCGTAAAATTTCACTGAAAAAAAGGTATGGTTTTCATTAAAAATTCGTTCATCCAGCATCAGCCACACTACATTTTATGTGTTCAATGAGAGAAATCTGGATATTCTTTCCAAACACCATTTAAATTTAAGATGAGAGAAAAAAGAAAGAAAATATTAATTTTGGATCGGATCGGGGGCTACTTACTCAATATTTCTTCCAATTGTTGTCGGATAGAGCATAGAAAGCCTGAGCTTTTTATTGGGGTCAATAATGTAAAGGGCTCTGACTGTCACTGCAGTTTCTGGGTCCTGCCTGTCAGTTTCATTCAACATGTCCAACCTCACCGCCAGTTCCCTCGATTCGTCGCAAATGATTGGGTATGGAAAATCGGCTGGAATATCGGTATAGTATGATTTGATATCCTGTATACACCAGAAAAAAGACAGCATAACATACCTATCCAAAACCATGATGAAATTAAAAAACGCGTCATCAATTTTTGATGATGTTCTGCTCACATCTCTACTCTGGAAATAAAAGCAACTCACAACTCATAACTCATTTCTGGTTGAATCTTTCTTTCAATTTTTAGACCTGGAACTATCCCCTGTTAAGCACAGTTTAAGCCACTCAAACTCCCTCCTAACCCTTCCTACCCCCCCCCCCCNGCAACACACACACCCCTGCATGTAAAAAAAAAATTTCCTAAAAAAGTCTGATCTGTCGTTTTGTGAGTGAGGCGAGTGATAGTCACCTATCAAGCTCACTTTAGTTACGTATATGTTAGTCTTAACAGGTTTTTTGGGTGGGAGGACTTCTATAGCACCAATATGCTTATCTTGATACTTCCAGCAATTAGGTGCACGCAAGACTTTCTGTATGCTAAGTCCCAATGCGGGTCAAACTAACCCATATTTAAATACATTAATTTTGATAGTTTTTTGAAGTATCAGGTACCTACGTATGCGAGTCGTGTAACCTCTCCTAAAATTGAATTATTCGTATAGTTTGCATAAACGCAGCTTCGTTTCTCCAAAATATTTCATAAAATTTCAAGTTTTCCCGCCTCCTGGTCAACAAGAGCTCCACCAATCGCGCACTAACCGCCCTCAACGCTGATTGGCCGTTGCACTCAACGTACGGAGCGCGGCGGGAAAGTCAAAACCTCCACTCTCATTGGTTCCCGCCATTTCCGCCGAAATTGACGCGCCAATATACAAAGCATAGAGTACATAGAGTCGTAATGTAATTGGGAGAGCTGGCGCCACTTTTAAGCATTTTCCAGGTCCCGAATTCCGAGACTCCTGTGTGACGCCGGGTCACTTTTTCGATACATAATCGATTATTTGCGATACACGGGTACCCGGCCATCCGATGACAACAACAACAACAACAACAGAGGAGATAGGAATTACCACGTATTCCACACCGCCATTTTGGATCGAAAATGTATCGAAAAAGCGACCCGAACTCGGCGCACACCGGACTCGGAATTCGTCGAGCAGAACATGGCGCCAGCTCTCCCATTTACATTACGACTCTATGTACTCTATGATACAAAGTGACGCGCCACTTTTCAAATTAGCGGGGAGTACTCTGGGCGCGCCGATTGAGCACAGAGGTCAAACCAACCCATATTTAAATACATTAATTTTGATAGTTTTTGCTGTATCAGGTACCTACGTTTTTGAAGGCAAGAAATACACTTTTTTCTTTTATTGAAATTTTTTCATCTTTCGAGATTAATGCAGCATTTTCCCGTACTTTTGAAAGCGAGTATAAATGTAGTGTGACCCCTAATTAAATAAAGTGTTCATTCTTTCCATAAACGCAGCTTCGTGTCTGAATACCTAAAACTCGTAAAAAGTCGTGAAATATTTCATAAAATTTGACGAGCGATGAGTGGCGAGAAATCGGCGTGGGCAGTGTAAATTAATGCGGCATTTTCCCGCAATTTTGTATGCGAGTCGTGTAACCTCTCCTGGAATTGAATTATTCATATAGTTTGCATAAACACAGCTTCGTTTCTCCAGAATATTTCATGAAATTTCAATTTTTCCCGCCTCCTGGTCAACAAGAGCTCCACCAATCGCGCACTAACCGCGCTGAACGCTGATTGGCCGTTGCACTCAACGTACGGAGCGCGGCGGGAAAGTCAAAACCTCCACTCTCATTGGTTCCCGCCATTTCCGCCGAAATTGACGCGCCAATATACAAAGTGACGCGCCACTTTTCAAATTAGCGGGGAGTACTCTGGGCGCGCCGATTGAGCACAGAGGTCAAACTAACCCATATTTAAATACATTAATTTTGATAGTTTTTGAAGTATCAGGTACCTACGTTTTAAAGGCAAGAAATATACTTTCTTCTTTTATTGAAATATTTTCATCTTTCGAGATTAATGCAGCATTCGTACTTTTGAATGCGAGTATAAATGTAGTGTGACCCCTCCTTAAATAGAGTGTTCATTTCTTTCCATAAACGCAGCTTCGTATCTGAATACCTAAAACTCGGGGAGTACTCTGGGCGCGCCGATGGTGCACAGGGGAGAATTTCAAGAGCGCCGCCGCCCGCGGCGTACTACGATCCAAAACTCAAGAATAGGAAGGAATTCGTTGGATAATGATTGGAAGATCACGAAAGTTTCGCGACCGATGTTTTTTGAGTCGCTAATTTCGAATCGATGTCAAATTGCTTACATTTTAAAATCCTAATTGTGGTCAAGTTTATAGCACGCTGTGGCACGGCGCACAGTGGGTCGAGTTAATTAGAGAGGTCGGTCTATTTTTGACTGAAACCGCAAATTTTTGTGTTTATTTCGTCTCATTTTTAATTTCGATGGGTGCTAGCTGTCGAAAATGTCACGACGAAACCAGTTGAGCCACTTTTGGGAGCTCAACGTTTTGTATAAACGGAGTTAAAAACGTTTGAAGTTTCCAAATTTTGTCCGACCTCTCCTATTGACTCGATCAACTGTGCGGCGTGCTGCCGCCTCGAAACGTGCACTGACGCCTACAAACCTAAGGGGATACTTCAGCACTGCGCAATGCGTGCAGTAGCCCCTTAGGTTTGTAGGCGTCGGAGCGCGTCTCGCGCTGGCAACACGCCGCGCCGCGACTCTCCCGGCGGGCGACAGCTTTTTTTGAGTTTGAGAAGTCATTTCAAGGTTTTTTATTAGCGCCATCGTTCTTTTCGTGAAATTTGACATAAGAATCAGGCATCGATTTGCAAATCCCCGCACCTTGCAACAGGCCTATTGCTGGAGTGTGGCGCGCCTTCAATCCGGCTGGCAGCAACATGCTCACACCCGTGGTGGAATAGTTGTATCACTGCGCCTGCCGTGCATGAGTTCAAATATCTTTCCTACACGCGTAAGGAAGCGTATTTAGCTCCGGTTCCAACGTTACAGGCCTCAACTAATGTCTTATTTTTAATCATTCTTGTCACGAAAGACAAATACAGTTTTTCTAAAGAATTCCCGCGGATTTTCTTCAGTCGCCGGAAATATTGACGAATTATTTTGGCTTGTTTCATACCTCGTTAAAAAAAAAGTGAAATCAATAAACCGAATCCGAGATTCTGAATCGTTACAATTCAGAGATACACTTTCACTCAAATTGTGGTAAAAATGGGACGGAGAGTCAAGGATAATGACGTGTAGTCCTCCGTTTGCGGCGATTTTGTCGGCGCGCCAGCCAGGGAGATCGAACGGGACGGGACCCGAGTAATTGCTGGAGTGTGGCGCGCCTTCAATCCGGCTGGCAGCAACATGCTCACACCCGTGGTGGAATAGTTGTATCACTGCGCCTGCCGTGAATGAGTTTAAATATCCTTTCCTACACGCGTAAGGAAGCGTATTTAGCTTAGACATTATTTGAGGTCTGTAACGTTGCAATCGGAGCTAAATCGCTTCCTTACGCGTGTAGGAAAGGATATTTAAACTCATTCACGGCAGGCGCAGTGATACAACTATTCCACCACGGGTGTGAGCATGTTACTGCCAGCTGGATTGACGGCGCGCCACAATCCAGCAATTACTCGGGTCCCGTCCCTTGCGATCTCTCTGGCTGGCGCGCCGACAAAATCGCCGCAAACGGAGGATTGCACGTCATTATCCTTGACTCTCCGTCCTGTTTTTACCACAATTTGAGTGAAAGTGTATCCCTGAATTGTAACGATTTAGAATCTTGGATTCGGTTTATTGAATTCATTTTTTTTAAATGAGGTATGAAACAAGCGAAAATATTGCGTCAAAATTTCCGGCGACTGAAGAAAATCCGCGGGAATTCTTTAGAAAAACTGTATTTGACTTTCGTGACAAGAATGATTAAAAATAAGACATTAGTTGAGGCCTGTAACGTTGGAACCGGAACCGGAGCTAAATACGCTTCCTTAACTCGTGTAGGAAAGGATATTTGAACTCATTCACGGCAGGCGCAGTGATACAACTATTCCACCACGGGTGTGAGCATGTTGCTGCCAGCCGGATTGAAGGCGCGCCACACTCCAGCAATTACTCGGGTCCCGTCCCGTGCGATCTCCCTGGCTTGCGCGCCGACAAAATCGCTGCAAACGGAGGACTACACGTCATTATCCTTGACTCTCCGTCCCGTTTTTACCACAATTTGAGTGAAAGTGTATCCCTGAATTGTAATGATTCAGAATCTCGGATTGGGTAATTAAATTCATTTTTTTAAAATATGGTTTGAAACGAGCGAAAATATTGCGTCAATAATTCCGGCGACTAAAGAATGGAACAAATTTTCTTTTGGACCAAACTAACTATTGGACCATAAGTAATGTGAAATAGACCAAAAAAAATTGGACACAATAACATTGGACAAAGTTTCTTATAACCCGCCATGCGCGCTTTGGACGGCACAGGGCGGCTCGTGAAATTCTCCCCTGTACTCTGCCGCTGAGCGAGTGCACACTGAAGAAATTTACCCGTGGAAGGCTTTTTTCTCATCCGTCATCCGCCGGATCCCTTTTCAGCTTTAGGGTGTCCCTCAGACCTCACCTCGGCTCGGGGGACACCGTTATCGATCTTGCACCATCGCGATTATCGGAACTAAGTATGTCGATACGACAAGACCAGACCTAGTCTCATCTTAACTATGCAATAAGTCGCATTTTCGCGTCTCGATGTCTTATCGGATTGTTATACGAGGGTCATCCAAAAAGTAAGTTTCCCTACCTTGTATCTTCCGAACGAAAAGAGATAAATCAAATCGGCAAAAAAGCACATATTAGGCATACTCTAAGCTTTAAAATAATTACAAGTTTTTGAAAATCGGTCCAGGGGTTCGCGAGTAAACTTAATTTTACTGAGACAACCTCCTGTCGCCGCGTGCCCACCTCCGGGGTCAGGATGCGCGGAGAGTCAATTATAGAAGACTCGGGTTATCACCTCTATACATCACATCAACGAGAAATGTTAAAGTTTTCATTGAGTAACTACCTTACTAGTAGCTAGTAGTAGTTATTTTACTTTCTGACGTAGTCTCCACATCTTCTTTGACATTTTTGGTATCATTACAGCAACTTCTTGACGCCCTCCGCGTAGAAGATCTCGTCTTGGCTCCGAAACTAGTCATTGACAGCGGTCTGCACTCCCAAATCAGTTGCTTGACGTAGGGAAATTTTCCCCCAATCCTTCAAACTTTCGTACTTTAGCTTCATGTGACTTTCATTTGTTCCTGAGCGGAAAAACTTCCACGATGGAAGCGATTTTCAACCGATTCAGAGGTACAGATCGCTGTCTATGACTGGTTTCTGAGTCAAGGCGAAAGCTTCTACGCGGAAGGCATCAAGAAACTGCTATGATGATACCAGAAATATCAAAAAAGATGTGGAGACTATGTCAAAAAGTAAAGTAAGGCCTACTCAATGAAAACATTAAAATTCCTTGTTGATGTGATGTAAAGAGGCGATAACCCGAGTCTTCTATAATCGACTCTCCGCGTAGCCTGACCCCGGAGGTGGGCACGCGGCGACAGGAGGTTGTCTCCGTAAAATTAAGTTAACTCGCGAATCCTTTGACCGATTTTAAAGAACTTGAGCTTGTTTTAAAGCTTAGAGTATGCCTAATATGTGCTTTTTTACCGATTTGATTTATCTCTTTTCGTTCGAAAGATACAAGGTAGGGAAACTTACTTTTTGGATGACCCTCGTAACTTCCGATAATTGGCCCATAGGTGAAGCAATGGACCACTAGACAAGGTACGAATTTCAGCATTCCGATACAAGTCTCCTAACCAAAATTTCACGTAAAACACGATGCGCACGATGCAACAAAAATTACCGAAATCAATACCTTACGAAGATATTTAATGATTCTTGATCCGTGAATTCAAACCATCCGCTCATGAAAACTCAATGTTCTGCGTGATTCACATCGCGCGCTACACGTTATCACGGCATTCTCTACGATAGAAAAATCTGGCACCCTCGATCTTGACGCTTTGGCTCAGCTATAGCTAATTGCTTATATTTTGAAAAACTTATGATGGGAAATGAACATTGCTCGATTGAGAAGCTTGCTGAACCCGTTGTAGTGCGCGATTTGACTCACGTAGAGCTTTGAGTTTCCTGTGAGCGCGCAGTCCAAATTCCTCGTAACCAATCTTCTTCTATATATTTAATATCCTAAGGCCTTTTTTGGCCTCCAACAGTTTGTGCTAATTCGATCTCGGAAAGTACTGGACTGATTTTCCTCGGATTTGTTTTAAATGAAAGCTCTTACGCTGTAGACGTGCCAACATCCCTTGGTTTTTCGATTCGCGCGACCGACGTTGCAAAATTTACCTCGATTTGATAACGACATATTTGCATTTTTGACGCTGGACAGTTTGTGCTAATTCGATCTCGGAAACTACTGGACCGATTTTCCTCGGATTTGTTTTAAATGAAAGCTCATAGGGTCTAGATGTGCCAAGACCCCTTCGTTTTTCGATTTGCGCGACCGAAGTTGCAACAGTTACCTCGATTTGATAACGACATATTTGCGTTTTTGACGCTGGACGAGTCATATGGTTGGGGGACCTCCCACCCTCTGATTTTCCGTTTCCCTCTCCAGGTAAACCCATCCCTAGCTGCTCACAACACGTGTCACCCTTCTACCCTAGCATGGGTCCTACGGCAGTTTCACTCATGTCGGGGGTCGGCTCATGTCTTCTTCCAAGAGAATTGGTGATTTATCTTCACCCTTTCGCACCGTTTCATTTTCAAAAAGTGTTCTGATTTTCTTTTCCAGGAGTGTTATTTATTTTTCAAGGTTGTTTCTTTTTCTAAAAGTAGGTAATTTTTAGTTTCCTATTCTTTGTTTTTGAATTTATCATTTTGCCTCCAGGAAGTCCTCTAAGCACTGGTAGTAGCAAAATTTGGCTCGCGAAGCGAGCCAACAGTTACTCGCTCCGCGAGGAACTTGGGGTCCAGGGGGCTTGCCCCCGGCTAGCGGCGCAAGCGAGCGTAGCGAGCTGAAGCAGCTAGTGTGAAATAAAAACGTTAATATCTTCGTTTAGAGTTAATTTTGGTAATTTCCGAGGTGTGAATCGTGTTTTACGTAAAATTCTGGTTAAGAAACATGTAACAGATTCCTTAAATTCGTACCTTGTCTAGCAGTCCATTCGTGAAGCAGGCACTGCATGTAGGTAAGTAAACGTAAGACCAACTCCCGTGAACTTACGTTGACCCAGTCTGCGTGTGTTTGGAGTGGATCACATGAGAGGGCCAGCAGCTTAACATTCTGTCTTTTAAACTCGGAATAACGCGCTGCCATTCTTCCCAGTTCAGTCGTGCAAACCGGTGTGAAGTCCGCAGGGTGCGAAAATAACACCACCCATCTGAAACAAGTTTTATCTCTGTGAAGTGACGCACACTGTTTTCAGAAAATCTTCAATTACATTTCATTTTCCTTAGAAGATAACTAATAAAATTATTTCCTTGCAATATTCTGGGATTTTTGTAGAATATGAAGGACGGATATTCACAGAAAAAGTTCATCGAATCTGTTGGTTGGTGTTCCTGTGAAAAATATCATCCGAGCGGAGGGTCACAACGTCGCTTTCTGAGACATTTCTTTTTTAACTATTTAGCCGTACCGAAGTATTCTTAAAGTTTTTCTTTCAATTGTTGCAACTAAAGCAATTTACTTAGCAAGTAGAGGAAGTAAAAGAAAAATAGGTATAAAACTTCAAAAAATGCTGTTTCTCAAAGTTAATTCAGAGGTAAGGAGTAGAGTTTCGTTAAAAAAAAAAAAAAATTAAACTTGACGTAGGATTAATAAAAATACTCGCTTTCCCTACATAATTATAAAAAAGTTTCATTTGTGGTGCGGTTTTCTTTAGAGCAAATGAATGCTTAAAATAATATTTCATTATATAAATTAATATTCTTAATGTTTTAAAATATACTTTTTTAAAAAAAAAAAAAATTAAACAAATCATCAGTATGGCTTAATTGTATGACGTCAGGTTAGCACAATGAGACTTACGAATCCCCGGCGTAATCGTAGAATTCAATCGGGCCATGCGTAGTGTTGGCCGAAAAGTCCGGCACAATTGCCTCCAGCCGCATGGGATAAGAAACACGAACAACTCACGGAACACCGAAAAATTTGTTTGAGCTTATACGTGTGTGAAATCACTTCACTAGATAGGTAGAACTACACTACAACGAAAGACTCTGTTTTGGAGAGAATCCAATGTAGATTGCTACATAATACGATCTCCTCTTATCAGATGCTTACTCTGCCGTATTAAAAAAATTCCTGAGAGATTTAAGCACCTATCGCCAAGTTTCTCTATTTAAAATATCACATTTGAGAAAGGTTCAGCCTGTTTTTTTTTTTTTTTTAACTTTAAAGATACGCTGAATTGCGTACAGAATCCGAAAATTCAAACAAAAGAACTCACAAGTTTTCAAGTTTGTATTTTAACAGAAAAAATTTGGCAACGTTCTCAAGTACAAACTATGTTTTTCCGTATCGCGGAAACTTTTCCCCCCCTTTTTTTGAATTTTGCCCATAGCTTACTTTAAGTATCCATGCTTTTAAAATTGAAAAACACTTGTTCGACCAACATTGTCTAGAGCATCCTGAGAAAATTTGCTGTACCTTGTTTTCATATACTGTGCACTGCACATTTCCTGGATCAATGATGCAAATACGAAATTTCTCATCTCAATTGAGGTGTTTCAAAGTTTCTGCTACTGCATTATTTTTTAAGAGAGTACTTTTCACCATTTTTACTCGAATTTTTCAGAAAGAATATTCAAGAGGATGATAACAAATTCCAGGGAAGTCAATAACAATGATAGATTAAACCCTTAATTAAGTGATACAGTGAGAAATCTGTAATGTTGCAAACCGAAATACGCAATCTCGCTACTTCACCATCAATATGCTCAAATCGTGATGTCGAACAGTTCCTTGCCGAAAAGTGACATTACATCAAATGCAAACACATTGAAATGGTTTGAGCTTCGTGATTACAGGCTAGAGTATCATCTGTAAGTATGTCTCCATTGCGGATACGCGTAAAGTGCTTACTGATATCCACAAAGCAGGTGAAGCACACTGATAAGGGTTTCTTGGTCCTCATTTGAGGAGGCGGAATCGCATGATAAGTGGGTAGCGTCTCTTGCTGCAGGTGCCGAATGATTGATGCCATGCCATTCAAAAATGGCGTATTTGGTATCTACGCACAGGGCTTCCCGTAAGTTTTTTTTTTTTTTTTTTTTTTTTTTTTTTTTTTTTTTGTTTTTTTTTTTTTACGGAGGATACTAAAGAGCCGGAAACTGAAAAACTAGTAACAGCCTGTCGAGAGACTATGATTAGCAAAAATATTTTGATTGTGAAAGTAAAACACGCATTTCGGTTGTTGCTTCTCAACATCCCCGCCGTCACACAAATTTTTAAAAGGAAAACAGATGAATATTATTACTCAAAATTTTCATAGTCCTCTAAGCAGGATCAAGAAAAAACTGCAAAACTCTGAGGAGCAGGGTCGGATTTACCTACTTGCCGCCCATGGGCCGCCTGTATTTTGCCGCCCCTTCTCATTCGTTTCGAAACATCAATAAAAACCATCAAGTGAACGTGCCAGAGGGAGAGGGGGGGGGGTGCATAAGACGCGTTTACTCGTGTTGGGAACATTTTTTGCGGAGGCCCTGTCAACACTACTCGCAAAAGTTCACGGAACTTTGGGCGAAAGAGTTCCGTAAATACCCATCTCTGTGTGAACAAGACCTTCCATTTGTAAGAAATGAACGTAAAAATTATGCAAGAACAAACATAAATGTGGGTTAATAATTTTAACTTCCGCCACCGCCGCGCCCGGGCCGCGCTGACCTCGCTGTGTTTGGCGCAATGCGTGAAGTATTCCTACAGTCTTGTAGGCGCTATGCGTTTCACGCCGACCGCCGCGCCGCGCCGCTGAACGCATACTGTGTTTGACGCAATGCGTGAAGTATTCATGCAGTCTTGTAGGTGCTAATATGTGTTACATGCCGACCTCCGCACAGTGGATTGAGTCAATTAGAGAGGTCGGACATGAAATTTTTGACAAAAACTGCTAATGTTGATGTTTATTTCGTCACATTTTAAAGTTCAAGGGGTGATATTGGAAGAAAATTTCACGAGAAAACCAATGGAACCACTTGCAGAACATCAGATTCTTTTATAAACGGAGTTATTAGCGTTTAAAGTTTCCAAATTTTGTCCGACCTCTCTCACTGACTCGATTCACCGTGCGCCGCGCTGAGGGCTTCTCTTATTCACCTCAAGTCCTCATCATCATTGCTCTCTGCGCCGCGCGCCGCCGCTCCATGCCAAATTGCGTGTTTGATTTCTCTCTTAACTCGACTAATTAAAAGTGCTGTCTCTTGTGTCACCGAAAGACGCTTTTCTCGTTTGTAATTTTTCTCTGAATCCGATTTTTTTATTACCTACATTTTAAAAAAATGTAAAATTTGCCGCCATGGGCCGCGGCTCATGTGGCCACCGCCATCCCCTTCATCCGGCCCTGCTGAGGAGTAGGGTAAAAACTCTTGAAAGTCATTGAAAAGCTATAGAGTAGATAGGTAATTTTGCCCAATCCTGAAATGCACTGCAGAAAAGTCAAGAAATTCACTGCGCGGAACCCTGAAATTATTTCTTCTAGCCAAAATATTCTATTATTTTCCACCGCATCCACATGCTTAGTCGATAAAAATGAGTCCTCTTGCCTCGCCTCGCGTCGTTCCTCGAAAACTTCGGTGATTTTTCCTCTCTTTGTGAAAATTTAAAGTCATGGCGTTGGTTTGGTTTCCTTTTGAAAAATAGAATAGGACTAACAGGAGCAGAGATTTTGAAACACCGCAACCGAGATACGCATTTTTGCAGTTTCACCTTCAATATCCTACGAAACATTAAAATCGAACCAAAAAGTAGAGCATGGAATCTTCTTAAATCAGGGGGGACATTTCCATTCCTTCCTAGTTTAGAACATTAAGGCAATTCTCTCGATGTTCTGATGTTTTAATATCTTCAAAAAGCGATTTTTGAAACTGCTAAGCTCGGTCGATTTTCGGTTTTTAGGGCCGTCCCTAATTGAGTTTCAGAGATTATTTTCGAGTTTCTGTAGAATTTTTTGTCGGTTGTCCCTAGAAGTTTGAAAGAATCTCGAAAATATTCTCTGCAGGACTTTCACTTAGTAAATGTAAGGTGATATTCATAGATTATTTTTTATCGAAATGGGGGGGGGGGGGGGGAGGAGGAGTTCGGGGCAAGTGTTACGTAAGTTTTTAGGAGGGTCTAGCACAGCCTTACGGAGCGTTACAGGGGGATGAGGGGGAATCAAAAGCCGCAAATTCAGCGTTACGTAATGGAGATGTTGCATGTGTGAGGAATTCGCGATTTGGCTGTTGATTCTTATGTAAAAGTTCGCGAGAAACACGATGGTGCCACTGGTTTTCTCTGAAATCATCTCCCAAGCTCAAAAAAAGCTCTCAAGTTGAGGCCAAAATGGAGGGGATATCCTATCGCTATCCTGCGAGTCCACCTCTACATCAAGATAAACTCTCCATGCAAAGATAGGGAGCAAATGCATTGGCAGGGCTGCCACTTTATTTGAGGACTCCAAAACTGAAAACACGGCAACCATGTCAATGTATTTGCTCCCTATCTTTGCATGGAGAGTTTAGTTAATGTAGAGGTGAACTCTCAGAATAGCGTGGGATATCCCCTCCATTTTGGCCTCAACTTGAGAGCTTTTTTTGAGCTTGGGAGTTGATGTCAGAGAAAACCATTGACCACATCGTGTTTCTCGCGAACTTTTACGTCATAATCAACAGTCAAATCACAAATTCCTCACACATGCAACGTCTCCATTCAGGGACGGCCCCTTTGCTCGAGAACTTGTACTCATATGAAGCAGTGGTTTTCAACACTGTCGTCACTGCAGACGAACCACCCATTCCGGATGACGTCAGAAATCGATCCAGTAACGAAGACGTCATTCGTGATAGTTTTTAAGGCACCAATTGACGAACGCCTAGGGTGAGAGCGAATTGAGTCATGTTCATAACAGCGCAATTTAGTGGCGGGATCACCTCTTAACAGAAAAAACTTTTTATAAATCGCTGAAAGTTTGCTTGCGTGTGTAGCGGGTCTCTAATGACATTCAAACACTGGAAACGGTAGTTTTTTAGGTATCAGGCGGACGTAACTACATTTCAATGTTGCCAACTTTCCATACGCGAAATTTATTTTTATTTAAATTTTAGACGTCAGACGTAACTGAGAGTTTCACTGTTTTTTAGCTTATTTGCTGAAATCGGCAAACTGGTGAACAGAAATTGCAAAGCAACGTTGTCCGATAAAAAATTGTTTTGGATGAGGCTACGTTTTTCTTGGTCTGAGAGACGAAAAAACAAGTTCAAATCTACGAAAACAAACCGTTAAAAGGTGGGCAAGCCGTTTCGATCGACATGAATCGATCGGAAAATTAGAACTGAAATCGGTCGACAAACAACCGCGCAGTTTTCCCCCCGCCATCATTTTCAGTTCTTATTTCTTTCTGTGCGCAAGTGGCCCGATCAAATCTTTCGGGGCGGGGCTTTGAAGTTGGGGATTTTGGAGCATTGATGATCGAGGTCCTGAAATTAGGACTCTAGGGGCCATGGGGCCCTGGGCTTTAAAGTGAGAGCATTTGTGACCCTTTGTTTCCTCAGAAACTTGAACCGCCTTCAATTGACGAAGTATACAACCCGCAATGTGCGGGCCCTCGTACCCGCCAGCACCCCCCCCCCCCCCCCTGAAAGCTAATCCAGCTCTAATCCGGCCCTGTTAATCGAATATCTTGCGATTTGATTGACAAATCTATGATTCGAACGACAAAGCCGTGATTCGATCGATACGTGATCGATTCGTGATACGAAATACGAGTCCATAAGGCGCCTGACCAATACGTGATTTGATCGGATTTGCGCTTGCCGATCGAATCGTTGTCGATAGGCTTACGTTTCAATTTTTCTTACACTCATATGCTCATCGGAACGGTACCCACCGGATAGATATCCCTCGCTAAATCTCTCCATCCAACACGCCATTTACACAGGTAGTTTTGAAAAAAGAAGGAAAAAGAAACCAGACACGCGCAATTAGCCGTGATTTACAGCTCCGAGAATTTAGCGTGGTGGGCATTTTCTTTTACCTTAAACGCACATCGTCGCCCCTCGATCTGACGTGAGGGTGTATATGAATTTTCGCGTGATCTCTGTTCTTTTCATAACTCTACGCTCCTCGGAGCTCATGTAGAAATGAAGATACGCTCTTATGTCAGAGGAACCACGGTATGAGAATCTTTTTTGCAGAATGACGTTCATTCCAATTAAGATTTTGCCGTGGTGTTCTGACGTTCGAATTTAAAGCTTTTAGCCGTCCCTTTCAATCGGAAAACGGCATCAGAGTTGTATGATTTCTGCTTGATGTATCTTACTCGATCTCACTACTGGTGTTTTGTCTGGGTTCGGGATGGTATGGACTTTTTAGAAGGTCTTCGAAATAATGTGGTTTAGAATACGGCGAGTTTTTTTTGTTCCGATATTTGTGGTGCTTATCATACTAAAGGATGTTGAATCTATACGGAGTGAGTTCTACTTTAATATCCCTCTCATTTTTCTCCTTCTCCCACTTCGCAAATCAATATTGCTTTAATATGCTGTGATGGTAAGTGTTAATGAGCGTGTAAAGTGCCTAAGCAGGAGCGATTTTGAAATAAGGAGTGTTGCATTAACAATGTAATAAAATTATTCATGAGACAGAAATCAATATTGCTAGTGGAGACTTTTTGTTAAAATTGAGGATTATTTGCAAAAATAACGTCAGGGCTATTTTTTCGTCAATATATACTTATCGACGGTGAAAGTCGGCAATCACATAACCCGTTTATTGCGGTGTCTGAAAATCTCCGCCTCTACGTTTTTAAAGGAGAGCAAATTGACATTACCTATTTCTTGAAGTTTTTGCAGAATTTTCTTCGCATTGAGAAGAAAAATCATGACAGTTTTAAGGAATTGCCGTTGAGTAGTTTCCCATTTAAAAAATAAAGTATGACAGGAAGTCTGCGACGTCGCAAACCGAGTTATGTGATTGCCGACTTGCACCGTCGTTATGTTTTTTACGATGTGTTATTATTATCTCCACGTTTATTATATTCCAATTTATTGCATTCATATTGCTCAGCGCAATATTTACGGCAAAGATTACGGCTAAATTGTTTCAATTTTTCACTCAACAGAATTTCCACGCAATACTGTAGCGATATTCTCTGATAATATCGTATATTTTGTTTGTGTATGTTTATTATAAAAAATTATCGCACCGATAAAATTTTCGAGGATTGACATCAATAATTAAGGAGAGGTGTCAGTATATAAGCTAGGTACAGTAATTAATTGCATTAATCACACGATTTCTATTTCCGATCAACACATTTTGTACAATCACCTAATTGGCGACGCTAAATCGCAATAATCTGTCGTCGACGCCATGAACGCAGCCATGGACTCAGTCCTCACTCCTGAAGCGCAGGCTCAGAATCCCTTCTCCATAGAGCGTTTACATATTTTATGAGCGACCCCGCTTGATGGTGGAGATCAGATATATGCATGCAGAATCGTAAAACACCGTCGATTGCAATCTGTTTGCTAATCCAGAATTTTTTTCCTTCTTCTTTTTGCCATGATGTTATAGAGCACGATGGTGGCTGGTTCTACACCGACCCTAAGAAGTGCCAAATACGGTGCGATAAGTGGTACGGGAAGTTCCGCAAAGCTGGGACCGAAGACGAGCTGCAGTCTGTGTCCAAAGGAAAGATCTACGTGGGCTTCAAATGCATTTGTCACTCATCCAGAGAGATCCGGGCCGCCATTGAGGCTCTCTACAACTTCAAAGAATCCAAAAGATATCGTAGAATGCATTTCTTTGGCTTCGGTAACTATATAAAGCGGAGGTATAAAAAAGTCGAGTTCATCGGCTCTGAATGGTATAAACCGAAAAAAATGAATTGATGGAGAGAACAAAGTAATTTTACTATCAAGGACTGCGTGGGCCGTACAATCGTTCCCTCGTAAACAGCTCTTTTCTTTTGGGGAAGCCTCATTTGGTTTACATCGTTATAGGAGATATTAAAAGAGATTCTAAACACAGCATCATTAAGTGGATAATTTTAACGAATCTCCCGATGAACTTCAACAATATAATCTTGGGTGCTTCAGCAGAGCAAGTTTTGTCAAAAGTTAGGCAAGATAGGTGCAAGTTGTACATTATAGGTCTAGTAAAAGCTTTGTGTTTTCTTTGCTTTCATAATTTAAGATTCAGGTTCAGAATTTGTATCTGTGCTTTTGAATTTGGAAATGCAGGCTGTGAATTTTTTAGTAGAATTTAAAATACACATACCTAGACAGGAAATAAATAACCGTTGCTCTCTGGTACAAGAGACAGCATCTTTAATTGGTAAAGTTAAGAGAGGAACAAAAAACGCAATTTGGCCGGGAGCTCAGCGCAGAGAGGAATGATGACCAGGACTTGAGATGAAAAGGACAAGCCCTTGGCATGGCGCTGGCGCGGCGCGGCGGTCGACATGTAACACATATTAGCTCAAAAATACAGGCTGGGCCTCGAAATTTGGTCCGCGGTGGTAGTGCGCTGGGGAATTCCGTTGCCGACAAAAGCACCCAAGTGCTTTCCGAGGGTGAGCCCGGGAAAGAACGGCCGTAAACGGGGAGCAGGGCTCATCTTGGATTAGTCGATACGCTGTTTTGTCGTCTCTCTCTCTCGCACTCATTGGACAGATGCGGCACGACAAAGGAGACCACTCGGCTTTGCCAAGCCGCTTCGGAATCGTCCATCTCTCTCGCACTCATTGATCAGATGCAACATTCCGCGGCTCGTCAAAGGGACACCTGGCGCACACACACACTCGCAAAAATACAGGCTGGGCCTCGTAATTTGGTCCGCGGTGGAAGTGCGCTGGGGAATTCCGTTGCCGGCAAAAGCACCCAAGTGCTTTCCGAGCGTGAGCCCGGGAAAGAACGACCGTAAACGGGGAGCAGGGCTCATCTTGGATTGGTCGATACGCCGTTTTGTCGTCTCTCTCTCTCGCACTCATTGGGCGGATGCGGCACGTCAAAGGAGACCACTCGGCTTTGCCAAGCCGCCTCGAAATCGTCCATCTCTCTCGCACTCATTGATCAGATGCAACATTCCGCGGCTCGTCAAAGGGACACCTGGCGCACACACACACTCGCAATGTGCAGGCTGGGCCTCGTAATTTGGTCCGCGGTGGTAGTGCGCTGGGGAATTCCGTTGCCGGCAAAAGCACCCAAGTGCTTCCCGAGCGTGAGCCCGGGAAAGAACGGCCGTAAACGGGGAGCAGGGCTCATCTTGGATTGGTCGATACGCTGTTTTGTCGTCTCTCTCTCTCGCACTCATTGGGCAGATGCGGCACGTCAAAGGAGACCACTCGGCTTTGCCAAGCCGCCTCGGAATCGTCCATCTCTCTCGCACTCATTGATCAGATGCAACATTCCGCGGCTCGTCAAAGGGACACCTGGCGCACACACACACTCGCAAAAATACAGGCTGGGCCTCGTAATTTGGTCCGGGGTGGTAGTGCGCTGGGGAATTCCGTTGCCGGCAAAAGCACCCAAGTGCTTCCCGAGCGTGAGCCCGGGAAAGAACGGCCGTAAACGGGGAGCAGGGCTCATCTTGGATTAGTCGATACGCTGTTTTGTCGTCTCTCTCTCTCGCACTCATTAAACAGATGCGGCACGTCAAAGGAGACCACTCGGCTTTGCCAAGCCGCCTCGGAATCGTCCATCTCCCCGCACTCATTGATAAGATGCAACATTCCGCGGCTCGTCAAAGGGGCACACACTTACTCGCAAAAATACGGGCTGGGCCTCGTAATTTGGTCCGCGGTGGTAGTGGCGAGCCCGAATCCGCGTGCCCCGAAAAAACACCGGAGTGCTTTCCGACCATGAGCCCTGGAAAGAACGGCCGTAAACGGGGACTGAAGCTCATCTTGGATTGGTCCATACGCTGTTTTGTCCTTTCTCTCTCTCGCACTCATTACTCAGATGCGGCACGTCAAAGGAGCACACTCGGCTTTGAGAAGCCGCCGTTTTATCGTCTATCTCTCTCCCACTCATTGATCAGATGCGGCAACCCGCGGCTCGTCAAAGGGACACACACACACTTGCAAAAATACAGGCTGGGCCTCGTAATTTGATCCGCGGTGGTAGTGGCGAGCCCGAATCCGCGTGCCCCGAAAAAACACCGGAGTGCTTTCCGACCATGAGCCCTGGAAAGAACGGCCGTAAACGGGGACTAAGGTTCATCTTGGATTGGTCCATACGCTGTTTCGTCCTTTCTCTCTCTCGCACTCATTTCTCAGATGCGGCACGTCAAAGGAGCACACTCGGCTTTGACAAGCCGCCGTTGTATCGTCTATGTCTCTCCCACTCATTGATCAGATGCGGCAACCCGCGGCTCGTCAAAGGGACACACACACACTCGCAAAAATAAAGCCTGGGCCGCGTAATTTGGTCCGCGGTGGTAGTGGCGAGCCCGAATCCGCGTGCCCCGAAAAAACACCGGAGTGCTTTCCGACCATGAGCCCTGGAAAGAACGGCCGTGAACGGGGACTAAGGCTCATCTTGGATTGGTCCATACGCTGTTTTGTCCTTTCTCTCTCTCGCACTCATTGCTCAGATGCGGCACGTCAAAGGAGCACACTCGGCTTTGACAAGCCGCCATTTTATCGTCTATCTCTCTCCCACTCATTGATCAGATGCGGCAACCCGCGGTTCGTCAAAGGGACACACACACACTTGCAAAAATACAGGCTGGGCCTCGTAATTTGGTCCGCGGTGGTAGTGCGCTGGGGAATTCCGTTGCCGGCAAAAGCACCCAAGTGCTTCCCGAGCGTGAGCCCGGGAAAGAACGGCCGTAAACGGGGAGCAGGGCTCATCTTGGATTAGTCGATACGCTGTTTTGTCGTCTCTCTCTCTCGCACTCATTGGACAGATGCGGCACGTCATAGGAGACCACTCGGCTTTGCCAAGCCGTTTCGGAATCGTCCATCTCTCTCGCACTCATTGATCAGATGCAACATTCCGCGGCTCGTCAAAGGGACACCTGGCGCACACACACACTCGCAAGACTGCATGAATACTTCACCCATTGCGTCAAACAAAGTGCGGTCGGGAGCGGTTTGCGTGAAACGCGTAGCGCCTACCAGACTGCATGAATACTTCACGCATTGCGCCAAACACAGTGCGATCAGCCCGGCGCGGCGCAGCGGCGGAAGTTAAAATTATATTAAACCACATTTATGTTTGTTCTTTCATAATTTTTTGGTTCATTTCCCACAAAATGGAAAGCACTTGGGTGCTTTTGCCGGCAACGGAACTCCCCAGCGCACATCCACCGCGGACCAAATTACGAGGCCCAGCCTGTATTTTTGTGAGCGAGTGTGTGTGTGCGCCAGGTGCCCCTTTGAGGAGCCGCGGAATGTTGCATCTGATCAATGAGTGCGAGAGAGATGGACGATTCCGAGGCGGCTTGGCAAAGCCGAGTGGTCTCCTTTGGCGTGCCGCATCTGCCCTATGAGTGCGAGAGAGAGAGACGACAAAACAGCGTATCGACCAATCCAAGATGAGCCCTGCTCCCCGTTTACGGCCGTTCTTTCCCGGGCTCACGCTCGGGAAGCACTTGGGTGCTTTTGCCGGCAACGGAATTCCCCAGCGCACTACCACCGCGGACCAAATTACGAGGCCCAGCCTGTATTTTTGGGAGTGTGTGTGTGGACCAGGTGTCCCTTTGACGAGTCGCGGAATGTTGCATCTGGTCAATGAGTGCCAGAGAGATGGACGATTCCGAGGCGGCTTGGCAAAGCCGAGTGGTCTCCTTTGACGTGGCGCATCTGCCCAATGAGTGCGAGAGAGAGAGACGACAAAACAGCGTATCGACCAATCCAAGATGAGCCCTGCTCCCCGTTTACGGCCGTTCTTTCCCGGGCTCACCCTCGGAAAGCACTTGGGTGCTTTTGCCGGCAACGGAACTCCTATGGTATTTTGAAACGCAGCTCCTATCGCCAATTTTTACCAGGGTATCCAGATTGATCAGTAAAATTAGTTAAAGCAGCGTGTTCATTGAAATAAGCATGAAATAAGCACGATTGTGTGGAAATCAGATGAAGGATGAGCCCCACAGCTCCATCACCTACCATCAAATTTTTGCAGGCCGCAGAAAATTGGTGGTAGATGGTGCGCACCAGTCACCATTTGATCGGAAATTGATGAGAAATCGAGCGTGTAACCAGCACATTGAAAACATTATCGAAAGCACTCTATGATGACGTCATTAGAGGCATCACTTGATGACGTCCTCGAGAGGATAAACAATGGGGAAGAAATGGGAGATGAGATAGGGGAGAGGAGGAAGAGGAAGGGGAGCGGAAGGGAGGATACAAATTGCAGATAAGAAGGAAATTGAAATTACAAAAAAAAAAAAAAAAAAAAAAAANAAAAAAAAAAAAAAAAAAAAAAAAAAAAAAAAAAAAAAAAAAAAAAAAAAAAAAAAAAAAAAAAAAAATAATAATAAAAACCTGCACATTTGCCCTCATTGAAAGCTGCACAATCTGAGCAATGTAAAATAGATATCGACAGTGAAACTGTCATACCACGTATATCTCGATTTACAGCGTCGCGTTGCAAACTTTATTTTTTAGTCCGAAGACTATTCTCAACGTGAATTCTTTAAAACTCCCATGATTTTTCTCTCCTCTGCTAAGAAAACTTTGTGAAAGCCTCAAGGAATAATACGGATTTGCTCTCCTTCAAAAGGAGAAAAAATAGGTGCGGAGATTTTCAAACACCGCAAACGAGATACGTGGTCTGGTCTGGTAGTTCCACCGTCGATATGAGTGCTGTTTCCGAAACGGTCTTCTTTACACACACTTTGATGACACTTCTTCAAAAGCACTCTGCATGTGCAAAACAATCCATTACTCTTCTGCCGTGCCAAGGAGGAACGCCGTATAAAAATTCGAATGTTGCCAATTTCCTCTCAGAAAATATCCATTTTTAAAGAAAGTTATGAATAGTTCTCTTTGAAATGTTCAGACTCCTTAGATCAAATTTCGAAC